TCGCCGCCGATAGAAAGGAAACTGCTCGGTACTACCACTCTCTATATGTAAATTATTAGAGCGAATATTCTATTTTTAGCAACAACGTCAGTGACGCGCTATAAATAACTTTCGGCTTAACAGTGATATGATGCACTTTTCCAAGATGAAATTACTCAAATGCTTAGTTTGATACTATACAGAATTGTTTTTCAAAGAAAAAAAAGAAGCAGAAACAAGAAAAGAAGAAAAAGCTGAAAGTCGCTTTAATAGAACAAAACATGAAGGCTGTCAGTCTAAAATTTCTCTCTGTTTAGGTTCAAGTACAAATGTACTTTGTAACTTGATTAATATAATAATTCATTTAAATTGTAACTGGGTTTGGCGTCATGTAATCAGTTTTAAGTTTAATGCTACATGAAATAACACAACTTAAGCTGAAAGTCCTTGGTTGCATTTGCGGGTATTGTTTATCGCTTTCCGGCCCTGTTATGCCATTTAATTACTACTAATTTCTCAGAAATAGACACGAATACTAGGTGCTAAAGGTGTGGTACTGTTTTTACCACTATTGTCCATTTATAGACTCAACTTTTGCAACCTTTTATGGTTCCCATTTTAATATACATTGGTTGCAGTATTAATTCTAATGTGTAATGCTTAGATATCTGTATTGTCGTACAATTCCGTCGTTATCTCGTTTCCCTTCTATTGCAATTCTTCGGCTATTTTCGTCATTTTTCGTAAAAAGAAAAATAAATGAAAGAGCAATTAATCGTATATAGTATAATATATTCTATAGGTAGTAATGATAATGGAGCGACTCTAGCCGAAAGCCATTACGTATCCATTACGACAGATTTGTTTCAACAATTCCAGACATCACTTAGAATAATGAGCACTGTTATGGAGTTATTTATAGCTTGCATAAAGATTAGGCACACTGTGTTTTTTTATGAATGAATCCAAAAACTAAGAAAATATAAAGCTAAGACGTGATATATATAGGGATTATAGTTTGTATGGGTTTATTAGCTGAAAAGAGCGGATTTGTTTACGTGATAAAAGCAATATACGTGTTACGAGGATATATATTTTGATTACGTTTGGCAAGTAAACGTATAGTTGGAAACAAAATTTGTGAAGTATTATGCTACATCTAAAAATTCTAATTTTTTGTCGAAATAAGCAATCGAGCGAGCGAACAAACGAACGAACAAATACCGAAGAAAGAAACGAAAAGAAACGAAAAAACTGCATCACATAGTTTTCTATATATCAAAATATTCTTTTTTTCTATTTTGCAGAAATTTTATTCTTGTTGAACGACACCTATCTACAAAATGAGTGCCCGGTTCGAGCCTTGAAATAGCCGACAACACGGGTCAATGGCAGTCAATAATGTACCTACTGCGTCGCCTGGTGTCCCCAACGTCCGAGGTCAGCGACTTAAAGGAGCAGGCTGAGGCGTCTAAGCTCATCCGGAAGTTCGGTCGTAAAGGCAAGGGGAAAGGTCAATTCAATATGCCAACGGGCGTTGCCGTTACTAAAGCAGGTAATCTAATTACATTACGCTTATGAACATATTTTCTATTTGCGACAAACTCGTCATGGCGATGTTTTTATGACTAACAACTTGATGAGTTTTGGGTCAGTGTATATATAGTATTTTACGTGCAATTGAACAATGAATAAACTGTAGATCTTAGGATAAAACTATGGGAAAGAAATGACATTTCTTTAAAAAAATCATGTTGATTCATTCATGAAGTTCACTTTACTTGTCGAATTGAACAGTTGTTTCACAAAAGGATATAAGATCTATTATGTTGTTACAAAAAATGATGTAGTAGAAATGTTAAATTCATGCAAATGTCATCATAATCAGTTCAATACATCATCATCATCATCATCATCATCATCATCATCAACAACATCAACATCATCAATTTATATGCAACCATTATATTGTTTGATTAAAATAATTATGATACAAAATACATGTACATCTTAAATTAAATAGAGATTCAAATACAAAAATCTTTTATGTTAAAGCATTGCAAAACATTAAAAACAACTGGTTTTATACGTTTTTACATTTTAAAAAATCTAACTTTGAGATATTAATGAACAAAAGACACACATAAGCAATTCATAAACATATCACTAGAATTTTTACTACATCTAAATAAGTAAATTGTCGTCATACAGAATTTTTTTCTTCGTTTTTCTCCTCAATGTATTTTATGGTTTATACATGTACTTGATCATGGAAGCATTTAAGCTGCAAGAACTGGAATTACGCTATATTTAGTAACGAGACGTAGCAGGAAATCACGATTTCTTCTGTCAGATTCGCACGTAGATTAGAAGCTAGGTAGAGATGTCACTTTATCCGAGAATGACGTCATTTCAATTGGAAACACCAGCGTGTAACTGTTATCGGCAACAAGCCTTTCTTTACTGATCTCTGCTGATCTAATTTGCATTAGGAATCACTGTGTCGCTGCTTCTGTGAATTGTGGATGATATTTTTCACAGCATAACAAATTGTCTGATAAATGTTTTATAGTACACAAGTAAAGAATGTCATGATTTTATGAACAAAATTGTGGCCAGTGTAACGTTGATTACAAAGCAAGCATTGTTTGTGTTATTTTGCTTTTTAAAAATCTGATAATACCCAAAGTATAATGAGGGCAAGTTAGATTTGATATTGATATTGAAGACTGTTTAACTGATGAAAGTTAATTAGTTTATTTACATAACAATTACACACACATAAATCATAGTAAAAGTATTAAAAGATAAATATGACATTTCTTCAAAACAATTTATAATAGACTTTTTGTTACATAATATCAACAAAATATAACAAACATTAAATATTTTTACATCTGATAAACTTAAATAAAAAAATAAATAAAATAAGAATTATCCTAAAAACACCAAATAATAGAAATACCTTCACTATAATATATGAATGACTAACTATAGTATGTTGAAATCGCTTGTATATCATTTGACATATCTAAAAGTAATATATTTGATTAAGAACTGAAAAAAGTCCAAGTTTGACCATTTTCAAGTAAGAAACTTACTGTTAACACAAGATATTATGCAGACATTTATTCTAAAACTGGTGCGTAAAACACACACAGTATATAAGACTGTTTTTAAAATCCTTACTAAAACAAAAAGTTAGGAAATTGCTATTTATGCAATTAATTATTGCGAAAATGAAGAATGCTGTAACAGGTTTTGGCGGCAAGTTTAACAATATTATTTTTTAGAAAGTATAGATATAAGTTTGTCTTCATCAAATAAGTTCACAAACTCTGACATTTAATTACATTTACATCCTTTTTCTAGCAAGGATAATCTAATTTGTTCCTATTCATTGCATGACAATAATAAATGATTTTCATCTTCAACTGTACTTTTACATATTGGACAAAATCCTATTGTCTACATCAATATTTTCATACATACCAGCTTCAAGTTTTTATACGAGCTACTCCACGTCTGAATTTCGTCAAAGCAAGTGATTTTAACCTTAGTACTTTCCACTTAATGCTGGAAACAAACTTTCTATGACAAGAACTGCACGTTTTTTTTTCAATCAAGTTCAATCAAGTTCTATTTACAGGCGTGTCTGAACTTTAATAGTGACAAACTTGTTTGCGTAGAAAATAAATCACCATCTAAAGATCATAGACAAAATCGGAAACAAAAAACGGCTGTGCAATTGAATAGCTATCTCTTTCAACAAATTACAAATAAAATCTACATTCAAGAATTTCATTGAAATAAAAGAGCGAATAATAGATTCCTGTGACGATATAAATTACGTAATAGATTTACATACACTCACAACCGCACGTAGACTTGCAGATAAAGTGAATATGACATTTTAGCTGAGATTGACGTCATAGCAAATGCAAAAATAATTATGACTGGTTATGATGGTAAAAATATACTTGCTTTACCATACTATCGTTTTCACAAAATTAAAATTATCCCGTTATTAGTCCGCGTTGTCCAAATCTCAATCGTGACTTAATTGCACCATTGGTTGAGAGCTATATTCGGCGTAACAAGTTCAATATTGCAATGACTTAAAGGGCCCATTATGCCATTTATTGCTTTTATTTTTATTTCTCAAAAGCTTTTTAATTTACGTGTACTTTTATAGCAGGCCTCGACATTAGCGGTGGTCCATTGGTCCGAGACCACCTGATTTTGGCAAGGACCACCTAATTTTACAGGCAACTGATCCGTTAGACCACTTGAATTTTCCAAATGGTGCACGGGTCATCTGGGAGAATGGTTATTTAGTCGAAAAACGTGTTCTATAATTGTTGTTTAAAGCCATTTCTCCGATGTACAGGTATATGTTCATTCATCTCATTAGTTCAAAAGATCTTAAGACATTCATAACTTTTTATTAACTCGCTAAAAGTGTAGTTAAAAAAGTAGAAAATTATTTTAATGATTAAAGTATAAAATTCATTCAAATGTCTCTAGCACTGCATTGAATTTATAACATTGTATCAATACGGGATATCGGATAAACACATGAATAATAGTGCAAACGAAGGCAAAGGAAAAAATAAATATCTAGTAATCTTTGGCTACTTTTTTAAACGATTCGTTTTTTCTTATTTAAAGTACTTTAAAAGGTTATAAATACTTTGTCAAAAAAAAAAATAACAAACAAGCATGTATAATAAATCTGAGAGGAAGATAAGCTCAATAATAATGTAGGAATTTTTCTGTTTATCATTAAATATTATTAATATAATAACTTAATAGTTGAATTAAAAATGTAAATCTGTAAAAATGCAATTATTATTATTCTTATAAGATATACCAGGAAACAGCAATGAGTATTTGAATAACAGTAAGGAAATACGTCATTCACAAATGGTTTCACTATTCCCTAACTTGAACTGCGGAAGAAGGTAACTTAACCGAAGTATGAGTACTGTCACTGTCATGTATTTTTTAATGAGATAATAAATACTTAATAGGATTACAATGACTTACTATCTGATCTAAGATTGAAATAGAAAAAAATACATGTTTTCTTCAGTTGTTATAAATCTAATTATAAATATGTCTCTGTCACCAATTTTAAGTGAAGTTCTTCTAGATCTGAAGTTTCCTTAAAAACAAATTAGTAAAAAAAAGATGGACCACCTGTGTTCAGAAAAGACCACCTGAATTTTGGATCCAGTGGTCCGGCATACCACCTTCTGAAAAAGTTAGTGTCGAGACCTGTTTTATAGCATCCAAAAGGTTACACATAGGGCAATTACCAACAATTGTTTCATCTATTGCTTTTCGGCAATAAGTGCAGTTTAAGTAAATTAGTATTTTGTATGGAAGTTAAAATACTACTTTGTTTACATTTTGCTAGTTTAAACTGTTTTTATTACAAATTTGTACACATTTATCGTTACTTTCCTCAAGTAACAAGTATCTAACATTCCCTAAAACCATTATTTAAAAATTATAAAATTCATGTTTGCCTTTATCAAGAAGAACCAAATTAGTGTTTTTGAGGAATACTGTGCGTTTAAGAAACAATCAAAGTAGATATTCAGTTTTGAATATTAATAGCCTAATTTACATATCGTTTCACAATGTAATGTCGTATCTAATGTGTGTACTGTGACGATTGCCTAATGTGGATTTTAATGAACGGTGGTAATATTCGTAATATTTACTCCAGTTTGTTTGCAGATTGTTTTTAAAAAGACGTTCGTTTATAGTTCAGTAATATAACGTTCGTTGGAAAAAAATCACAGATGTGCAGATTTTAAATGTCATACAAATATCAATCGTCTGCACATCAAGGAAAACTCAAGTTTCAATCGAAACATTTATTCTATAAAGTATATTTTTCCCACGTATCGCAACAACGTATGAAAATAGCATTTCTTTATGTATAGCGTTTTAAACCAATAACCGCATTTTGTGACAGGGCTTACATTTGTTACTTCTAAATTTATTGATATAAAAACAACAACAACAACAAAAAGACGCAAACAAAAATAAAACAGCAACAAAGTCTGACATATTATGCTTTAAAACTTATTAACATAGACTATATCAAAATGTTTCAATTGAATGTTTGACAATAATGGCCTTTAAAGACCTTAAATAAACAATTGAAAGAGCAAAGCAAAAAATAAAAAAAAAATCTTGCAACAAATTACAATGAAATGTCCATACAACACGTTCATGATTTTCAGCAACATTAACAACACAGATAATGGGTTCATACTGACGGATCAGAAACAACACACGCACACTCACAATCGCACGTAGACTTGTTACGACATTTTAGCCGAGTTTGACGTCATTGCACATGCGTAGACCATTGATTGTTTGTAATTTTATGGAATAATTGTACTCGTATCTATTTAATATCGTATTTACTATTATTTCTCTGTGTTTGACAGTCCCCCACCCACATTTAAGTGTTTTCAGTGTGCATTTACTTTTAAAATAACAATGAAACATTGCCTTTTGTTGTTGTTAAATAACCATGCATTGTAAATAACATACGCTACTGAACTTAAAGCACTACAGTCATCCATATATATTACACGAATTAGGCCTACATACATGACGAAACTGCTTGAATAAATGGAAACCAACTGAGACAATAGGTTTGACCTACTTTTGCTCGTGATCTAACATTAATGAATACTAGGTTAGTGTATTGTATACTGATACAATACCCAATATAGAAATATATAGAGGATATTCAAGTTTTCTTCTATAAGAACAAGATTTATTTTCATCGAGTGCCACGAGTGAAATATGATAATTTTCATAACACAGATGAAAATAAATCACGTTTTATTGGAAACCAGTTGTATTTTCTGTTTATATATATACTTTTTCTGTTTTTGGACCGGACAATTCGTAAGTCTTCTCCATTATTTTGTGAAATTAGCTGAATTTAGAAGGAAGTAGTCCAGCAAGACATCAATGGAAAATACAGAAAATATGTTTCACTGCAGTCAAAAATATTTTTACAGTGAATATACGGAAAATGAAAGCATGCACTTTATTTTATCAATATTTTAGAATATTTTATCTAAAAGTATATTAAAGTAAGATGACGGAATTTGACTATGTTAACTCATTTTTGTCAATAACATTTTTGAATAATATTCCACATTATGGGCTGTGTTGACAAGCGAACTACAGATTATAACTTTGGTGAAATATCGTTATGAAATGTGAAATATATTTCAAACAAAACGTATTTGTTTAGCTGTTAAGTTTAATCAATTGTTCAACCAGCCGGAAAACGTATTTGAAGTATATGATTATGTATACACATGCCATAGACCAACAACCACTAAATTATCCTCTGTATTGCAAAACAAAAAATATGAATTAATTATTTAAAGAGTCTATTACAGTCATATACATAAATTATGTCATATTACATTCCCGGTACTAGTGCATTGAATTAGCAAAATTATCTAAGCATGAAATAACCGTTTCTGTTAATTATTAACTTGCAAATTTTATCGCTGCAAGAAAGCCTGAGAAATATATTCCAAAGCAAGTAGGAAGTAATTTACTTTGAGGTCTATATTATTCATCAAAAGTGTGCAGACATTATCAATATTCGAAACAATTATGGTAATATGGAAGTAAAAGAGGCTTTTATGGCCTTACTTTAGTCTACATCACGTGTCATAACCAAGTTGCTTTTATGCAAGGGTCATACCTAACGACGGGGTTGATAATATTTTAAGTTTTCCTCCGAGATTAAGTTACAATAATATAGAAATGTCGATACTACATAGTAAAGACATAAATCAAATTCAACAAGCGAGGCGTTTAGTTTTCCAACTATTCGTAATAGAGTTCGGATTATCAATATAAACAAAACAATATACTCTTTAATCATGTCGCAGCCAAAGGAACAGAAGTTCAAGACACTCTTTATAGTAAAACCACTCTCATCCACTTCTCGGTTTTGCCACATAATTAGTTATAATATAATATAGTTCTGTTCGGAATTGACCTAGTATTGACGGAATTGTTGCTCGTATAGATTGAATATTATCTGTTAAGGCACTGAATGTCTTGCTCTGCGAGTGTTGTGCGGGGGCGTGAGGCTTACCAAATTATCGGAAACATTTTATGTAAATGTAATACCGCAGGAATAAGACTTCAAAACAAATATCAACGATTTCTCATTCCGTTACTTGCTAATGATTTCTCAATGAATAGTAATGCATTAATACATGCGTAGAGATTGCAAAATAGTATGATGGATAGATGACAATAGAGTCCAAGAAGATAAGATACATTTATATGATAGAATTTGAAATTTTTAAAACAATGTACCGCCAAAGTTAACAGTTTTGTCTTTTAGTTTCTTTCTGCAAATCTAAGAGTTACAAAAAAGCAGAAATTTATGATGTACGCCATGCATACATAGGATTTGATGTCAGTTATGAAGAATGACATACACATCTATATAAGCCTTTATTAGTTTAAAGAATAAGAGTAAAAGACAAACACATTTAGGTCCATTTCAACTCTTTTACTTCTTTTTTTGATTTTGTAAACTATAGATGAATTAAGATGTGTTAGATGTGTTAGCTCTGTTGAGCCCCCTGAAAGATGTAGAGGTATCAATAATTAAACCAACATACTTCTGGCTTGTTTTTTCCCTCATACGTAATGTAAACCACTGCAGCTCTTTTGCCAGCCCCTGTCAGCTCTTTTGCCAGCCCCTGTCAGCTCTTTTGCCAGCCCCTGTCCAATATTAGATTTTTAATAATGACTAAATCAAGACAACATGATAAGTCCGAATGAAAAAGCATTTCTTACTGAATGCTTTTTTTTCATGGTTTAATTTTACACATTAACCATATCTTTGTTTAATTTTCAGGTGACGTGGTTATTTCTGATACCGAAAACCACAGAATTCAAATCTTCGGCAGTGAGGGTACATTTAAACATAAATTTGGAATGCGCGGGACAGAACCTGGTAATTTATGTTACCCAATCAGTGTTGCCATGACTACAGATGATTGTATTGCTGTCACAGATAGTGTTAACGCATGCGTCAAAGTGTTCTCTCAAAATGGTGATTTTCAAAACAAATATGGAAGTGATTCGTTTCTGGAATTTCCATACGGTCTAGCTATTAGCCACGACAATTTTATGATAATTTCCGATATTTGTAAGCATTGTATTTATGTACTCTATCCGAGCGGAGGGATATGTAGTGAGTTCGGATCATACGGAAGCGAGCCAAAAGAGTTCGACCATCCGTATTTTGTGACTGTGAACAGAGAAAAACAGATTATTGTATCGGATTCCGGTAACTGCTCAATTAAGATCTTCCTGTTTGAAGGAAAACTTCTAAGGGTTTTCAGTAATAAGGATTATCGTATTGGAGACAACTTCTGCGCTTTACAGGGACTTTGTACGGACTCACAAGACAATACTATTGTTATATGCAACAACGCCGTTTACATAGTTACCAAAAATGGCCGACTATGGGAGGTGCTCACATCAAAAGACGGACTCAACTACCCAAAATGCATTGCGTTTTCGCAATCCGGGCGCCTGGTAGTTACCCAATCAGTGGCTAACGATAGAAACGAGGCTGTTATAATGGAGTATAACGCGGAGGACTTTAAATCACTCAATTCATTATTACTTTATGCAATATCTGTGTAGCATATATATATTATATATATACTTTATATTTGTCCTTTTAAAGCCAAAATGTATCTCCTCTAATGTAACTTTTCCCATATTTTAGTCGAAACGTCCGTAGATTAATCATGCTTTTCATTTATAGTTTTAGTGCACCAAAATATCACGTGGTCACAATCATTCATATGAATGATTATTTTCGCTTAGAAATTTTAGACTTTCTTTAAACATACCTGTATACTGCCAAAGTATGAATAGTTTTACCATATCATCAGATCACATATATATGTGTATATATGTTTTGTCCATTAAACATGTGCATATCTTATATTTTCTTTGTAGAGACACGTGATTAAATTAGTGAATATGATAATGAATATTTAGTTTGCAAAGATATAATTATATAGAATTGATTTTTCAGACTTTGCTAAAATGTGATCAGTATAGCTGTAAATATTCACATTATACAAATTCCTTTCAAAATGGCAAAACCCTTCAAGTTATCATCATTTTTAGGTCCCTGTATTGTCTTACAAATTTTCTGAATCAATACAAAGGACATGTCAAATTACCACAAGTTATTGCCACAAGATCTGTACTTTATTACTATTAATACAACCATTTCTAGGCTAAAAATCTTTAATGGACTTGACCATCTTTCAATGTGGACAAAACCATTCATCAATTTAGGAGGAACTTTTAAAATAAGTACTGACTGAATAGCGAACAGTACCCGGATGTGCCGGCTGATCTTGGTCTGCACTGGTCGCATGAATAGAATCAATTGTCACCTGTAGGATAAAGGTTAATATTTATTTTATATTATTATGATTATATTGTTCTGTTCTGTTCTATTATTAACATGTAGCAAGTTTAAGCTGCATGCCTCCAGACGAGACAAAATATTTCAATAAAATCAAAATTGCAAAAAATGTAGTAAGATTTTAGAAAAGTAAAACGATGCAAAATTAGATGTTATTTGTATTTAATGACTGATGTTGCAGTACTTATCATTACACTGCGTTACTAACGTTGTAAGGACAATTTTGCACATTTTGACCTTTACTTCGTAATTTACGTGGATTGTAAATGCCGTTTTCAATTGGCAAATAACTTTCATTGTTATTTTCACAATATTTTACTTTTAAATACATTTTTTTAATAAAAATAGCATGAATCTGGAGGCATGCTGCTTAAAAATTTTGTAAGGGAATGGAAGTTGATTTCTAGTGAAGATAACATTATATACTTTATACAAGGAACTTAACAATATTTGGATAATAAAATAACTCAATATTTTTCGGATAATAAAATAAAACTATATTTTACAAATCATATCATCGAAAAATTCTGAATATATATCACTCATTTAACATATCTAAGTGTTTTCTAGACAAAAGAATGAATGCGTTATTAATGTATACGAGACTACATATAATTTCGTAAGATTTTTGTGTGAAATAACTTCAATGTTTTGCTTTAAAGGAAATTAAAGCGTATTTTGAATTTATAAAAAAAATACCAAAACATGTATTGTTTGTATAGGCAAAGAAAGCTTGTTTTAATCACGGGCTCTTTCTAAAGTGTCAAATACTCTGTTGGTATAACATGACAACAGTTTCAGTAGACATACTCTGGACAAAACTATTTATCATTCTGAAAATTTTCAAAATAAATACTGATTAAACAGCTTACAGTGCAAATCATAATCGGACAAGTCAGGTTATCTCAATAGTGGAGCTCTGCGCTTTGAATCGGACAACCCGGGCTCTATTCCCGGACAGCGCAGGTCACTTTCGTTGTGATTGACCATACAATCTTTTCTACGGTCATTCGAAATGTACGGTACCTCTGCTCTGGCATGTACACAAGTTATCAGTTCCTTGCAAAATTTAAGGCAACTAGTACTGGTAAACTGCACGACAGCCTGCCATGGAACGATACGGTGCCTGAGCTGTGCTCTGGTAAATTTCATGTGGCTAACTGCCGTGATCCGAAGTGAAAACTATCGGATGTAGTAATTGATCGTCATATAGCAAGCATATGGTGTCAACATGAGGCTAATGGTTAAATGCTTATACTAGTTCTATTTTGGTAACTTGGAATTGTATAAAAACCACTAAACAAATACATGTATAAAACACCAAACTATTGTTGGAATAAATTAAGTTTTAAAATGTCCCGTCCAATAGCAAGTATGTATTATTGTGTGTAAGTATGTCAAGAATTTTTAACGTTTTATTTCCTATAATATTTTGAACTGGATTGGAATCTGTTAAATCGCTCAATGTTATATAACATCGGAATATTTTCAAAATTTAATAAGCTTGACGAAACTTCGCGAGACATGCAAATGAATATATCACATGGTACCTTACGGAAGGAAAGCTTTCATTATTTTTCATATCGAGAGAGTGGTGAGTGGTCTGAGATTCAAATAATGAATATGAGTGATATTGATTAATATTCAAGATATTGATAAATGTTTATGGTATTAATATTATATAAACATTACAGAAAATTTACTTTCTTAAATATCATTCATGTAATCTCTTTTGTGACATTATGATTATATAAGTTATGATATATGGTGAATTACAGAAAAGAAAAAGAAAAAACGAAAATACAAGATTCAATAAGCTATGTCATAAAACTGTTATAGGAAAACCACATCGATTATTCATTAACATTTCCCGAAGATTAACGGAAAGGGCCGAAAAGTTGCGATTGCATACACATGCGTTAAGAATCTAACATAAGATATATTAACAGAAAAGTTGTAAATTATATTGAAAATGTAAGAAAGTATGTGAAGCTGTTATGTAATACATGGATAACTGAGTGCAAGAATAACATAACTGTATATTAAAGCAGTACGGCTCTAAATATTTGTTATTTTTTATGAAAACTTAAGAAAATTTCTAACGAGTAAAATGATTACAAATTAAGAACTTTAACCTAGCCTATGGCACAAACTAACCATTAAAATACGAAATATGCAGGAATCATCCGTTTTATGTTTGTAACCTGGTAAATTTGGGGGGATACAAATAATAAATCCAGGCATAATATTTGCATTATATATCAAAAGTTCACGTTTATTGTTATTATACATTACTTTAGCTATAAATCACATATACGTTTGAATTTTTTGTTGAATTTGTTTTTACTCATCAAGACGCGCGTGTCTTTAAAGTACAAGTAAAAGTCGGAATTAAGTGTAGTATAAATACACATTTATACCCTTTTTTCTTATTCTCCAGATATACGAAGATATATGTATTTTGTTATAACAGTTAGTGGGTAATTTTGAATATTTTTCCTTTTTTGCCAATTTCATAAGAGCTCAATGTTTAGGGCTACGAAGGTCATCATTATATTATTTGCGACACAAGAATGTTGTTAAGACATAGAATTGCCATTAATATCGTACATCATTTCATTTTTTCTTACACTTGATACTCTCATTGATTTAAGATCATCTGTTTCTATGAGGAAAATAATCATAGTTTAAACAAATGTAAATTTTGTGTATCAAGCCTTTTAAGTCATTTCTTTAAAAAAAAGAAAGAAGATAACATTTTGAATTTGCTTGCATCTGATATTTATTTTAAGAGAGAATAAAAGTATAATAGTAGTAATATTATCTTTTATAACATTTGGAATGTTAATACTTTATTTCAAATATATGTATTTGTGTTTTCTGTGTTTCAGTTTATTATTTAAATGATATAAGGCAACTTGAACATTAACTGTAGCAAAATTAGACGTTGACAAACAGGTGCAAAATAAGTTAATTGCTAGGTTTTTCATTATTTTCATGAATAAGAAAATTGCCCAATTTTACCTTTATATAGCACTACATAAAGAGATATTTAGAACACTACATACAGTGATAGATTGTGAAAGTGATAAAACCTAAAGTCATTCTAGATCACTATCTAAAATAACAACCTAGAGCACTTCATAAAATGAGCCGCGTCACGACAAAACCAACATAGTGGGTTTGCGACCAGCATGGATCCAGACCAGCCTGCGATTCCGCGCAGTCTGATCAGGATCCATGCTGTTCGCTTACAAACCCTATTACAAGTAGAGAAACTGATAGCGAACAGCATGGATCCTGATCAGACTGCGCGGATGCGCAAGCTGGTCTGGATCCATGCTGGTCGCAAACGCATTACGTTTGTTTTGTCGTGACGCGGCTCAAATGTCATTTATGATTATGCACTACCTAATACAGCATTCTGGAGCACGTATTACACAATGTGTCATTCTCAAACAATACATTAACATACATTCTAGAAAACTAATAATTGCCATTCTACAAATCTACCTAGCCAATGTTTTATTTAAGAACACTACCTAATAAGACATTCTAGAACACTACCAAATGTTACATTCTAAAACGTTACCTTATGTGTTTTTTTTTTTGAAACACTGCATTATGTGTAATGCAGGAACACTACATTAAAGATAATTCTAGAACACTTCCTTAGTCATACTAAAGTTATCATTCAAGAACACCACCGAATGTGGCATTCAAGAACACTGCATTATATGTGGAATTCTAGATAGTTATCTAATGTGTTATTCAGGAATACTACGTGATGTGGCATTCTTGAACACTATCTAATGTTGCATTCCAGAACACTACATTTTGTGATTTGTTTAGGACACTACATCCAATGGCATCCTAGGTCACACTGACATCCTTAATATAGCTCATGCTCATGTCAAACCATGAAAGAGTAGAATTATTTCTTTTTTTATCATATGCATAAATGTTTGAGTGAAAATGTGTGAATGTGTATCAGATTTATGGAACGCCATCTCTGTCCATGTTTCAGTCATAAATAAGAATAACAATTGCCCTTTTTGGCATCTGTCATAGTAGTGAATAGAACAATTTATAACTCTAGGTAATAGAATGTAGATACAGTTTTATTGAATTACCCGGTCTCAGAATTGTTAAAATAGCATACCTGTTTATGTTAGTGTATATATATATAGCTTCTTGTAGTACATTTTTAATGCCGTTATTGTTTCTGTTTGTAAATTATTGATAATATACAATAATAAACACAAATTTAGGTTTTCTTGTTGAATTTGTTATATTTTCACCAATTAAGCAGAAGTTGGAGTTACGTCCCCGTTTATGAATGTTGAACTTGTTATATTTCACCAATTAAGCAGAAGTTGGAGTTACGTCCCCGTTTTTGAATGTTGAATGAGAAATGGATATAGCACCAATTTCGTATTTTTATTAAAAAATAATCTGAATTTATAATGTTGTCTTTTACACCTACTAACAACAGTGCTGTATCACAAAAAGTCACGTGGTATAGGCACTTTGTCTCCGTTGCGGCTGTTAAAAATTGCCCACTTTGTGTCTTGTGCTTTTTTTCTAAAATCTTATCCATTTTTATTTGGCCCAGCAAAATATCAGCATATTAGAATATTAATAATATTAGAATATATCTGAATATTAAGTATTTCTAACAAGAACTATGTAGTATTGTGTTGTGCTTTTCCCATTTGTTGGACTGTACGTCTCATAGGCACTTAAAGTGGTCATATGTCGTCTTTGATTCATTCATTACTAGTGGGGAAAAACCTCAGATGCACCTCTGTGTATAATTTCAAGCACGCATGGATATTTTACTAGAACGACCGACTTTCCGTAAGAAGGTTGGATAGCTTCCATGTAAGAAAGAATCCAGTGTCAATGGCTGGGTTTGAACCTACAGGTATGAGTGTCAAGTGTTTCGAAGTCTGAGACCTTAACCACTCGGACACAAAGGCCAAATTTTACAGTTCAACTAATTCAGTAAAATTGATGTTGAGTCTGTTTTTACTGAATAGTAATTCAGTGTTGTCCTGTCTATTAAATGGGTGTTATTACTGGCAATCGTCGAAAATTTACGGACCCTGGTCTTATATTTGTAATATTAAAAATATATGATTTGACAAATACACACGGCTGTAATTAAGCGTTTACACTTAAGACACTCTTTTGTACAAGAAGGTAATCATGGGGAATTCCGTAAGAAAACCATTTTAAAATATCGCCTTGTTATATAGATGATGCGAATGAAAACAGGTGATGTTATTACACTTAAATTGACCAAATTCATTCATAACAGATACTCAAACAGACCGACCACATATTTTTTAAGAAAAACAAAACAATTATAAACTGACGTGCACACTTTTATTCCAAACTTAAATAAGCAATTGTTCCTAGAAGAAGTGTAAGAAACATAAATATTTTGACTCAAGAATATACAAATGTACACATAGTTCAATGCGACATGCAAATTATTTTCAAGAACCTTTTTAGTTCGCCAAGATATTTTGTTATCTTTGTAGGGAATCTTTGTTCTAAAACATAACAAATACACGTGTTTTCATTTATTTAAGTAACATTAGGTTAATATAAAAATGACCTTACAGATGAATGAATCGGAAGGCTTTTTATAAATTCCTTGGTTATTTATTATGTTTGCGTATTAAAAACAATTATGGCAAAATTTAAAGATATTATAACCTTTACCTTTACACCCGAAAATAACAAATGAGCAAAATGTCACTTTAACATACCATATCAAACGATTTTCAGAAAGAGTATATAAAAAGAACTGAAGCAAAATGATCTGAATTTTATTTATCACAAAAAAAGAGACACAAACAAACAACTTAACATAGGCTGCATTACAATCACAATTTTGCATCTCAAATGCTTTAGTAAAATTGTTTTAAAAAGTCAAAGGTTATGAAACCTTAATTTAGAGACCGGTTACACTGGTACCCAACATAACATTGTTAGATTTCTATTCACTTTTTTAACTGCATCAATGAAAAAAAAGCAAATTTTATTCAGTCTGAACTGGTCGGCCTCTAATATCAGTTTCTGATTAATAACCTTGGAAAAAGAAAAATATATTTGCGAAAATGCGAACAAGCGTTTACTATCTTTTAAAGCGGCCTTTAGCTTTTCAAAAGTTAAAAATTTTTTTTTTTATAAATCATTTCATATAATTGTCAAATCAAAAGAATTAGGGTGGAAAATGAAAAAAATACATAAAAAATCACGGAAAGTTCTCGACACCTCTACAACGCTCTCTATAAGCAAATTAGTAAAGTGAAGGATTCGTTTCCTGAACTCCCATTTTTTTTAGAAACAAACGTCACTTACGAGCTGTAAATAGCTCTCGGATCGCTGTCTTGTAAAAGGGTTAAGAAGGAAATGATGGACATTTCAAAGATAAAAAAAACTGACATACTTAGTTTGAAACAAAACAGAATTGTTTTTCCAACAAAACATTAAAAAACTGAAGGCCGCTTTAAATTTAATATTTGTCACGTGATATTTAGTGACAGGTTGAGGATGAACCTAACCCGACACATCTCTTAAGACTGTCATCCCAAACGAGGTTACCGGGACACTGTCTATGTCCGTACATAGAATACCAGACGCATGTGACGTAATAGCCACACCCTTTACAAGACTGATAATCGCCATTTGCTCGTCCGAAACATGACTTTATGCAGGCACCTATAATAAACAAAACAGAAAATGTACAAAACTTTGTAAATATTCTAAAATAAGACAAAAAAAAACCCCTAAAAAACAACAAAAAACAAACAACAAATACAACATTCTCCAAAAAACAACAACAATTTAAAACCAAATACATTTAATGTTGGTTTGCATGATATATTATAAGAAGGTACTTTTACTTCGGTGCTCAATAGAAACACAGACACTTGGACTGTAGACCCCACCGTTACCTGGCCCTGAATATAAAAAATTTAAAACTTATTTTTTTGTAAGAACTTGTCTCAATTTAATATAATTATGATATTTAAGAATGTTGTCAAAATAGCCAGGTCGTAATAATATGCAAAAATAATTTGAAGTAACGTTCGAGAAGGTACGCGACTCCTATAACCCCAAGTGTTTGTGACAGACGAAAGATTATTTACCCTGTAATTGGTTATTTATATAATGCACATATCTCCAAAAGAAGTAAATAAAGTACAACGAGGTGTCAGTTACATATACACCCACACAATTGTTCATGTTCGATTGTGCTAAATTACTAAAATATAATATGACCTGAGAGCACTTTAGACGGACAGACACGACTCGCTGCTTAGTCAAACAAAGCCTGAAACCATTTCACTTTTGCCGTTTAGGGCGGTCTATATGTGTTCTGTTTTTCTCTAGTTGTTCAGGAAGGTCTTTAGATATTCTGTGTTTCTCTCAAAATTACTAGATGTTAAAACAATTTAGAAGGGTTAAGCTTTCAGATTTTGCATATCTTCAGCTCAAAAGACTGAGAATGGGAAATCGTTTGTTTGTTTGTTTTGGGTTTTACGTCACATCGACACAATACAGGTCATATCGTGACGAGCCAGCTTTACTGGTGGAGGAAGACCTCAGGTGCCCTTCCGTGCATTATTTCAGGCACGAACGGGCACCTGAGTAGAACCACCGACGTTCCGTAAGCTAGCTGGATAGCTTCCTCACATGAAAATCCAAAGTCCCTGTCGGGATTCGAACCCACAGCGGCGAGGGGCAAGTGGTTTGAAGTCAACGACCTGAACCACTCGGCCACTGAAGCCCGGTATGGAAACCGTTATAACTTCTGTCATTAATATACACGAATAGTAAAGTTTGTTCATGTGTATTCATGGCCTTAGTAAAACATAAAATCGTTGCACTATTGTGCAATATTTCCCAATTATCTCCCTTGAATATTAAATTTGACGTTACATTGCCATGCCGCATCGTGCCATAAAAATATGCCCTAAGATATAAGTGTTGGCTCGGTTGTAGGCAAAGATTAATATAATATCGTTTTTTCCAATTTTATTTGAAATATTAGTCATCATTTTACATTGTTAGCTTTGTTATTATATGAATTTTGACCTACTTTCACGTTGGACAGACTTCGTGAAAACAAACACGGCTGACAAAGCGGAATCACCTTAATGCACAAAAATAATACAAGTAAAACAGTCAAATTACCATACCTTGTTTTAACCCAGGAGAAACACCAATAGCGTTATTGCCACCAGATTTTTGTGTTACCTCTGAAATGTTCAACGATGTTTAGGTTAATATATTTGATTACATGGATCAAAACAGTTCTCATTGAAACTTTATTTATAATGTTGATAATTAATAAATACATTGAACATCAGTTAATTAACATCAATTAGTAGAAGTTTGACATACAATATGTGTGCGAGAGACTTTCTCGGAACGCAGCCACAGGAAGCACAGGAAAATCACCCAGTAGGGCACCGGACAGAAATAAGAGTGTACACAAGCCGCTAAATATCATAACATAAGGACAGTTAATAAGAGTACTACCGAGACAAACCACAAACATCAACATCTATTTCTTGAATATTAAATGTAAATATGTGCGGAAAACCAACACAATCGAAGAAAATTTTTCACATGAGTGACTGCACTTAATAATATTGTTATCAAAAGTGAAATCGAGCATTCTCTGTAATAAAATTAAAAAAATAAATATTTATTTACTTAGAGTAGTCGTTGGTGGTTGTGTTGGCGGTTGTGTTGGCGGTTGTGTAGGTGGCTGTGTCGGTTTTTGTGTTGGTGGTTGTGTTGGTGGTTGTGTAGGTGGCTGCGTGGGCTTCTGTGTCGTTGGTTGTGTTGTCGGCGGCTGTGTTGGTTTCTGTGTTGTCTGCGTAGTTGTCGAAGGTGTTGTTGGCTGTGTTGTTGGCTGTGTTGTCACAGGTGCTTGTGTCGTCGTAGGTACAGGGGCTTTTGTTGTAGTTGTTTGAGCCATACGACCTCCTTGCAGATCTAGAATGTAATCAAAACATTACCCTTTCTAAAAGATTTATAGAGAAAAAAAAACAACAACATTATAACAGATTAAGTTTACTGAAATCTATTGAAACATTATAACATTTTTTTCAAACTTACTCCATTTGAGATTATGAATAAGCAAATGCTATAAGGGCAGCTGCTAATCGGTTAAAAAACAAAAAGCTTTTGTGTCACTTGCTTGAATAAGAATAAACAATGGTGTATGTGTAAAGAAATATTTGAAAATTTGAAATATATCATACAATATTGATAAGGTACAAACCTAACGGACATCCTAGCACACCAAGCCTCAAGGCAATGTTTTTATGCCAGCCTAGCGGATTAACACGAATACATTTAGCCATTACTGGACAATGAAACATGTTAGTTACAGCCGTTTTCTCGTCCTTGTTGCCGTCAAAGAACTGGAAAAGATGTTGTCATACAAGGTAGGTTCAAGTGTTTGATAAAGAGTGAGACTAAAAAAGTATTGGGAGCACCAATACTAAATACCGTATTCCGGTATATACCGGACAAGGCGTGTGGACGATTCAATGCTAAAATCTCGCCTTTTCACCCAATGGAACAAACTATTTTTCTACTTTGTGATCATGATTTCTGCAAGCGTCTATAGCTACTGCTCCAACACTGTAGTTAGTTAAATTCTTGAATAAAACCGCCATATAAAACAGCTCAAGTTACATGCTAACTAGCAAATATCAGTTCAATTAAATAAAAACACCAAAATAATGACAGTTCTCTTATTACTTATTAAAATTACAGAAAATAATATCACAAAGTAATTAATCAACCTAAATTTAAAATAAAGTCAGAATATGTATATAATTATATTTTTTTTCAATTTGGTGAATATCTATGAAAATAAAATATTTGCGTTCCCTCTGATATACTTAAGATGTTTGGCTTACTTTGTCAGTCACATTAAATCCACCAACAGTGTGCCAATGTTTACAATCCTCGCTGTAAAACACGCGGTATCTCGTCACCCATTGTTTATCACTACCGTCACGCCCCTGTGTGATCAACCCACGGATCATTGAAGCATCTTTCAATTCAACCTTAAAGAATTTGACAAGAAAACATCGCAAATTAACAAATATATGAGCCGCGTCACGACAAAACACAGCATGGATCCTGATCAGACTGCGCGGATGCGCAGGCTGGTCTGGATCTATGCTGGTCGCAAACCCACACTATGTTGGTTTTGTCATGACGCGGCTCAAATATATCGTGTTGCTTTACAGGGTTCAGCAATCTTTTTATTTAAAGATATAATATGCTCAAATTTTATATTTTTCAATATTGGTAATTGCTACACAGTCTCTTTGTAAATATAGAATAAACATTTACACATAAAGTAGAAATCTTATGCTATAGGTTGACACAATAAGAATATAAAGTGTCATTTAAAAAACGGGCAGTTTTTTTAAGAACGGACCAACTGTACTTGACCTGTAATAGGATACGCAGCTTCCCACACACAGAATGTACATTCTTTTATCAAAATAAGACATATTCAGAAAGAATTACATAGATTTCAGTTAATTTCTGGGATAAAAATGTTTTACTCTAAGATGAGCATAGTATATCTTTAATTTGTGCGATTACTTAGTATAAATAATATTCGAACATACAACATAATCATTTTATTTCGGGATATCAAAACTTTAAACACATTTCAAATACACAGGTGTATCATATTAAATAGTATTGAGAATAAATAAATATCTATAAAAAAGGTTTTCAATAAATATTATGAGCTAGCAGCTATTTAGAAAATTGTATAATGTATGATAAAACGTATGTAGGAAAAAATCAAGAAAAAGAAAATGGCAGCTATCAGCCATGCTGTTTTCTAAATGATTTTCTTAAAATGCCAGCATGGATACTTCCAATAAATTCAAACCCTACGTGCTCTTTTTTTTTCTTTCAGTGAGGTACAAACATTTTATTACCTGTATCCACTGGTTAAAGTTATCTTTTTCTGCAACCCATGCGCCCATCTGTGTTACCCCGGCAGCATCTTTAGCTTCTGTAGCATTGAGCTGGGCTCGATCTGGACCGTAGTTATTCTGTTTGTCATTAGGAGCCATTTGACTCGAAGCTGTTTTACCATTTGAATATGTAACAGCGAGATCATCTTTGCAGACATCTGTAATTCACAAATGTTAAGTACAGTTACTCCCCTTTTATAACAGTACGACATTTGCACTGATAAATCGGGATAGGTATTCTTAATCTTTTACCTTTAATTTAAGTCATTTCTTTTATTTAAAGATGTAACATTTACTCACTTTTATTATATCAAAATCATCTTTTTTCCAGAGATAGACCGAGTGCGTATAATTTATATCGATCGAAATATGTAAAGAATTTGTTTTAAAGGCTTGTTTATAAGCTGTCAAAGTGTCATAGTCTTTGATCTGTATAATTATTGAATGTTTACCTTGATTTACGTTGATTTTTCTATGCACACGATTTATAAAGACAAATTCATATAAAACGATGTATGAAAGTATTTTACACGAGTTTTAGATAGATCTTCTTTTTTTTGCAACATTTATAAAATAAAGAGCGGCCAAAACTAGCTTTGTATTATTTTGCGAACTTTAATTAATTACGTGAAAGTCCGTGGTTAATTATACGGTAGAGAAAAATAAACGAATCAGTATTTTTGATTTAGAATATTGTTTAATAGTGTTCATATCACACACTGTTTCAAGGCTGGCTACTGTCGCTCGTGAAATATTTATTTTCTACTGATGAAAATAAATCCTGTTTTTACAGAAAAAAACTTGACTTTTCTGTTTATTATATACGTATTATATACTTTTTTCTCTTTTTTAACCTTATGAATACGAAGAATTCCCTTTTAAGTTTGTGTACTGGCTGAAAGTAGAAGGTAGTCCGGAAAGACACCAGTGTAAATACGGAAAATATGTTTCACTGCAGTGAAAATTTAATTTTTTACAGTGAAAATAAACAATCTATTTCATCAATATTTCCCAATATTTCATTAAAAAGTATATAATATAGTCATTTACTTTGGCAACTGTTGGAGTAATAACCTACCGAGTTAAAAGTTGTATTTGTGTATTATATTTTATCTTTGTGAGATTGCATAGTTCATGGCCATTTTCCAATGATAAATTAGTTTATAATGAAATTAGAACGGCTAAGTTTATAGTTATACCTGTGTTTACCTTTTTTTCAGACACAGTTTAACAAAGAAAGATGTTCTTTCGCCGTGCATTCATCCTTCTGTTTTTGATTCCGTTATCAATCCATAATGTGTACTCGAAAATAAGTTTACACTATGCAGCCATTGAATTACTTGGGGATATTGACAGATCAAGTGATTTATTTGAAGGAATAATCATGGGAGATGAATATAACGACTTACTTGATATCAATATGAATCAATTAGTCATATCAAGATATTTTCATGTAAAAGTGACAAAGTTAGATCGAACACCTAAGTATGATTGCGCGAAAGTTGAAATTATAGCAAATGAGAAAGTTGAAATTTATAATAGTTTTGATTATATCCCAGAAATATGCTACAGTTTGAAAGGCGCATTTTGGTATGGCGGAGCAGAATTGCAATACCAACGATGGCCGATTCGAGGAACTTCATTACCAATGCAGCCCTATGTAACTAATGACATTGTGCCACTCAATCAGTCATTTGGGAACGTGATTGAACGCTTCTGGATCAACTCTAAAGGTATTGGTATACGCGTTGATGACAACACACCTCTGTCGGTAAGCTTCAACTTTAGTCATGATCAGATTTGCTTTCGTGCTGAGAGCGGACAAAGATGTACAAACAACGAAAAGCCTGCTTCTCTCGTATATGAGTTTTGCAGTGCAGACAATGTAAAGGAAATATATAAATTGTTCACAAGTCTCCCAGCAGGTGTACCAGATGAAAGAATGTTCAAATCGCCAATCTGGTCAACATGGGCAAAGTACAAAGTTCATATTGATCAAGCAAAGGTTATACACTATGCAACTGAAATTGTCGAGAACGGTTTTAGCAACTCTCAAATCGAAATAGATGACATGTACTCGACACACTATGGTGAGTTTAATTTTACACCAGAAAAATTCAAAAACCCAAAGGAAATGATACAGAAATTAAAACAAATGGGTTTCCGCGTAACCGTTTGGGTAACACCTTTTGCAAATTGTGATTCACCCGCTTTTAATGAAGGACTGGAGAAAGGATATTGGTTAAAAGATTTGACAGGACAAGTTCCTGCTCTTGTTAAATGGTGGCAAGGTATTGGCGGACTACTTGATGTTGAAAATGACAATGCTGTCAAATGGTACATTGAACGGCTGGTAAAAATGAAAGACGAATACGGTGTGGATTCCTTCAAATTTGATGCAGGTGAAGTGACTTACCTACCACCTGTTCATGAATACTCGGGAAAATGGTCCGACCACACTGTATATACAACTAAATATGTGGAAGCAGTTAGCAAGTTGGGGTCAATGATTGAGGTTTGATTAATTTATTTCATGTGTGTATAGAAGTAAACTTACTAAGTTTGCGGTTGTTTTTGATAAGCTTATTTGTATACGGTAAACATAAACTGCATGCTCGCTTTGTAGCTTCAAACGTCAACGAATGCGGTCACGATGATTCAAAGTCATTTATTTATGCGAGCACCAGATCACTTGACATTATATTCAAAGCTATTTCCTATTTTGTTAAAGATGAAGTGTATTTATCGCATTCTTTCCATATTTTAAGCCGTTTGTAATTCTGGATTTACCAAAATTTGAAATTCTCACACCCTATGTTCCCTAATGATCTACATTAATTTACAGTTGCGGATGATTCAAACTTCCTAATCATGCGTTCTTCATTTAAATTGTTGAGTTCTGCATAACCAGTGCTATAGGGCATGGACTGTGGATTGCAATCAATAAAACAAAGCCCACAACATTTCCAATTAGTGACGTCATATGATAGATAGTTAAGATAACAATAACAATATGTCATACATTTTAGGTTCGGTGCGGTTATCGGTCTCAAAAAGTCCCAGTTTTTGTCAGGATGGGAGACAAAGAGTCCAGATGGGGTTATAACAATGGCCTTCAATCATTAATCCCCACAATATTGACGATGGGAATCTTGGGGTACCCGTATATACTCCCCGACATGATCGGCGGGAACGGATACGTGTACGATGAAACAGTGGAAAACCCGTTCATAAATACAGAGTTACCGGACAGGTTAGGAAATATTCTTAATTTTTACCAAATCTAGGCCAAATAAAGGCCTTTTTCCAATTGACAAATCAGTTATAATTAACAATTTAAAGTGACATTATGCTCATTTTTTCGTCGACCAGATCAGTTGAATTGCATATGTATAATTATATTTCAAAAGATTAACTTTTTAAGGAAGTTTGACCACTAACTAATATAAAAAAAAACTGCCCCACTCTTTTTACCAACGGAGCGTAATTATAACCCATACATTCTAAAAGGTATTGATAGAAATTTCCGTGTGTTACATGGATTGTTGGTTATTTATTAAAAGTATAATATGAAATTGGAAATAGATATGGCAAAATGTAAACTTAAAATAATATTTGATTTTACCTCCACTCTCAACATTTACAATCGGATTGGCATAATGTCGCTTTAATATTGAAAAATCACATATGATATGACAATTTCCCTAGCCAGCTAAACTTTACACTTGAGAAATAATATGACTAGTCATAGCAAAAAAAAAACAGCATTTTTTCATTCTTTACCACCCTAAATTCTTTTAATTTAAAATGCCTCCGTTGTTTACAAAAGAAAGTAAAAATATGACTGATAATTATATTTTAAAATATTTCAATACAAACGATAATTATATCTTAAAATATTTCAATAAAAAATATTTTTGAAAAGGCGAATTTTAACTATTGTTTTGTAGTATATAAAAAAAACTTGCCGACGAACTCCGTGACAGTTATCACTAGAACTCGTGACAAGTTATCATAAGAACTTCATCCTTCGTGTAACAGTTCCTCCCCCGTGATTAGGTGGACTTTGATTCCATGTATTTAACATAGAACAAGTATAAAATTTTATAAAGAACTTAGAAGTACATGTACATAAAGTTCAAGTCAAACGTGAAATAGTTTAACAAAGTTTAACAAGTATTTTATTTTAATACAAAACGTGTTCCTTAGATTAAATTGAAGTTCATTAAATATACAGTGTTCCGTGATAGCTTTGTACTGCTCTATTATAATATAAGATAAACATAATTGTCTTTCCTTTAAATATATAAGCTGAGCTAAGATAGTATTTTAATTCATCTGGCGACAGTGCCTAATTTAAGATCCTCTGTTAATCCACTCTATGTCACTGTCAAATCCACCTAAAATCATTACCGTTTAGACTTGAAATATGTAGATACTACGCTAATTGAACCAAATAGTAAAATGTTTTAAATCCATAAAGTCTTTTGAAAAAAATATATAGAAAAATATTGAATTACATATGTATAATTTCATAGAAATGTGCACTTGGCATCCAATTTCATTTACTGGTATTTAACGAAGCCTATATATTTAATCGTTAGTTAACTTCATTTACAAGTTGAAACTTAATTATTAAAGTTATTTTATAGCGCATTTTTATCATTTATTTGTTATAGAAATCTTTGTATTGGCTTTATTTAGCTGATAAATCACAAACAAACACTGTCATTTATTTGTAATAGTAAACCACAACTGGATATTTTTTTATTAAACAAAGACTATGTTATGTGACTTGTCTTAAAACTTAAAATAATTAATGCATGTATAGCAATATTTGCCAATCATTGTGAACTAAACCCAAACTTTAAATTTAAAATTACTTCTGCATGTAGAGCGCCATTTGCCAATCACTGTAAACGAAATCCAGGCTTTTATTTCAGGGAATTGTATATCCGATGGCTCGAGGTGACGGCGTATATGCCAGCCATGCAGTTCTCCTTTGTTCCATGGCAGTATGATGACGAAGTTGTGCAAATAGCAAGGAAATTCGTACAAATACACGAGGAAATAGTGACTCCACTAATACTACAGGCTACGAAGGCAGCTCAGGAAACAGGTATGTCAAAACAATCCTTTAAATCATAAATCCTTAATATACATACTAACACGACCAAAACATTTTTTAACATTTTTCGTTGTCCGATCCGTGTATAAAACTAGAAATTTTGATTATTTTGTTATTTCTGTAATCTTACGTTTAAAAAGGCGTCTCCAAGCTTGAAAACTTATACGGATACATGAATCAAGTAAAACGAGACATCTTGCTTCCTCTCGATAAGATAAGGTTAAGATAAGGTTAAGATAAGATAAGGTTAGATAGGATAAGATAAGATAGGACAAGGTAAAAAATGGTATGATGTGATAAGAATATATTCATTTCTCTCCATAAAACATGAATAAATTTTGTTGACGTCGCTTGACAGCTATATACAGTTCTGCTTTTCTTTTGAAAATACAGTTGGCTCTTGATATACTAGTCGTGTCGTAACGAATAGCAATAATAATTAATCATGGTAACATTATTTCGCATCTCACAAGCTGATTTGTGAAATGGTAGAAACACATATTTTACATGGCGTGTTTGATAAACAAACACTTAAGCAATGAAATGTTCAAGATTGAATAATGCTTTGACTGTAATCTAGTACAATATCGATTGTTGGGCGCAACCATTTTGGTATCGTGTTTCTTTAGCCTTTTTACAATATAAATAAAAATAGGCAGAAGGACGTCCCACCGTTTGCGTCAACCACTTACAGTTTAGCTTTATTTAAAGTCACCATTCAATGCAGCAAAGTGATAGGACTTGTACAGATTCTAATGCATCTTGGGAAATTCAAACATCAAAAGAGATTACTTTAATGAACTGATATGTTATTTTAATCCGTTACATTTAGAAGATACCTTACATCTTGTACGAATGTGTAACCTTTGTTAACCTTGATGACAAATCTCATTTAAACAAACTTGTTTTTATTCAGGAATATGACCAAACATTGCACCTTTACTAACAAACTTGGGAATTAAATTTAATATCACTAAGACTTTTCTTACCCACAGTTCACGAGAGATGTTAGTTCAAGATGTACTTGAATAACTTGAGAAATAATCTTTCTTTACGAAACATTGTCGATGTAAAATGTATCCGATATATTATTTTATTCTTTATTATTCATATTTTAAAAGCGATAAATATGTTTTCAATTTTAATCATGCATTCAGTGGCTCATTGTAATTGAAATGTTGAGCTTAGTCATTGAAACATCAGGAGCAATATAGGAGCTAAAGAAAAATCCTACTTTTGTCATGCTGTAAAACAATAATAAACAAAACCCCACAATTCGCAATAATATATGTAGCAATTATTACAAAAACTCAAGATCCCCATTATAGAACAGAAGCAATATCAGTATTGTTTTTACATAAATAAAAATTATCTTTAAAAAAATATATTTATACCATAGTAATTCAATTTGAATTTTTTATGTATAAATGGCATTGATTTAATTAAATTTCAAATACTTCAAACGGAATCTACACTATTAATCTATAGATGAAAGCATTACTCCGGTACTAATGATTCTTTTCACAAACGGCTTGAGTTTTATTATAATAATACATTTCGTAAAGTATAATAAATTAGATACAATAATACAAAAAAGACAATTAAAAAATGCTTATCATTGCTTTTATTAAACCATACACTATTTAGATATTTTATACATATAAAATACATTTAATGTCATATTTAAGCTTGTTTTTGTTTTCATTTATAGGAGACCCGCTTATTTCACGGCGTCTCAACGCCGTGATATTGTGATGGGTAGTTTTCGGTAGCATTGGCAAAAGTCACGTGACAAAATGCCTTTCGATTTCTACAGCCGACATTTTATTGTTTTTACGCAATCATTGTACAGCCCATTTCCGTGAAAAGTTACATAGAAACAGTTTTTTTTTCAAAACCATATAGAATCTAAACAGTATTTTTATCAACACACGAAATATCAGCGTTTTATATTAATACATTTCCGGACATCCTTTCGACATGCTTGAGAAATTCGCCTTGAATGGATTATGTATGGTGGCTGATTAACGCCATCCAAATATTTTCGCGTCTTCGCCTCAAAATGCGAAAATGCGAAAACACGAAGGGACGACATATTTTGACTAATGTGTTCTCATGTCGGATCTATGTCTCTCTCGGAGTGAATCTTTTCACGTGTAAAATGTCTTTGAACATTACATTCCTAAGTTTCTATATTTGCAATTAAGAACTTAAATTGTCTTTTTTTTCAGCTCACCAGAGCCGAAGGCTCAGGGTGAGCTATTAGTAACAAAGGGGGATACTCCGGCGTCCGTCGTCCGTCGTCATGCGTCAACAATCATCTTCTTCTCTGAAACTGCTGGGCAGATTTAACTAAAATTTGGTCTGTAGCATCCTTGTGATAGTCACACTTAAATTTGCTCATGTCATTTCAATTGGCCCCTTTTAGGGTTCAGCAGAGCTAAAGATAGAAAAACCTTTAAACATCTTCTACTACAGAACTAATGGATGGATGATCACCAAACTTTGTCTGTAGCATCCTTAGGTAGTCTTTATCGAGTTTGCTCATATTAATTTGATTGGCCCCTTGTAGGGGCTGCTATAGCTAAAAATAGAAATACCTTTAAACGTCTTCTTCTACAGAACTAATTGATGGATGATCACCAAACTTTGTCTGTAGCATCCTTAGGTAGTCTTTTATCAAGTTTGCTCATATTAATTTGATTGGCCCCTTTTAGGGGTCACTAGGGCTTAAAATAGAAAACCTTTAGACATTTTCTTCTACAGAACTAATGGATGGATGATTACCAAACTTTGTCTGTAGCATTCTTGGGTAGTCTTTTATCAAGTTTGCTTATATTATTTTGATTGGCCCCTTTTAAGGGCCGCTATAGCTTAAAATAGAAATACTTTTAAATGCTTTTTCTACAGAACTAATTGATGGATGATCACCAAACTTTGTCTGTAGCTTTCTTAAGTATTCTTTTATCAAGTTTGCTCATATTAATTTGATTGGCCCCTTGTAGGGGCCGCTAAAGCTAAAAATAGAAATACCTTTAAACATCTGCTTCTACAGAACTAATAGATAAATGATCACCAAACTTTGTCTGTAGCCTTCTTTGGAAGTCTTTTATCAAGTTTGCTCATCTTAATTTGATTGGCCCCTTTTAGGAGTCTCTAGGGTAAAAAATAGAAAAACCTTTAGACATCTTCATCTGCAGAGCTAATTGATAGATGGTCATTAAACTTTGTCAGTAGCATTCTTAGGTAGTCTTTAATCAAGTTTGCTCATATTAATTTGATTGGTCCTGTTAAAGCTAAAGCTTAAATGCACTAGCATTTCTTTAAATTAAAGTTTAAAGATATTCTAAGCTAACAAAGTATATTCATTCTTTTATCCAAGCAAGAATTTCATAAATTTCATTGGCTTGGGTCATGACCTGTTTATGATGTGTAAATATATTTCAGCTCTGGAATTCGGACTATTGCATCATTGTAAGGTCAGTTGTAGGTCATTAACCAGGGAAAAAAATAGGCCTAAAGAAACATAAAATTTGTTTCTCCTGTACTTTACTATCAAAGATGAGTATATCTGCTCAATTCTCTTATTGAATTTTGTAAAAATTGTATTTTTTTCATTTTTTTTTGTTGAATTAACAAGGGACAAGGGGTTTAATTTCTGTTCCTGAATTGAATTTTGATATGAACTGGCTTACTTTTGATATATTTGATATCGCTTTACCTACTTTTTTTGTCTTTTATGTACAGACTTGAAATTTGGACTATGGGTGTAATTTGTGTAATTTTTGATGTTGAATTCAATTTTGATACCAGCTGACCTACTTTAGGTATTACTGACATCATTTGACCTACTGTCCTGTATTTTGACATTCAGATTTTAAATGTTGACCAGGTTTGTAAATTCTGATGCCGAAATGAATTTTGATATCAACTGACCTACTTTTGATATTTTTGATATAATTTGACTTTCATTCTTGTGTTCTTGACATACAGACTTGAAATTTGGACTAGGGGTGTAATTTCTGATGCTGAATTGAATTTTGATATTAACTGGCCTACTTTTCATATTTTTTTACAATGTTTGACCTATTGTCTTTTTTTGAGGTACAGTTATGTTACCATACAGAATGTATAAAAAAATTTTTGTCCCAAACTGTGAACTTCAAACATCTACACCTTACATGTTTTGCCTGTGACATTTTGTGTTTTCATTCAAAAAAAGTTTAAAAAAAAATTGTCCAATCAAAATCAATCCTGCTCTAGTGGTCAGTTGTTCTGCATTTATTCTACATAGTCTCATAGGAACACACTTGCAACATACATATTTTTAACAAATCCTTTCCAAAATATTAGGGCAACATATTACAATTTATATAGTGAATAATGAAATGATGGGTTAGATGAGTCATCTAGGGCCATCTTAGTGGTCCTATTGTTTATTATGAAGAAAAAAAGCTAAAACAATCAGTGTTGTGAAAGTATATTACTAAAGGGGCAAGTTAAAGTTGATCGAGCTGAACTGCCGAAAGAGCTGGACTTGCCTTTCAGCAAGTTCTTTTGAAAAATAATTTCCAACACTGAAAAGCAGTTGTTTCTGGTGAGCGACTCAGGGCCATCATGGCCCTCTTGTTTAATAATTTCATTTTTCTTGCGCAATTCTCTAAAATGAGACTTGGTTTTTCTATATGCGTTTCACAATTAACATTCACCATACCAGGTTGTAAAATAACTTAATTTGGTCCTTAAATCAGTTTTTACCACAACATCAAACTTCATTCAGAATTCATGTCACGTTATTGTGAGCAAAATTCTGAGTTTCCTTTAGATATGAGCAAGAAAATGTTTATTACCCCCACCGAAAAGACGGATATAGAATTAGTCTCCATCCGTCCGTCCGTCTGTCCTTCCGTCCGTCACTCTACATTTTTGTCCGGAGCATATCTCAAAAAGTATCAATTTGAAACTTCATAGGTGGAGGTATCAACTTGAAACTTCATTTGTGGATAAATCATATTTAGGAAAAGTGCAGTGCACAAGAATGATAACTCTACGCTGCATATTTCTTCATTGTTGCCCTTTGTTATTCTTCAAACTCAATTTTGTCCACAGCATAACTCAAAAAGCCTTTGAGATATCAACATGAAACTTCATGTGGATAGATCTCACTCAGGAGGTGTGCAATGCAAGAGTGATAACTGTACCATTTCTAAATTTTGAGTTATTGCTCTTTGTTATTTTTCATTCTTAATTTTTCACCTGAGTGGAGCATAAATTAACTAAAAAAAACAAACTTTGAGATGTCAATGTAATCTTCATAGGTAGATAGATCTTTTTGAGGATGAATGTTGTGCGAAAGAATGATAACTCTAACCTTTATAATTTTTGAGTTATTGACATTTGTTATTTTCTTACTTTTTGTCCGGAGAATATCTAAAAAAGTGGTAGAGGTAACAACTTGAAACTTCATAGGTGGATAGCTCTTTTTGATGAGAAGTGCAGCACACTAGAATGATAACTAACCGTGCATTATTTTTCAGTTATTGCCCTTTGTTATTTTTCATACTTAATTTTGTCCAGGGTATAACTACAAAAGCCTTTGAGATATCTACATGAACCTTCAAAGGTGGACAGATCTCACTCAGGAGATATGCAGTGCAAAAGAGTGATAACTCTACCCTTCATAATTTTTAGTTATTGCCCTTTGTTATTTTTCATACTAATTTTTTCACCTCAGTGGAGCATATCTCTGAAAAAGTCTTTGAAATGTCAACATGAAACTTCATAGGTGGATAGATCTTTTTGAGGAGGAATGTTGTGCGCAAGAATGATAACTCTATCCTTTATAATGTTTGAGTTATTGCCATTTGTTATTTTTGAAACTTTTTGTCCGGAGCTTATCTAAAAAAATGTTAGAGGTAACAACTTGAAACTTCATAGGTGGATAGATCTTATTGGGGAGCATTGCAGCACACTAGAATGATAACATACCGTGCATTGTTTTTTCAGTTATTGCACTTTGTTATTTTTCATACTTTATTTTTGTCCCAGAGTATAACTACAAAAGCCTTTGAGATATCAACATGAAATTTCATAGGTGGATAGATCTTGCTCAGGAGGTATTCAGTACAAAAGAGTGATAACTCTACCCTTCATAATTTTTGAGTTATTGCCCTTTGTTATTTTCCATACTAAATTTTTCAGCTGAGTGGAGCATATCTCTGAAAAAGTCTTTGAAATGTCAACATGAAACTTTATAGGTGGATAGATCTTATTTGGGAGGAATGTTGTGCGCAAGAATAATACCCTTTATATTTTGTTAGTTATTGCCATTTGTTATTTTTCGTACTTTTTGTCCGGAGCTTATCTCAATTATTATTAATTGAGCCTTGATTTTAAACTAAATGTGTCTGTATTTCTTACCATCCTTTACTGGTTTTAGATTATCATTATTGTTTAATAGGTTTACTTAATTAATGTTGTACATTATTGTCTTATATATATATGATTATGTTTTATCGGATTTATGTAAAGCACTCTTGAACATTTATTATTTATGAAAAGATTGCTATAGAAATGTGGTATATAATAAAAATAATAATAATAATAATCTCAAAAAGGTGTTAGAGGTATCAACTTGAAACTTATTAGGTGGATAGATCTCATTGAGGAGGAGTGCAGCACACAAGACACCTACCGTGCATTATTTTTCAGTTATTGCCCTTTGTTATTTTTCATACTTAATTTTGTCCAGAGCATAACTACAAAGGCCTTTGAGATATCAACATGAACCTTCATAGGTGGATAAATCTCACTCGAGAGGTATGCAGTACACAAGAATGATAATTATTCTGCTCTACTACATATAAACATGGCTCTTGTAACAAGTTACATGATTATGATATTTTTAAAACCTTCTGAACAAGTTAACATGTCAATTCAAAACAATGCTATTTGGAGATACCTTATCAATATATTTAACTGGGTTTTTTTTTTGTTGGTTTTTTTTTTTTTTTTTTTTTTTTTTTCGCCGTGACAATCATATTGCTGCATTTCCCAGCAATTTTTTACTTGTAAGACCGTTGTGGTGGATAGCACCAAAGGACACGGATGCACTGGAGTGTGAAACCCAATTTCTGGTCGGGGACAATCTCCTGGTGGCACCGATTGTAGAAAAGGGTGCTAGGAAAAGAGATATTTACTTGCCCCCGGGAGAGTGGGAGGACTCAAAAAGTGACCAGACAATAAAAGGCGGGGCTTGGCTATATAATTACGAAGCAGAATTAGACGAAGTGGCTACATTTACACTAAAACAATAAAACTTATTTCTATCTGTGCTTAAAGTTGTGACAGTATTTCTAAGCCATAACCAGCAGAAACTGAATGTAACTAGTCTTTTTTACCATCCTAGCAGTCTGACCGGCTCTTTACTGTTGATAAATTAACTGTTGATTAACTTACTGTTTATAAACTTACTTTAAAATTTCATCTTGTTATCCCCAAAAAAAATGATAATAGAAAGCGGGATAAAATCAAATTCAGTCGGTTAATTAATTGTATATTATAACATATGCAATTATAATTAAGTAACAAAATATGTTATTAATTGAATAATGTAAGATATGCAATTATAATTAAGTAACAATATACATTATAACCTATAATTAATAATGTAACGGCTTTCAACGAAAGACTCAAGACATTACATTTTGTAAAAAAAGGGTCAATATTCAAGTACATTCCCTGTTTATTTTGTTAAAGTATATTAGAATTCACCGTTTTTTTTTTCATTAAAGTAAAAACATGCTCAGATGTCACATTTAAACTATATTTTTGATAAATATATATTGTAAGAATTTGATAATTGATATTCAAGAAAATATACATGAACGACTAAACTTGTCTGTGTTTTTTTCTATGTTGAAATCAGTCTCAATATCATGTTTTATGCTCAATCTCATTAAAATCATATCCTAACCCTACCCTACGTAGCGAAGAGTAACGGAGCGAAAACGATGATCTGATTTTAATGAGATTGGTTTTATGCTGTACAAGCGTGGAACTATATTCCAGTTGATATTTCTTAATTGTAAAAAAAGTTTGATATTTTGCTGACATTTTTTCTCAGGCATTAAATCGTTATTTTTAAAATTAATACATAAATTTATCAGTTACCTTGTTGTGTCGCAAAGTTTAATAAAATTTTCCTAGAGTTATTGCCTGTATCTTTTTTTCTTTTTTTTTCAGTTAGTTCAATTTTTGAAATTCATGTAATAAAGAAAATAAATCTATTCAACAATAAAAAACCGGTTATATTTCACTAAATGTATGTTTTACATAGAAACATTTCAGACTCCTGTGGTACAACAAAAATCAAATCAAAACTAAGAAAATATCATTTTGTTGCGTAGTTATCTAAACTTCACACTTATCATTTGAACACAACATTTCATATCCGTGGAAGTTGTGGTAAAAACAAAATAAAACGTTGCAAAGGTTTAATATTACCGCAAGATAAACATTGCAAATACTTTACTTCAATGTTTATTCGTCGGACAATAAATGTATTAATCATCTATTTTCATATTTATGAACGAGTCTGTGGTGAAATTTAATCTTTTGATGACATTTTATTTCAAGAACACCCAGACTACAATGTGTGGGATAGAAGCTTTCAGTTTACTCAAGATAAAAGTACAATTGTCACTAATATATTGAGTTGTAAAATGCTTATATCATATTTCTTTTTATGACATAAAACACTATTTTCTACTGCTAAAGTATCGACATATTGCTACAGCTAAGAATTGCTAAAGATATGAAGCAGATGCCAATCCTTACATAAAAAAATACTAAAATAAATGATGCTCAACATTGAATAATTAAAAAGAACTGCAATTAATTAAAATGCACGAAATGTAATATCACATTTTAAGCTGATATATAAACATCTAGCTACGTCTTATAAGTTCTTTATGTATCACTTCATTAGCAATAACATTATTCGCAGTGTCTTTTAAAAAAATATTGTGCCAGGTTTTTGCACAAATTCTGACAAGTGTGATATTTGAAAAATGAAACAACAACAACGTTTCAATTTATCAATATTTTGCACGGTGTTGAAGTTATTATAACATAATTTATGCGTAATGTTCGTTCGGAGACCTGGAGGCAAATAGTATTTGCCCTTTCGAGTTACCTTTGAGATTCTTAAGTGTATTAATTTTATTACATGTATTTAATTTTTTATGAAAAGACAACAAGTGTATTCTAAAATGCAACATTTTATTTTTGAAAATAAATATCCGGCCGCTTCAAGGGCTTACGTAAGTTATGCAAATGAATTAATCTCCTATAAAATTTAAGAAAAGAAAAGAAATCAAACAAACAAAGAAAAGAAAAAAAAACCAACAAAACCCTAAAGTACTCCGCTTATTACAAGATACATATTTCTATGATAAAAAGTGCACATGTCCACATTTGAAAATTTCCACACCTGTATCCTGATTTGCCAACGGTAATGATTCAAATTTTAAACATAAATACAGTATTTATTTAATTGTACAATCAATAGCTCTACAGAATAATTGTCGAAAAAGATCTTAATCGTATGTTTGTTTTCAGTCGTTAATTATTTAAATACATACTTTTAACGTCTTCGGAAACACAGAAGTTCAGAAAATGGAAAACGTAAGGCACTTTATTTGTTGTATAATTTACTAAAATTACGAAGCTGTTGTTTACAGAATAGAATTATATGATTTAAACAAAGCCATTAAACGCAAAACTCCATTCCTCAAAATGTATGCTAATTACAAAAAACATAGCAACAAATGTGCTAGAGTTGTAAACAGCAATTATGTTAAATTCATAATATCAGCATTTACTTCGCCAGTAAGAAAAAGTCGGCCGTGTTTGAAGTTTAAAACAAACAAAAAACCCTCTACGTTGCTCAGATTACAAACCATCTTATTTTCAGACGGTATAAGCGCATCTTTATTTGTGTATTTTTAAAAAAGAAAACTTGTTGCATCAACAAAAAATGTCAGTGTTTCAGACAATGAATTCTTCATTGCGTTGCTCCGATTTTTAGAAAAATTTTGTCGAAAAAACAAAGCGAACCATTGCAACATACGTTTAGAATTAAATTCTTAGAAAAAATACCGACTGACCTGCTGTTGTGCCAAATATTTAGGTTAAATAAATTCTAAAAAGAAGAAAGTAATTTCTTACCTGCCGAATATACAGATGATCTTGACTGTATCACTCCTGAATTGAATGAAACAGAAATACATATAACTATAAATAAAAAATGTCTTTTTTTTTTCAAATATATCTTTTTAAGATTTATTTTCCGTACATTTTAACGTCATAATTCAAATTCATTTCATTAAGACTAAATTTGCAATCAGTTTTCGTAAATATGGTGTTTTATAAAAGTATCCTTAGTATTTTCTGTGCAAAATCTTTGAAAATTTATTAATGAAATGTTATTTTAATGTTAGATATATTTATAAGAGATGATGTTTTAAATTCTGATATAATAATAATTTTATCTAAAACGTTTTGTTTAGAAAGACTTACCAAGGCACAGTATCACTACAAGAAGCTTCATTGTTTTCCCTTGTGAATATAGCACGCTTATGTCACCAATATTATATTTCAGCATTTAATAAATATCTTGCTACGAACTGCGTCCCTACTGTGTCCTTAATCCGAAAGCTTTGTCCAGATTTTAGAAGGAAAAAAAACGTGGCTAGCGGATAAATAGTGTCGGAAGTTTTAATGTTACCAATGTTTACTTTAGAGGAGGCTTCCTTCATGACGCCATATTGACATGGAATGAAATTATCACTCGGTGAAAATGAAATAACGGTTTACCTAAATATTAAAACCTTTAATCAAGAGAGGGGAGCGATTCCTTTCAAGAATGCCTGGGTGATGGAGATCGAATATACATTAGGATTAAGAAAACAAATAAATGCCTGATAATATAGCTACGGATGTGGTCGTACACTCATGCTATGACGGTTATTAAGAATGCACTCCGTGGAATGTTGTACATTGTATTACGCAAAACAACGACTTAACACCTTTACCTTTCGTCATGTATAGAAAAAAAATCTTCAAATGCCCACATTATAAATTAGTCAGTGAAAAATGTTGATATCTCCAAAATTGCATGATGAAAGAAGAAAAGCAAAAAACTAAATGTGATTTTAAGCCAACACTACTTGTTAACAGTTATTTTAGACTTTTAACACCCTTTATTGCAGTTGACTTACATTTGGGCGTGTTTTTTAAAAGCTATTTTGTTTATAACAGCATCAAGAGTGTGTTATGAAACTTGTTCATCGTTGTTATAACATGCTATTAAACGCCTATATATGTTTTAAAGATAAAATGGGTTACATTTTAAGAGCAGTAATTGTTTTAGGTACCAGGCATGCGACGAAGAATTTATACACAAAGTTGTTTCTTTTTGATAATCCGGCCTGCACTTTGAATGCTAGCATAGGCTTTACCGGAGGATACGCCGAAGACTAATTCAAATCCAATAAGAGTGTTTTCATTAAATTAATGTGATTAAAGTCAAAGAATCAAAGTGGCTTATCTCAACTCTTTATTCGCTTGTTTATATAAACATAGATCAAAATATTTATCTTTAATTCGCGCGTACAAAAGTCAACATAGGTTGTATTCCATTGCTGTTGGGATGATAACGCTGGTAGAGTCTACATATACCTTGATAACCGCTAATCATCGGCTGCTTTGCTTTTATAATGTTAATCAACCACCATAATGACATCCGACAAACTAGATTATTGACATAAATATTTGAAATTTATAACTTGAAAATAATTTAGCAATTAGCCTCCTATGTGTAGTGACTTCTGTAAAGAGAATTTTTAAACATTCATTTGAAATTTAAAAAAAAAATATTTAAAAAAAAAAACAAAAAAAAAAACAAAAAAACAAAATTTTTAAAATTCATAACTTCAAAGGCGCTGATTAGACTCCAAAGGTGTGCAGGGTTGGTCTGGCTCTATAATGGTGGCAAATGCCAAGCTCAAGCAGCCTCGAGCAGGTAAAAATCTTTCAGAGTCCGGCGACAACATTAATTTTTAAGGAGCGTCCATCAGAATGCTGTTTGTTTTATATTTTATTCAAATAATTAATATTACACGGCACGGTCCAAAAGCTATTAAAGTAATCCTTATTTTAAAGATATATTTTGCTTGAATCTTATGTCTGAAAATTTTAAAAATTGTCACACTGTTTCTTTGTAAATATAAATTAACATGTTTTGACCTCGCACAAGAAGATATGTTTTAAACATTATTGGAGGCCACACTATGAAAATAAAGTGACATAAAAAACTGGTAGTTTTTTTAAAGAAAGGACCAGATTTTACCTGTTATAGGGAACGCATCTTCCCATACATAGTGTGCACATTACTTTATTCAAATTAGACATATTCCGTAAGAATTTCATAGATTTCAATAAATTTCTGTGATAAAATGATTTTACTCAAAAATGAGCATAGTTTGTATCTTTAAATACTTCAATTAGTATTTTATGTTTCTGTTTTAAAATGGTCCCTTTCATTCTATGGTAGTCTACTAAAATCAAAACAAATACATTTGTAAACTTTATTTACCTCATTATAAAATGCTATAATCCACACATAAACAATAAATTTAATGTTTATAATGCTAAACACATGTATATAGAGAAAATAACCCAACTATTGGTGTATTTTATTTGATCAACGTGCACTGCCGGTACAACGGGTCAAAGTGACCTAATGTACATTTTTCTATTTTAACTGTTCGACCTCTGTCACATTTCATATAGTCAGCAGATCTTGCAGTGTTTGGGAAAGCATTTAGTCCATCCGGTAATCCCTTGCAGCTTGGCATCCGTTGTTGACAGGGAATGCAATTTGGGTTTACCGCATCGCATTGATTCCGACGATAATCGCCTGCAAAATAGAAATTAGGATAAAGAGTTTTGAAAACTGTTAGCTTTATGTCTTTATAGCAAATATGTTTTATTTAAGTTCTGTTAGTAAAACAACAAAAACCGAGAGTTTTTAATTAATTTAGTAGATTAAGTGATATTTATGTTTCTTGTAAAAGTGCAGTTGATATACATTTTGTATCAATAAGTTTGTTGTGGCATAACATGTACACAAAAGTTGGTCTATGAATAAAATAATTTTGTAAAAGAAACAATGCATGGATATAATATTATGTTGAATGGTTTCATAGATTCTATTTTTGAAGATAAATATACAGCTGCAAATAAATATTTTAGGCAAACTTTGAACTTGCTATCAACTTTGATTTTTGAAACCTAATTGACTTCCAATTGCCCTTATTAGGACATCAATGATGCATCTAAATATTCTGACAAATTATCAAATGATCTATCAAATCTCAAAGATTCTCTGAAATTATTTAACCCTCAATATTCTGATTTTCTTTAATTTACTTGTCACACTTTCTCCATTAAGCAGTTCCTTATCAGTCTTTCTGGGATAACAAGATGAAAATTAAAATAATTAGTCAGTCAACAGTATAGAGCCTGGTCAGACCATATGGATGTGCACGCTTGCCTGGCTCTATACTGGTGGTGGCAAAAGCTAGTCACTTTCTGTTCCAACAAGTCAAGTGTTAAGGAGATGCGACCGACTCATTTTCTTTTAATTATGTGCAGAAAAAAGACTGTCATTCAATTACATATAATAGTTATATAAGTCTTCAACCAAAAAATAACAAAATATCCGTACATGGTTCAACAGGTTCGAAACGTTGTCCACACTGAACCTTGCTGAAATCTTTACATGTATTATCTACTGTAGAGTACAGTTTAGGATAAGCACATTCTTGTAGTTCATGCCGCTGACCGGTGGCGACATTTCCACAATAATAATATTGTCCACAATTTGTCACGCTCGGTATCGTCACTCCTGGGTTGGCCTTACAGTACGAATCTATTACATCTAAAAATCAGAAAACAAAAATGTTTTAACTCTTAACGCTATATCTCTTGTGATTTCGTACTTGCATTTCATCCTTGCATTTCATCAAGAATTCAATGGTGACTTATGTGTCAGACTCAATCAAACCGAATATGATTTTCATGAAATTGCGTTGATTTTAATGCTTCCAAGGTATTACTATTTTTCCAGACTATTACCATTCAACTTGTTTTGGTGTTTCCTTAAGTTTCCTTCCTCCGACAAAAGCAAGTTGTTTTTCAGAAGGAAATTGTAAATGACATGTAATTTCATATGCTTTAAATAAAACGACTATTTTACAATTTTGTTTCTTTTTTTGTAGATAATCTTGTAATCTTTATGTTATATAAAGGTGCACTAATATTAGCAGGACACCATTTAAGAGACGCCCGTCAATAAACCCTAATGTAACTAACATTTGTCGTACAATTTTTTACAGCTCTATTGGAAACAGGGCATCTTAAACAGCATTAGCAAATCGAATAAAGTAAGATTTCCACTTACCAGGATCAGAAGGATCTGTACATCTTCGTCTTACAGGGTCTAGAATTTTGTTAATGATACATATCCCGGTTTCAATCACTCTTCCATGATCGCACACTATATAAAACTCGGTTAATTCCCGTCCTGGGTAAGGATTTAACCCGTCTGGACGTCCGGTACAAGTCGGTCCAGATGTTGTAGGAATAGGTGTGTATGCTCGAGTCGTCAGCACGGGGAATGTTGGTCGCGGTGTTTGTTGAGGGGCGTACGTTTGAAGAGATGGTTGTACCTGACCCGGACATCTTTGGCAGTCAAAACCAATACACTGATACAGTTTGTAATCACCTTGCAAGTAAAGAAATTAAAGATCAAAAATTCTATTAGGCTTATAATATTAAAGGGTCCGAGTAGTATTCTGGACTCCGGAAATATCTTTGAATGAAATAATGTCAGGAATTCTCTGACTGCGCCAAAATCTTGAAATTAAAGCAAACATTTTACATAAAAAGATACATTTAAAAAATGATGTAATAAGATAAGAAAACAAACAATAACACAGTTTTACAACATTAGTATTGCAGACAAAGAGGGGAATGTAAAAAATCGGATACATATTTTTTACAAACCAACTTTTAAATATATTTATAATGGTATGCATCATATTATTGGAGGGTATGTTTACAACTTTATGTCATGTCTTATTATGTCATGTACACGATGACATAGTCATTATCAAACAGATGAAAATATAAGTCTTACGTTTTTCGGAGTGAAATACACTGAAAATAACAACATTTATAAAAAGAAATATAAATTATGAAAGCATACATTGAGTTGTCGGTATCGTCTTTTGCCCACATTGTACCCAGGCCCGGTCCCTGCACGTCTGTGTTAGCTCATCAAATAATTTCGGGTAAGGACATTCCATTAAATGGTTTCCAAGAGCAGTGTTGGCCAAACTGCACGAGTGATACAGAGCACAGTTAGTGGGATCAGCAACAACACCGTATGGATGAGCTCTGCAGTACGAGTCTATAGTATCTGTGAATAAACATAGAAGTCATTTTAATCTTAAGTCAAAGTTTAACCTTAATTTTAATAATTAATAATGATAATGCAAGTAATGTTAATAATGCCAATCCCGTTCCCCTTTTTTATTCGAATCATTAATCTGGTTGCTATGTAGTTGCCTATTCCTGAATAATAACCCTTTGGATGTATAATAATTATATGAAAGAATCTTCAAAGTTATCGATCTTTAGTGATCGTTCTGCATGGTATTATTGTTGTTTAAGTGATATCAAACCGAGTCTGGAACATTTTTTTTAATTTTGCCGATTTGAGCGACGTTCCGAGTGATGCTCATTTACCAATTTCAGAAGAAACGTCAAAAAGAAGCGATTATTTGTCATTTCATTTTAGCAAATTTATACTTGCACAACAGAATGTGTTTTTTGCACAATCTTACACTTATAACTAGGTTTGTTGATCTACAGTGAACTAAACGCTTGATTATAGATTACATTTACTAGACGCCGCTTGCAAGCGTCGTCTAGTAGACATGCATTTGTCCATACAGCAATGGGGGACATTTTAGACTTGATTTTGTATATATATTTTTTTGTTTTAATAAATTCACACTGTTTTTAAATTTTCTAATAAAAATAGCTTTTATGATGTACAATATGTCACAGAGCTTTAAGGGCTTAGAATAAACGTTAAACAGAAGTGATAGTGCCATGTTTGAATATCATATTCTTTTTATCATTATCTAATTTTATCTACATAATAAATAACGTGCCAATGAGCCAGTCTATAGTCGAGCGTTCTAAAACTTAACCGTTGAGAGAGGTGACAACTGAGGCAGTGACACTTACTTCATTTGCTTTGCCTCTGTTGAAGATCGGCTCCGCCTTAAATTGTCATATTAAATTTGATATTATGCTCCATATGCTAGCATTTAGTCTTCGTTGACGGAGTAAAAGGGAACCAGGACAACTTTGATCAATATCACTTGTCGAATCATTAAATTACAAGTTACAAAGCCTAAACCACGCCCACTTTCAGAGAGGCGGTTCTCACTCAACCGTTAAGAAAGTACAACAAATCGGTTACGCTACGGCCTATAAGGGGAGATCACTGCAGAACAGTTTGTCCTCAAAATCATTCGAATATTATGCAATTCATACCAATATATAAATGTTCAATTTATTTTTATTCGACCAGACGTTTCAGTCTTTGTCGCAACAGACACACATTTAAGAATTTCAGACCTGGCATTATTTTGTGAATTTATACATTAGGTTCTACTTTTTCAAAAAATATGCAACTTTATTATTAAACAACGAGCACATACCAAGAACATGGAGAAAAAATTGATTTGTGCTTCGGATATTCAACTGTACTAGAGAACGATTTTCAATGCTGATTGACTGTTCACATTATTTGGCGGCGTCTTTGATGTGCAGCATCAACAGACTGTTTATATACTTTATGAAACAGCATTGTTTATATATAACAAAACTAAAATTGAACCGGGCATTTAATAACTCAGATATGTTTCTAGAACAAGATGGTTTCGCATTTTTTTCAAACAAAACTGTAACGAAATAGTCGACTATCTTACTAGGTGTATTTGTTGTTTGTACGGTTCCGGTTGTTGCCGGGGCCATCTTACACTGCTGACTTGTAACATCAAATATTCCAAAACTACATTGTTCCGTGGCAATTGTTCGGTTTCTTTGACACCTTACATATCTAGATGGTTGTCCTGGATACGCGTGGTTGCCGTCTGTCAGTCCAACACATGATACAAACCTTTGAGAGCACGGGACACATCCAGCAGAATGGCACTGATTTTCCGTATATTCGCCTGTAAAATAACGCGCGTGGCTTTTTGTCAAAGTTCCGTTGTTTAATTTTTTTAATTGAAGCAATAAAAAAAAGTATTCTCATGAAAAAGTACTAAGTCAAAATAAAAATAACAACGTTATTATTTAACACTACAGCAGTTTCTACAAACAAGGCTATCTATAAATGAAGAATGCAATCGTCCAGTGATGCATTGGTTTGATTTAAATTTGCAAAATATACATCATTAATTGGTGAACTGTTTTAAATCAACTAAATATCTATCATTGTTTTATAACATCATATTCATTTTTATAACTGAATGATAATCAATTTGTAATTACGATTTTATTGTGTATAATTTAAATTTATTATACAACTTTTTATAATTTGTTGAACTTAGATTTTTCTTAAAAATCAATTACCGTTAACTTCAAACTTACTATTCAAATTTAAGTAACCTTATAAAGCAACGCCTGATAATTTTATAAAAACAAAATATAGGAAGCCAGTCAAAATTTATTTCTTACATGGAGCCTGGGGTTCCGGTCGTTGTTGACATTTGACGCTGTTAAAATCTGCGCATGCGTGGATAGCTGTATGGTAAAGTAACGGATATGGACACTCTTTAGCAGTAATAATGGAGGTTGTGAAAATGTCCCGACAGTCGTAGTATTTCGCACAATTTGTAGGATCCTCCAGTGTCTCATATGGATGAACTCTACAGTATGAATTCGGATCTCCTACAATGTATAATATAAACATGTTAAATATAATGCAGAATCATAATGATTCGAAGGGCACTAATTTCCGGGGTTTTCGAGGAAAGGTCAATTCGCGAACTAAAGATCTTTTGAAATTTCATTTTGTCTGAGCTATAAGATTATTTTTATTGCATGATTAGAATTTTCTCTCTTTTTTTTGAAAGAAAAAGACGACAAATCAGCGAATTTAAGAACCCGTGAAAAATTCCCTTAGTGACAAAACCACGAAATTTCATGTCCTCGAGAATAAACAGTACTCAGTAAACTATTGTGTGCTTCCCTTCACAAGCATTTCGCTTCCCTTCACAAGCATTTCTAATTCGAGCTTGAATATTCCTATAAACAAAATATATAAGCTTAATAAGATCTTTGCAGACATCTTCAGATTGTGTTAACCTTGCTATTGTCATAAGCAGCCTTTAAGCCTGTCAAATCCAAATCAAAATTATATCCATTAAAAATAAAATGTCTAACGACATCAACGAAATGTAGGGTGTGTGTTCTAAGCTTAATAAGGCACATTTTTCAGCACAGAAAGTACGGACCCCAGACATTTTACAAATCATGATTTAAATAGAATTAAATTTCCAAAAGGAGGCCTATTAATTTTGAATCCAGTAATTCACTGAATGCGACTAAATATATCTTAATTTGTTCATTTCTGTTTTGGTATATACATGACTAAATTGAAATGTAGAAAGATATGTATGAACTTATATATTTGTCTTCATAGATTAAAGACAATTATCTACTAGTAATTATAAAATTAATCCATTTCACAATTTCATTTTAAGAAAAAAGAGGTCAGACGTTGGGGGTGAAACAGCATTTATTATTTTAAGCTAAATATTTAGATCGTATGTTTTCTTTCTGCTGCAGACGAACCAAGATACAAGTAAATACATTTTATCCGAACATCTTCTATCCATTACAAGGAGTAAAGTATTTTCTTAAAGCCGTTTTCTGTTTTGGATACTGCATCAAACTTTACTACAGTGCAAACATTCTGCTCACTGCTTATGTTAATCTGTGTTTGTAAGTAATTATGTTTCGTCAAAACATTATGTCCTGTAAAGTGATATATAAGCTTTTTGTTTCTTATATACTTATTTCAAAAACAACTTTTGAAAACAAAACTTTCACTGCTACAGACTAGATGGCGCTGTGGGGCACACGATTTTCGCTGTATCATAGTGGTTTGGTTTGGAATATATGTGCTTACATTTACACAAAACAAAACGCTTTTCCATCTATAGCTACAAACAATTAATTGTAGAATACAAGTTTAGGCTTAAATAAGTGAAAAATCAAATAGCTTGAATGTGCATGTTGTTTTATTAGAATGGTGTTTTGCTGTTGTTTTTGTTTTCAATTGTTTAAATCAAATCTGTAACTGAACTTTTTCTCCCCCCTCATATTTTGAGAAAAGTTTAATTATTTAATTTTAATAAAGTACAATGTCAAAAACAACAATCGGTGTATAACTTTCAATAACTTCCAAGTTCCACAGAATCAGGTAAAAGTGCGTCCGTGGCCGAGTGGTTAAAGTCGTTGACGTTAAACTAATTTTTCCTCACCGCTGTAGGAGGTTCAAATACCGACATAGACTCTGGATGCTTTCATGTGACGAACCTATCCAACACCGGTGGTTATACTCAGGTGCCCGTTTGTGTTTAAAATAATGCACGGAAGGGCACGTTATGTCTCCCTCCATCAGTAAAGCTTGAAAGTCTCGCCATATGACCTATACTGTGTTGGTGCGACATAAACCGAACCAAAATTTTGAAAAGGGTCAAAATAAGAGTTTGCACTTGGAACTTGTGCAGGCAAGAAACACAACCTTCATCAATACTTTAGAGGCAAGATTTTCTTTCATTGCTTCTTTATTTCTGACTATTACAATTTATTCTGCAGGAAATTTTAGCGCATTTTGTGAGCATTCGCAGAAAACATTTCATTTTCGTCCATGTTATTGTCACATGATCCAAAAGACACTTATGTATGTAAGCTGCCTAGTTGATTGGTCTATTCAATGTCACGTGATCAATCGTACGTAAGCTGCCTAGATGATTGGTCTATTCAATGTCACGTGATCAATCACCCCGCAACAAAAGAAATCATTTGTTATATTGTATTTCAGAGTCATAAATGCTAATACTTAACCGTCGGGAACTTTGTTAGTTTTTAAGATACCTTCACATTTAAAATATCATTTGTTAGGGTAGTATACTCTTATGCAGAGTTCAATTATCTTGGTGTTCACTTTTATGTTATTGTATGCACACGTGTATGTAAAAAACTAACAAAGTGACTTATTTTTTTTACCACTGAATCATATTTGTTCACACCGACAAGAATAACAAGTGGTTTAATGCTCAATAATTTTAAAAATTATCACCGATAAATTACCTGAGTTAACTGTTGGTTTTATTGTCGTAGTGCTTGTTGTTTGAACTAAACATTGTCGTCTGTATTGGTCAAAGACAACACCTCCCGCGCATTGACTTACAGCAACAGTGCGTCCCTTCAGACACGTTATGTAACTAGATGTCCCCTCGCGACCAGGGAACGCATGGTTCCCGTCATTAAGATACTGACAAGAAGGTAAGCGTTGAGAACATGGGGTGCAACCCTGAGCTCCAGGTACACATAAATTCTGCTGGTATTCACCTGTAAACATATTCAAATAATTAGATTATAAAAAAAACAAATGAATGTGACACAATGCTTTTTTAACCTTACTAACGTATAATTTTAAAATTTGCAATCATTTCGTTCATTGAAAAAATATAACATTTAATAAATACATAACTTTATTGTTAAGCCAGAAAATGTAGCAATTTTTCTAACAACTTCATTTAATGAAATACAATGGAAAAGCAAAGCGGACAATTTAAGGAGTAATTTACAGATGTCCCCAGAAAAAATTGTGGATCCCTTTTATCAAAGTATTAAGACTGTATCACTTTTTTCGAAATTATAATTTATTAAGAAATCTTTTCTCATCCATATCATATTGCATTAAAACTCTGAAGATTGCGTTGCTTACAAAAAGTTATCGAACGTTGCATTTGGGTGCATTGATCTAAACTGTATGCTATATTTCATGTAAGTACTTACATGGCGTTTTGTATTCGGGTCTGCTGTTGCAAGATACAGTCTGAAAGTCCTCGCACCTTCTTGTGAACTCAGAAAACATTTGTGGATACGGACACTCGAACAAATACGGTGGCGAAGTTCTTGAACAGTTGAAATACTCACCACAGTGGTGCGTGTTTGGTATCACAAGACCCAAACTTTGTGAGCAAACACCTGTGGGACACATACACATAATTTCTTAATTAAATATGTGGAAAAAAATCCTTATGCTAGTATGGGGTACGGTATTTTACAAAACTTGATATTGGCTACGGTTTACTTATTATAGAAGTTAAACTTAATGATACACAGTTTAAGTATACCCATAATAAACATTAAAGGAACTCCACTGAGGTCCAAAGCTTAAGAACATATCAATTTGAATTTATTACAAAGATCAGCTAAGACACTTAAAACAGAAAGATATGCGACATATAAGTAAGATATACTGTATACTCAGAATAAATTGAAAACCGTGTTATTGTGCTATTCTTAGCCCGACTTCAGTGTAAAGTATTGCAACGCTTTTCAATTTTGAGTCAGTTTTCACCATTAAAAATAATTATTCTGGAAAAAAAAGAGTAAGCGAATGTTCTAAAATTTTGCACACAGGTTATCGGTCTAGACCTACATCAAAAGTAACATGAATCTCGAAAAAAATATTTCCAATCACATTAAGTCAAAGAAACCTCAGTGGAGTCCTTTTAAGCGTTTTAGTTTCTGAATATTTTTACAGTTTTAATAAAAAAAAAAAGAACACTTACTCGGAGTTGCCGTTGTTTGAGGTTGAACATAGGTATACAGTGGCGTAGTCGGATATGTAACAGGTGCTTGCGTCACAACAGTAGGCGTGGTTACGCTTGCGCATTCGGCACTTCCGATGGTACATTTTTTATATGACATTGTTCGACTGAGAGAACAATCAACAAGATATTGTAGGCCATCATAAAGGTTTGTGATCGTATGTTTTCCATCTTTCAAACCTTTACAACTTGGTAAACGGTTAGGACATGGGATGCAATTAACCTTTGATGGGTCACATCTGTTTTTGAAATACTCGCCTAGAATTATATTAAAAACGAAGTTTGTTAAATAAGTCGTAAAAATAGTTTCGATTCACACAGTTTAACCCTTCTGGTACATATTTTTTTTATCAATAACCTCTTCTTGTTTGGTTTTTATTTTGAACCATATTACTAAAAAAATGTTTTCTTCTACTTTTTTGAATGTTTGTTTTTACTATGTACTTTTTTAACAAACAATCTTGATTTTTAAATGTAAAATGAATACAAAGATTAAAAGATATATCTTGGCAATGTACTTTTCAAAGGTAGTAAATGTTATTTGTTATATATGTCATATTAACGAAAAGTTTCAAAACTAAACTAAACTAAACCATTAAGATAAAAAGCAAGAGAACGCGGAACATACAAGGTGCTTGTGGTTCAAAATGACCGCTGCACGACACACTTCTGAACTGTTCGCACTTCATTGTGGCGCTTGAAAATAGTTCTGGGTATTTGCATTCCTGTATTAATAAGTAAACAACTACTTGACATACAAGCATCAATAGGTAACTTTCGTGTAAATAATATCTGATTAATTTTATATCATTAAATGACATTTGCGGTCGTTTAAATTATTGGAAATGAGCATTCTTTCACACTGAATAATTCTTGCTCACATTCATTTGATTATTCATTATCACTTTTTCTTTAAATCTTAACTGCATTATGCACATTTATTATTTTAATATCAGGCTTTTCTATATGCTTGCTATGAATTTTAAGCTTTAAAGGCAAAGCAATATATGCTATTTTATACTTTTTCTTTAGAATACTTTTTTTACTTTCCACTTACATTCCACACTGGAAAGCAATGATAAAGTTAATAAAATAATATGAGCCGCGTCACGACAAAACCAACATAATGGGTTTGCGACCAGCATCCGCGCACTCTGATCAGGATCCATGCTGTTCGCTATCAGTTTCTCTACTTGTTATAGGGTTTGTAAGCGAACAGCATGGATCCTGATCAGACTGCGCGGATGCGCAGGCTGGTCTGGATCCATACTGGTCGCAAACGGACTATGTTGGTTTTGTCGTGTCACGGATTAAATAACTTACTTGTACATATTCTATATCGAACGGATAAACACTCTGTAGTGTGCGACCAGTAACAGAACAGTTATAGTACCAGGCACAGTTGGTCGGATGTGGTAGAACGGCACCAGTGTTACTCTTACAATACGGTGCAATATTTGCTGGAAAAAAGAAAGAAATGAAATCATGAGCTTGAAAATTATTCTCTTTTCATCATAAATTACATATTTCTTCAGTAACAAGGTACACATACTTTCAGCATGTTGTTTACCTGAACAACATACTGTAACTTCACATACTTAATATAATAAAGGTGTCATTACGAAACTTAATAAAGATCATTTGTAAGGAATATGACACATTAGTACATGTACGTTTACAAACAAATCAAATCTCCGAGTCTTTACAAAACGTTACTCTGAAACGTGACCGATATACCATTTTAGGTATGAAACAATCAGTATCACTAATTTTTTCATTATTATTTTTAACTGGGAAATATTATGTTTATTAGCACAAACATGCCGTTTATAAGAAAGATTATCAAGTTTTTGAATTGAACGTGTAATAAACACAAATTCCCTTCGTTGTTAAAGTGTACTTTCAAATAAACACAAACAATTTCTTTTGCTGTTAAAATAGAGTGTTTTTAGATAATTAAAGATCCTGTAACACAATTTTTTTATGATTTTAGATCATAAATATGATGCTCAAATTAAGATTTATCAATATTGTAGGTTCAAAAAAGCATTATTTATAAAGATATTACCGAATTTAACATTTCATGTAAATAAAGGGAGGTAATAAAATTTATTTACTATGAAGTTTAAGTCAAATTTTACAATAAGAAATGAATGCATATATTTTAATGATAACATTTAATATGCACAAATATTTATTTGCAGTACATATTTTACATATTCCTCGATGTTTGAAAATTGTTTTATTTGCATAAGTATGTCCATATATATAATTTCACTTAGTGTGGTTTACCACTTTGATCACAACATACAGGATCTTTAAAATAACTCTAGTTTGTTAAACATTCTGGAGTGAAACATATAATTAAACAGTTCACATATGATATGTAGTAATGTTCTCACCAGAATTTATTTTAGTCACACACATACGCAGACCAGCATCAAAGAAACCATTTTCACATTTGTTGACAGACATTGTACGGTTCTGTTTACAATCTAGATATGTGCTGGTGTACTCTCTCCCTGGAACAGCCACGTGACCATCCGGTAAACCAACACAGCTCGGCAGTCTCGTGCTGCATGGCTCACACGTTAATTCTCCCGGCGGACATAAGTTCTGAGCGTACTCACCTGATAAATTGACAATCAAATAAGTTTAAAGATAATCTAACAAACATTATTGTCAATAAAAAGATAAAGTATTACGTGTATATAATAAAGGAGCTCAACATAATTTGACTTACATCATTGTCAGTAAAAAAGATAACGTATTACGTGAATATTTACAAAAAAGGAATTCAACAAATATTTTTGGAAAATTTAAGTTGCAACAATGTTTTTAAACACACAGAAAGTGAATTTTAATCAAGAAGGGTTTTACAATATACAGGAACCAAAGCATAATTCCATTAAAAACTTTAACCTACAAGGCGCTTGTGGCTCTTTTCTTTTATCACATGAAACTCTGTTGAAGGGTCCACACCTCTTGGTCACAGTAGAGAAGAGATCAGGGTATTTGCACTCCATGTCGAGGTAGGATGAGTCCCCGGGCATGGCAACACCAATCCTGCCGAATCAAAGTTTAGTTTAGATTTAATGTCTTGAAACAAAACGGAAGTTACCATTAATTTCCAGTCATAAAGTTTCAATTATCGTTTCTAGTAAAATCGTTATTCCAGATAAGTTTCAAGTTGTAAGAATCGTCATTTAATGGAAAAAAGACTTAATCACAAGGATTAAAACTTGATTAATACATTAAAGTATTTATCTGAGCTAATACATGAGAAAAAAATTTTAAAAGTTTTTGTGAATAAAAATAGTGCTAAGGTTATCTTGAAATGTCTTAGTTTTAGATAATATAGTTATCAAACTTCTTCTAAAAAATATAGTAATGTAAGTATGTAGATATTTGTTTTACTAATAAAGGAAAGATTTTAGCTACCTAAATGTTGATTTGGAACAATCAAAATATTTAGCACAATTGCTAGAATCTGCTATAACTTCTTGTGGATGATCTTTACAATAGTCGTCAATATTCCCTATATTTCAAGATAAAAAATAAACAAGAGATCATAGTAACACACGCATATTATTCCTTACCACGATAAATATTTTAAATGGATGCGCTCATATTTCAATCTGGACTAAACCATTTTTTCATTTAAGGGAAAATTTTTAAATAAAGAAATATGTACTGACTGAACAGCGAACAGTGCAGACCATGATCAGACGAAACAGATGTACTGACTGAGTTTGGTCTGCACTGGTCGTATTTATGTCTGCACTGTTCGAATAGGCAGAACCAATTGCAGCAAGCAGGCTTTAATGAACCCCAATGAGTTTTTTGACATGACGGTATTGGAAATATTTCCCCGAGCCCTTTGTACCACTTGATGTAGGTCAGGACATACAGCTTGTGTGCAAATTTTCAGATCATTCAATCACCACATTTCTTTCGGAATCATCATTTTTATTGTGCAAAATGACCCCAAAATAAATGCGTTGCAACACTTTACACTCAAATCGGACTAAAAATCTCATAAAAATCGATTTTCAATTTTAATCTGAGTTCAAATTATATATTTTTAGGCATTTTGACATCAGTGAATCTCCTTAATGCCGTTTTATTTATCATATAATTATAGATATAATAATATACATCTGTCATGTACAATTGGATATATATTCTCCACAATCGTTTTATTTAAACATGGTAAAAATTTAAATATGAAAATAAATTAATAAAAATGATAGTGTATATGACTTGTTCCAAGAAATTATCTGATTTGTTATGCAAATTTATATATATGTGGTGTTTGATAACATTTTTAATGACCTAAATATAAATGTGGGTACATCAAGTGTTACCAACCATTATCGATTCCATCATCACAGCGCCTTTTATGCTGATTGAAAACCCCGTTCTGACAATGTTCAACACCGAGCGTTCGTTCTTTGTAACAATGAACATAGTCACGTGACCATGATCGACCATTCAGAGCGTTGTTACCATCTGGAAGTCCGATGCAGCTTGGTTTTCTCTCAGGACACGGTGAACACGAGGCGTCATTCGGATTGCACTGGTTTTGGAGATATTGACCTAGAGCGTAAGAACGAACCAAATAACATTATGAAACAAGTCTGATAATATAAATAACTTGCATTTTCTATTACATTTTAAAGCGTATATTATTTGTTAAAAATAAATAGCAGCAAATACTTTCAAGATATATAGTGGACATTAAAAGGTTTAAAACATTAACATCATATAAATGTAAAAGCATTTTAAACGGTTGTAGATATTTTGTCTCTTGTTAAGTAATCTACGTCTTAATTAGATACGTTGCTGGGTGAATTGCCACCTATTTACCCTTTGCATGCTGGGAGACTTATCATATGCAAAAATGTCGTCTGCTTTAAAATGTTGTCTGGTAACTTTTATATTTTCATGCAATTTATTAGAAATAAAGGGTTTCTGTCAACAGCCTAGTACCAGTCTTGACCAGACGCTGAGGTACCCGGTGTGTAGTCTGGTACCAGGCGTTTTGCTAGGGCCTACTGTGATCCTTCTCATCTCAATGAGGGTTAAAGTCTAAAGTAGTATTCACGTACATGGCGCCTTTACTTCGTGTCTCTTGTCACATTTCACATACTGGAAATCTAGACATTTCTTGTACACTGTTGAATAAAGATCTGGATACGGACATTCCTGAAATGTTAAAAAATTTTGGTAAGCTGAAATCATATGCTTTTATTTTGATTTTGTTTAACATTGATCCATATTATTTTTTGATTTTAATTGACGAGCAAAACCCGCCCCTGAAGCGGGTTTGTTATGCTATATTCCTCATACAAAGATTTAATTAAATAACTTCTACATTTGCGTATTAAGCATCCACATTTAACATAATGTGATTTATTAATATAAATTCAATACTCATCGTTATGAAATAAAGCGACAAAGTTCATTCCTTTTCTTGGCCAAGCTGTACTTATCAAAGTCCTATTATTTACTAAACTTACATGATATACACAGTCATGCTCTATTGTAAAGTAATTAAAATAGAATTTTATGTTTGAAACGATTTAGTCGAATTTATTTGCTGATGTAATAAAAAAAATACTTCATGATTCGTAAACTTACGTCTAACTGGACGGGTAGAATAGGACTAAATGTTGCCACCGTCTTGGAGCAGTTGTAATATAGAGAGCAACTTCCAGGATGTGGAATAATCCTTGAGGGATCCAATTTGCATTGATCTTGTATAGTTACTGCAATATATAACAAGTAAATAATTTGTCGGGAATTGTTCTAGTTTCGAGACAATAATTATAGTAAAACAAGGGAATATTTACCGAACAGAACGTCTGCATTTTTATTGATCATATAATTGAGTAATTCAGAATACCATGCCTAGAACAATAAATGGGAACCAAATTAGATATGAGCCGCGTCACGACAAAACCAACATAATGGGTTTTGCGACCAGCATGGATCCAGACCAGCCTGTTCGCTATCAGTTTCTCTACTTGTTATAGAGTTTGTAAGCGAACAGCATGGATCCTGATCAGACTGCGCGGATGCGCAGGCTGGTCTGGATCCATGCTGGTCGCAAACCCATCATGTTGTTTTTTGTCGTGACGCGGCTCATATATATTTATCATCTACGTTACAGAGATAGTTGATTAGTTTTTTGTTACCTGGACCAGATGTCGGTGGTATTTCACATTGTCTTTTATTTGGGTTAAACACTCCCTGGTTACATTTGTCGGTTGATATAGTTCGATTGCGGTGGCACGTGATATAGTCTGGAGTCCAGTGTTTGCCCTCGATGGCATTATGACCGTCTGGCAGTCCAATACAACTAAATAGACGCTGGGGGCATGGTGTACATCCGGTACTTCCGGAAGTGCAACTATTTCTCCGATATTCACCTGCATAACCAAATTCATGAAAAGTATGCTTTTTTGTGTATAACGAAACAGAAGAACAAACAAGGACGAAACTAAAAAAAAGCTTCCAAAAGATTGTAAACATCCTTTATTTGTTTCATAAAATAAATAATATATATCTTTAAAAAAATTGATCATCATTTTTTTCCGTCAAAACACATGTTGTTACACTGTAGAAATTACTTTCCGTGATTAGTAAAAATAGAGTAATGTTATTTGAATGCCTTTCTTTGGATGCATTTCTTCCTTAGAAAATTTTCGTGTTTCCCGCTTTCAACATACATGTATAAGGAACTCACGAATTCACGATTTCAACTTCGTGAAGATAAAAGATAATAACATGAAGTAATGAAGTTGAAACCGTAAGGTTCATAGGTTGAAATCGTTAATTCGTGAATTCATAAAGCTGAAATCTTGAATTAATGAAATTGAAAGCATGAACCCGCGAATTCTGTATGTTGAAGTGGTGAACTATTCATAATAAATCAACAATTCTTGTCGATGAAACCGAGAATTCAAGAAGTTGAAATGTCATCACCAATTTTTCGTTGGATATTTTATTCAGAGTGCTTTCGGACAATTGATCAGTACGTAATAACCGAAACACTCCTTATTAATATAATTGCACTATATGTCAGTATTATCATTTATGCCACTTACACGGTGCCTGTGGTACTGGTCTCTGGTCAGTTGGCACTGTTGTGAAATCTCTACAGCTGCGACTCACTATATCAAACAGATCCGGATAATTACACTCTTGAAGATGTGGTACACCAACCGGGGAGCTTGGGTTCGAGCAATCATAGTACTGCGCAGCGTCTCGTGTGTTCGGGAACACGGCACGGGGATTTACTTTACAATAATCCGGAACATGCGCTGGAATATTCAATTCCGTAATTTAGTAGTTAATACACAGTACAGTTTCCTTGTTAAACTTTTTCAAGAAATGTAAATGTCTTGAGAGAATAGTGTATATATGACATTAAATATTAAAAATTGGTAAATTGTTTATACAACTTAAACTTACATCTTAAATGATTCGATATGTAAATGTGTAGATCTAATTATGTAATTTAAAAATATCACAAAGAAAAATTATACATTATTATAATAAAATAATACGGTAGAGTCAATAAATTGCCAAGGAGAATGCACCTATATTTATTTACACCTTTTTTTACAAACCATCTTTATGAAGTAAGTATCATAATAACTAATTTAACATACGGCAGAAATAAAATAATGTAAGTAGAATTTAAACGACTGACATACCAGGTTCGACAAACTGCACGCATTTCCTTGATATTGGATCAAAGATAAGCGGACTTGAACATTGGGTGATATTCATTGTACGATTTTTCAGGCAGATGACGTAATCACGTGTCCATTGGTGACGCGGGATGCCATTAGCGCCATCTGGTGACCCAACGCAACTTGGTAATCTATCCGGACATGGCTGACAGTTGAAAGAGCTCACACATTGGTTCTGAGTGTAGTCACCTTAAAAGGTATACCATATATATACTTACATGTAAGTAAATAAGTAATTGTTCATTCACAGCGCGAGGTCTTTGTTACTAAAGTAGACATGTAAGTTTTAATAGGATTAATACTAAACCATATCAGAATTCTTGTTTTTATAAATATGCTTTCACAACTGAGGTAAAGCTTTACCTTGGATACATGTAAAATTAAGTTTAAAACATGCTTTCATAATTGTGAGAAGAAAAAAAAATTACCTTGAATTATATGTAAATGCATTAAACTTTAGGTAAGTAATAATTTTTTAACTATTCACAACTGCTTAAATAAGATCAAGACTAAAACAGGCACGGATATTGTTATATTTTTATATTGATATTTAAAATTTGCCTATGTGAAAAGTAAAATGAACATACAGGGTGCTTGAGGCTCCATCCTGTTAGAACATTGGACTGTGGTAAAATTCTGGCATGACTTGGTCACTGTAGAGAAGAGGTCCGGGTATGAGCACTCCTTCTGGTAGTAAACCCCTTGGCCGAAGGTCGGAGCCTGTCCACAGTCATAGTATTTAGCACAGTTGGTAGGATCCGGGAAAATTGCTTGATGGTTAGCTTGGCACACCTGATTTACTTTACCTGACAATAGATTATGGTATTAAAAGGCTACATCGAGGGTTGACCGCAAAACTGCAGTAACTTATATGATATAAAGAAGGACTTACAACAGTTTTGCGATCAACCCTCGACATGTTCATTTATTTTCCGTGCATTATCCTTTTACTTCAAATGAACATATTTTAGCCTCTGAATCTTAATTTTCCTAGGTATATGTTAAGCTATTTACGTATTGCAGCGTTTAAAATGACAAAAAATTAAGAAAAAAATCATTACAAAAAAGGAGAGCGTTAATCGCTAGTCATTTTATTAATCCCTATAAACTTTCAGATTTTAAGTAAAGTTTATGAAACATTTTTAGTCTGCATATAAGAAAACTGTAGCAATCAAACTAAAATGTTTAGATTTCAAATTTCAAAAATGCTTTTATTGCTGGTGTGTGAATAAAAATAAATGTATATCAGAATGATAGAAAAATGCAAAGAAGTATAATAATTACTTGGGTCAACATTCTCGACGCATTTCCTCAATGTTGGATCAAATAGTCCTGTTTTACAGTGCTGCATGACAAGTGTTCGGTTTTTGAGACATTGTACATATTGATCCGTCCATAATTTACCGGGTACAGCATTTACACCATCCGGTAAACCTTTACACGATGGGTGTTTTTGCTGACATGGAACACAGCCGGTTTCACCCAGACGACACTGATTCTGACTATATTCACCTGTAATAAGAATAATGTAATATCCTTTAGATATAAAATAAATTTTCAAAAGTTTAATTCCATCAAGATTGTAATCTAACTTAATTTAGCTTTGTTAATTATTGTTATTTCTTGGTTTATACATAATTTATTTAATTTCTGTTGTGTAGGAAGCTATAAGCTTAAAGAAACACTCTCGAATCCGTTCCTCGAACCAATCGGTACTAAGCAATGAGTGTAAAGTTTCTGGCTCAAGGAAACAACTTGCCCCTGAGAGGGTTTGAACCCGTGCGGCTAGCAATCATTAAATTCTTAGTTCGACGCGTAAACCACTCAGCCATGCCGGGGGCTTACTGCTATTCTTTGTTATAGTAATGAAATTTCGTTTCTTAATATAAGTATTACGCGTTTTACTTGTCATCTATAAACCCTAGAAAACAAGACAGCTTTCAAAAATATCTAATACTACAAAAGCATCATTTTGACTTAATCAAATATATCTAATTGCTTAAGAAGTGTTAGTTGTTTTATAACCATAACTATTCTTACTCTTTCATTATTGTAAACAAATTTTAAAGATTGAAATGAAATAAATTACTTACAGGGCGTCTGAGGTTCCGGCCTGTTGCCACAGAACACAGTCTGGAAATCGTCACAATTTGAGGACTTATCGGAGAACAGTCGCGGATAGTTCATTCTGTTTAAAATTTAAACTGCCCGGGAAAACACTAAAATTTAAAAGTAGTCCCCAACAATTTTGATGGTTTCGGGTAACACACCCTTTTGGGATTTGTTTTTACAATAATTGGGAAAAAATCCACTGAAATGGGGTTCCCCAAAAGGGATATCAATGTTTGAATGTGTTTTTATAGATATAAAAAAGAAATTTTTAAATAAAATTTTTAATTTCATATTTTTTTAAAAAAGGGGTGTTTATTTTGAAAAATTTAAACCCGACAATAAAATGGAACAAAAATTGCAAATGATAAAATGTCCCCTAAAGTGTCAAGGGGATAGATATCTTGACAAACCCGAGCCGCATAAAAAATTTTGGGGGGAAATCATAAGAAAATTTAAAAAAGAACAAATTTCATATTAAAGAAAAAAAAGCAGAAAAACACACATAAAGAAGTTAAAATGTACTTATTATCAGCAAACACGAAGAAAAATTCATGTTAATGTTAATTTAAAGTCAAGAAATAATATCGACTTACTTTCAACATAAACAACGGGACTACAATGGGATCACGTTTCAGCGGCAAACATCAATAAAACTATATAAAATCACGTGAGATGAATCGCCATTTTGTCTGATTAATTAAACAATGCAAATATCTTTTATATATTATCAACTAGGAAAAAAGAAGGCTCAGGGGTCAAAATAAAATTTACCTGGGTTTATTGTAGAAACACAAGATCTTGCAGAAGGATCAAAATGACCAACCGGGCAGGTATGGGTTGATAATGTTCGATCCCTTGAACACGTCATATAGTCACCAGACCACGCATGACCTGGTATGGCATTGTTGCCGTCTGGTTTCCCGACACAGCTCGGCAGACGATCTACACACGGAACGCACGTGGTATTTCCTACAGGGCATAAGTTCTGGAAGTATCTGCCTAAAAGTATAAACACAAGATTTAATTACACTTGTAGATATATACCAGCAATGGGTTCCATCCAGCAAAACTTTATCTAATTCCCAAACTGAATAAGAATGGTTCTCTATATATCTTATATCCCAAATTGAATAAGAATGGTTCTCTATATATCTTATCTTCCAAATTAAATAAGAATGGTTCTCTATATATCTTATCCCCTAATATTGAATAAGAATGATTCTCTATATATCTTATCTCCCAAAATGAATAAGAATGGTTCTCTATATCTCTTATCTCCCAAAATGAATAAGAATGGTTCTCTATATATCTTATCTCCCAAATTGAATATGAATGGTTCTCTTTATATCTCACCCACATTGAATAAGAATGGTTCTCTGTCTCATGAAACAATAATATCTTAACATTTTTTCCAAATAATTTTTGTGAAATTAGAAAAGAAGACGTACTTCTTATTGCAGTCATTCCTTTATATACACGAATTTCAACTTATGTTAACATTTAGACTAGTTCTATTTCCATGAATTTAAATAAAACACAATAACTTAGTAAATTGTACTCACATGGAGACTTCGGCTCAGTCTTGCTGCCACATCTAACATCGAAGAAGTTTCTACACATAAGTGACTGTTCGTCAAACAGCATTGGATAATCACATTCCATGAGGTAATGCCCGAACGCCGTACCGGTCTTGGAACAGTCAAAATATTGAGCACAATTAGTCGGATGTGGGACAATAGCTTTAGGATTTGCTACACATAAGTCATGCATATGTTCTAAAAATAGAAAATATCTATTCGTTTGCAAATTGTCTAGAAAATGTTTGTGTTGGCCTTTAGATGTTTACAATGCACTTATAAAAATAGATCTTTTCGATTAGTTAACATAAAGGAAGTTATTCTTTACATTGTAAAACATGGTATACACTGACATTGCAAGCCTTTCAATTTTGAAATTTTGCTTAAAGGTTATTGGTATAGACCTTCATCAAATGAAACATTAATCTCCAGATCCGTCATGTCTAAAAAACCTCAGTTCAGTCCCTTTTAGTACAAAAATATTCATAATTTAGTACAAAAATATTCATAATTTAGTACAAAAATATTCATAATTTTAGTAAAAAATATTCATAATTTAAGTTCAGACGTACGTGGACCGATATGTATACTGCATGACCGTATATTTGGATCGAACACACCCTGGCTGCACCACTTCACCTCTAACGTTCTGTTGGACTGACAGCGGACATAGTTCACTGACCACATCATGCCTGGTATACCATCATCACCGTCGGGTAAACCATTACAGTCCGGATGTGTGATCTTACACGGTGTACAATTTGGATCATTTGTAGGACATTTGTTCTCGTCATACTGACCTGTACCATGTATAATAAAAAGGATCTGAATCAATGACAATTGCGTCAAATTGTGAGCTAAATGTTTATCGTTTTGGGCTATTTTGATGTTTTTTTTTAAAAAAGGAATAGGAAAGTCATTAGCATTTTTTCTCTTAAGAAGCCTTCAAACCCGGCTTATTTCCGTGTCCCATTTCGAGTCAAAAAACCGAAGGACCCAGGAGAATAAAAACCCATTTTACTCAAGTGTAATAATAGTCTCTCCGTTTTGGGCCCAAAAAAGGACAGTTCCAAAAAAAAGGCCCAAAGGATGGACTAGAGGTCTTGAAATCACAAAAAATGGTACCCCAAAAATCCGGTACCCGCAAGAGGTACCTGCAAGATATATACCCGCAAATATGGTCCGCAAGACATGGTCCCCGCAAGATAGGGTTGGCATTTGAATTTGTAAGGTAAACGAACTGGTGGTTTATCCCTTTTTGTTTATTTTACGGTAAAAATGCAGTAAGTATAAAAGAGAATGATTACACGGAGCTGTGGGTTCAGGTCGAGTTCCACATTGTACTGTATAATACGGAACACATCTACTGTCGACGGGAGAAAACAAGTCCGGATATGTACATTGTTGGTGGCTGCTGGTACCCGAAGACGTCACCAAACTGCATTTATAATACCGGGAACAATCATCCGGATCCGGAAGTACTGCAGTTGGATATGCTTTGCAATAATCCACAATCTCATCTGAATAAAAATATTTTGAAAGTATTAAATGCTTGAGCATATCTCATAGAATATGTATCATAAGCTAAATAGGCTGTCTTTGATTGCAAACATAGCTTGTTTTAATCTTAGTCGTCAAAATACAAATTGATTTAACATACGTATTCAATGAAATAATAAAAATGGACTACCACTCATATCCTGTATTTCTACGAATTCAAACATAGAACTTCGCGATTCACAGAAATTTTTGCTTTTGCTCAAATCATCTAAGATTTAATGGAAGTAAACTTTTTTGATGATATCAAATGAGTTTGTCTTACAAATGGTCAATGCAAAAATACTTACGCTTTGTAATATCTTTGGTGTCAACACATTTCTTCGTATGTGGATTGAATATTTTGGTTCCAGGACAGTGGGATACATTTGATGTTCTATCTCTATTGCAGACGACAAACTGATGTTGCCATGGTGATCCAGGGAATGGTTGGTTCCCGTCCTGGAGACCGATACAAGACGGTAAACGTGATGTACAGGGTTGGCATGACGGTTGAGTAGGGCTGCACTGATTGGCTTTGTATTCGCCCTAAAATCAAACACATTCATCATATAATGGTATTACAAAAATATTGTGTAAGGGACAATAAAAAAATAAAATGTTTCAAATAATGCATTTTGGTTTTTAAAATTTGCAATTGATTATGCAACTTTATTAAACAATCATACATATTCATGTATATATATATCATGTATATATAGAGATGAAATTTTAAGTCGTTCTGTTATTTACCATTTCAATTTTATTTCGATTTCATTCATTGATTCGAAGTAAAATTCTTAGAACACACACTAGATTATTCAGTGATGACATTCTTAAAATAAATAAAAAGTATTGTATATTTTATAATATAACAACCGGATACTTTTAATGAAAAGTTTATCCCCCTTTCAAATTTAAATTTGATCACCAGTTTAACTAGGCGTATAGTAAACTTTCATAATAAAAACATAGAAAATTGAGCCGGGCAAAACAAAACCAAAATAAAGGTTGCGACCAGAGGTCCAGACCCCCTGCGATCCGCCATCTGATCAGAAACCATCTGTTGCTACAGCTTATTGTAAAGGTGAAGGAAAAACATGGATCCTAATCAGACTGCGCGGATTTCGAAAATGGTCTGGATCCATGCGTCGAAACCCCTTTTGTTGGTTTTTTCGTGACGGGCTAATTGTCTATAAACGATACCCCATGGGCTTTTGGTTTATGGCGGACGCCACACTGTACATCTGTAAAAGCTTTACGGGCAAGGGCACAGTACAAAAACTGTGGGTAGGGACCCCTCCTGTTTTGACTCCACCAAAAAGCCCCGTTGAACAATCATAAATTTAGCCAGTTCGTTGTGTGGCCGAACTGCGAGGGTGAGCTTTGCAATAACTTGTTGTCGACTATTAAAAGATTAAAAAAATAAAAGATTTTCCAAAAATTAAAGTCATAAAAAAAAGGATATTTTTTTTTCTTATTTTTGTTAAATGTTACAATTGCATATTTTATTTTTATAAAAATGACATAATAAATGTCCAGGTAACTTGCACTTTCCGGTACCGTCCATGAACAGGCTTAATCTAACCATGCCTGCAACATTTTCAGTTTTGTCGTTTTTGGTGTTCTTTAGCGATTTCGTTTCTCTCTGTTTAATGTAGTGGAAAATATGCTAAGGGTGATACAAAAAATTTACTCCGAATGTTATCTAAGATCCTTAGCGTTATTCAAATTAATCGCGTTAAACAATTTTTCATTTTTGAATCATTTTGAACAACAAAATTTTTTTTTTCAGGAAAAGCATAATAAGCGAATGATCTGGAATTTTGAACACAAGTTATAGGTTCAGACCTACATGTACATCAAATGAAACAAATATCCAATCCTGTCAGGTAAAAACTGATTTGAGTCCTCTTTTGCATTCTTGATCGTAGTGACTGTTCTAATTAACGTGGATGAAAATGCCTTCCTTTTATAGTGAAAAACTCACCTGGGTTAATATTCTGTGTGCATCGGTGACTTGTTGGGTTGAAGAAAGAGTCTTGCGGACACTGATTGATCGACACAGTTCTATTTTTATAACACTCGACATATTTCGTCGACCATTCTTGTACTCCGAATGTTTGTGGACCATTTTGAAGATTGATGCAACTTGGTAACCGTGCTGGGCAAGGCACGCATTTCGGGTCGTTCATTGCACACAGATTTTTTTGAATATTCACCTATGAATTAATAATTAAACATAAAAAAAAGTAAGAGTTATCTTAAAAGTTTGAAAATAGCAATTCTAATATAACACATTCTATTTTTCTACCCAACACAAAATATCATCTTAGTCACCCAAAAAATAAATTTTAAGAGCTAACCCAAATTTTAAATTTAATAAGGAATACAAATTGGGAAAAATGGGTTGTACCAAATTGTGACGGAAATTTTTGGCAGGGGAAATACCTGCAGGGAAGCATTTTTCTGCCTATTCTAGGTCCAAAAATTTCCCGCAAAATCATTTCAATTCGTGATAATTATTTTCCATTTAAAAATAAATTTCGTTGCTGTAAATTTTTAAACATTTGTTTTTTGAAAAGACAACAAAAATTTTCCAAGTAAAAAAATTCCCTTTTTTAAAACTGAAATGTCAGTTTAATTACAGTATCTTTTAGGTAAGCCCAAGATATAAACATTAAATTAAAAAAAAATTTAATTATCTACTATCCCCCATAACTAAAATTTTTTTAAATAAATAAAATACAAGGGGGTTGGGCTTCCTTTTCCCAGTAATGTTTTTAAACCGTTCACACTTGAGTAGTTTTGTTGAAAACAGGTCCGGATATTTGCATTCACTTACTTCCCCGGATGTAACTAGGACATGTGGACAATCGTAGTACTGTGAGCACGAGTCCGGCACGGGGAGGATGGCACGTGGGTTGGCCTGACAGTATTGAAGTATGTCCACTGAACGTACAAAACAGACAACCATTTTCAACAAAAATAAATAAATAAATAAATAAAAACAAACAACAAATAAATAAAACAAGGAGACAGTTATATATTTTTACAATAACTTCTGTGGAAAATATATTTTGCCAATTATTTTAACATATTTTTATATAAAAAAAACTTTATATTAGTAATTTACTTAATTTTATCATAAAAACAATTCCATATACATGTATTTTACTAAAAGCTTCTTTTATCTGATAAATTTATGATGACCTTCAAAGGGCGTATTTCTAAACTATAATGTCCGAATCTGGGAAAAGTTAGATAAAATGTCAGTATGATGATAATAAGTTACAAACCTGGTGAAATTTGTGTTTTGCAACTTTTGGTCCTTGGATTGAAGTGCCCTGTTTTACAAGTGTCAACAGACACAATTCGGTTTTTCAAACAGACAATGTAGTCACGTGACCAAAGTGGACCTGGGGCGGGATTTTTACCGTCTGGAAGTCCCCGGCAGCTCGGGAACCGTTTGTTACAGGGTGTACATAATGTGTCGCTTGAATCGCATAAATTCTGGGCATATTCACCTATAAAATTTTATATCAAGATCTTACCCATTGAAGAGATATAAGTCAATCTAGTGATTGTTCATTATACATTAGATTTCATCTAAATTACGATTGCCCCATGACGCCGCAGAAGACCAAAAGTCTAATTCTATGAACTTTGTATCATTTAAGCTAATGGGCATATTGTATATGATAATTTCTGTAAAAAATACTTTTTTAAGCAAAGTACCTTTTTCCAAATAAAAAAACTGCAAATGCAAATGCAAGATATAGAAAAGATTCCAGATTTATAAATGTATCAAAATAAAAAGATAAGTGTAATGAATTAGTTAACAAATTTATGCTTACAAAGTTGGAAAAAATCAAAATTAGAAAGGAATTATGTAATCTTTATACATGTAATTTAATTGAGATGTAATTTTAAAACAAACCGGAACTTACATGGTGTCACTGGTTCTGGTCGGTTATGACAATCTACAGACTCGAACTGTAGACACGCGCGGACCGAGGGCGAGTACAAATCCGGGTATTTACACTCGGACTGGAATGAGCCGAGGCTCGAACTGGCATCAGAACAGTTGAAGTATCGGGCACAGCTACTCGGATCAGTCACTATATCTGACGTGTGTACCTGACAATAGCTCACGATGTTCACTGAAAATAAAATACAGATTAGCCGCCTCATGACAAAACCAACGTAATGCGTTTGCGACCAGCATGGATCCAGACCAGCCTGCGCATCTACGCAGTCTGATCAGGATCCATGCTGTTCGTTATCAGTTTATCTACTTGTAATAGGGTTTGTAAGCGAACAGCACGGATCCTGATCAGACTGCGCAGATGTGCAGGCTGGTATGGATCCTTGTTGGTCGCAAACGCATGACGTTGGTTTTGTCGTGACGCGGCTCAGATAAGTAACATGTAATTGATCACCTGGCCCCGTGTTCACAAAGATTTACGGATCAGGATCAAGATCAGGATCAAATTTAAAAACTCTAATATTCTTCATTGTTTATCCTCAAAGATTAAATATCTAATATTAATTTGATAAAACTAGACTTGCAATAGCAAGTTTATGAAATTTTAGAATAAATTTATTGTCATTTTTGCAAGATACGGGCATTTTACAGTTGATCCAAATATTGATCCTGATCCTAAAATTGATCCTTATTTTGATCTGAAAATTTTTGTATTTGTTTTGTTTTTTGTTGATTTTATCCCAAAATAGTTTGGTTTCTTTGCAAATAAGCAATATTTTACATTTTGAATATTTACCATTCAATTCTATGAAAGCATGATTAATTTTAGTAACATAAAACAATGAAAATAAAATCAGGATCACTTGATCCTGATCCTGATCTTTTGTTAGTGAACACGGGGCCTGATCAACTTTATCTACTAACACCTAATTGCTCAGTGAAAACCATGAACGTTAAAATCTTATTCATGTACTCGTATAAGATGATATTTACTAAAGGCCTTTGATATGGCTTTCTTTTTAACTTGACGAGAAGCGAAGAATAAAAAATTCTCTGTACAGAAGAAAGGTAACTTCAGTAGTAAAATTCATAAAAAAACCCAATTATCATCATTATCTTCATCACCACCATGATTATCTTAATCAATGTTGTGTCCATCATCACCATCATCATTATTATTATTATCATCATCATCATTACAACCATCGCCATAACCATCATCGTCGTCGTTGTCATCATCATCAGCGTCATTACCATCATTATCATCATCATCATCATCATCATCAATGACAACATCATCATCACCACCATCGTCATTAACCGTAAGTGTACCTGCTATGAGGAAAACTACCTGGAATTTTGTCATCGGATAACCATAACCCCGATTTGGAAATTCCTTACCTTGGTTTATAATTTCTACACAACTGCGTTGTTGAGGATGGAAGAACCCACGTTGGCATTTCTCTACAGAGATTGTCCTATTCTTGTAGCACTTAATGTAGTCACCTTGCCAGGTACGTCCAGGGTATGGTTGTGACCCGTCGGCAAGGCCAACACAACTTGGTCGTCGTGACTGGCATGGTGTACAAGATAGATCTTGTGGTGCGCAAAGATTGCTTAGATAGTCACCTGAACGGAATGAGAAAAATGAAAATGATGTAAAAGATACATTTACAACATAGGGTAAGTTAGCTATTTATTTTTAAGTCAACAGCAGACTTATCAAACCACAATAAAAAACTGTTTCCTAGGCAAAACAGTACTTGTTTTATGAAGGACCATGGCGATCCAAACCAGCATCTATATTTATTTCCATAACCAAGCTGAATCTAATTAATGCATTAACGCCCTAAAGCTGATACACTTACTAAAAATTTCCTTCCAGCAAATCAGTGAGTTGAGATTGATAGAGATTGAACTGAAAACATTGATATACATGCTAGTATATTTAAAATATTTAAGCAATAAATAATCAATTAAACATTGAATAATATGACTGATCAGTCTAGGAAACGTTTGCTAAGAAGTATTCTTACAAGGTCTTTGAGGAACTGTTTTGCTGCCACATTGTGCGGTTTCAAAGCTAACACATCCTTTCACTTGTGGCGAATATAGCTTGGGATATTCACACTCCATTAAGAACGGTCCTATCGGTGAACCCGGCATGGAACAATTGAAATACTGGGCACAATTATCCGTGTGTTCCTGGACGGCTCCGTGATTATACTGACAGAAAGACTGGATTTTATCTGCGGTAAAAGACAGTAACTGTTATTTCAATAAATTACACTCGGCAAAACAAGGTAATCTTTTAACATTTATATCAAGTGTGATGCTTTTAATAAATGTCCGTATGAATTTTAACTTCTCGACAAATGCAGTACGTATTATGAGCCTACTTGTAAAACAGGGTCAATCTGTGATTGAAAATCTCTTAGATGGCGTCCAAGATGGCCGCTTTAATTCCTACAACATTTAAAAGCCGTAACTATTCTCGTTTTCGCTACTTTTTACGGTTATCGTCATGTTAAATTGCATATTTACATCCACGATGATAATTTGAATAAGTGTTTGGTTAATTATAATTATAAATCAAAACAGTACAACATTTAAAAAAATGGCGGTAAATTACAAGACTTGCATCTGGCAATATCAACTTACGTAAATCAATATTGGAAGTGCATGATAAGTCAATGGAGTCGAAAACGGACCCGATCGGACATTTGTCCAGCGCCATTGTCCTGTTCTTGAAACATTCTATGTAATTATCCGACCATTCCTTGCCTGTGAAAGGCCGCGCACCATCAGGTTTACCAATACAACTTGGAAGACGTTGAAGACAAGGGGGGCAACTCGTATCACCCGGTGCACATTGATTCTGTGCATACTCACCTGAACAAAAAAACAACAACAGCACCTTTGAAAATGTAAAGATTTTGTTATCTATTAACGAATGAAGCTGGGATAAAACAAGATAAGACAGCGCGTGTCCGGCTATTCTCAGCGGCTGATAGCAAAACATTCAAGATCCTGGATAATGTAAAAGATTTTCGGGTTCAATATGGGCCACAATTATGTCAAAATCCATGTAAGAGCTAGGTGCTTTTGATAGTGACATCGTGACGTCGGCGTAGACGCCGTGTACAATAACTTTCCCTATACTTCGAGTATCCGATCTTAAGATTCACATTAAATATTAAGAACACATTTCTTCTCATATATTTTCTTCAAAAGTAAACAATCAACTATCTATTCAAACATTATAATACTGTACTAAAAGATGTTACTTTACTAAATTTTGATTGAATAACTGACTAAAAAGAGAAAAACATACAGGGTGCTTGGGGTTCCATTCTTTTGTCACACATCACCCTTGTGAACCTTGAACACGTCATTGTGTATGTTGAGAACAAATCTGGATATTTGCATTCTTTGATCGGCACCGTCTGTAGTGTTACCTCGGAGCAGTTTACATACTGTGCACAGTTATCAGGATAAGCCATTATAGCGTCTGGGTGGGCGTGGCAGTAGTCGGGGATGTCGGCTAGACAATAACACAGAAACAGAATATATTGACTGTCAGACATTAACATGCTATTGTAATAATGATTTCGGGTGGGGCTAGAAAGCTTCCAAAATTCTCAGGAAAACATAATTCATTTGTCATTTTGTAACATGTTCTATATACATCTTTTTATGTTTTGTTTTTTCCGGTTAATTTTTTTCAGTTTGTGTAAAACATATATACTGAATATATTCAAGCTAGAAACAAGGTATACAAACGGTAAGTGACAGAATATAACTTCCAGCCTAGAAATTCGTAACACTGTTTCAAGTAAATATATTAACTGTAGAAAAGTATTGCCACAATTTTATGAAAAAAAAAAGAAATTTGAAATAATTATTATATGGTATATGTATTATAACGTACGTTTATCGACCTTGCTAACACATGTCCTTGACTTTGGACTGAAGGACCCTGTCTGACATCGGGTGGCGTTCACAGTTCTATTCTTGTAGCAGGTTATGTACTGTGGTCCCCAAAGCTGACTCGGCACCGGATGGTCCCCGTCTTGGAGTCCAACACATGACGGAAGTCTATCCTTGCATGGTATACAATTAGTGGCGTTAGCTGAACATGTATTCTGCTTATACTGGCCTATAATGTAAACATGTTTTTTTCTCTGAAACAATGTCTTAATATTATATTACACACCTTATAAAATTATATTATAACCAATGAGCTTTCCAACATGTCAACATATATTTTTCTTTTTATTTTTGAATTCGTCATTAAATTTTACTCATTATACAAAAAAACTAGAACATCATATGAAAGATTTATTTTGGTATTTTTAATTATTTATAGAATTCGTGATTATTTTTCTCATCTTTTTGTTCATTTAAAAAGGATGAAATACTCTTTTTTAAAGAAGCATGTTCACATTATCATTTGGTTCATACAGAATCTTTAGATAAAGTTATCATCGTGTAAAATTCTGCTTGTTTTGTAATCTTATACATATCTTATTTTCTATAACACTGTTTGGCTATTTTGACAGTTTTGAGATATACGGTTACCATGGAAACTGCCATTTTACAAAAACATCCAACATGTCAACATAATTATATTTATCTTTTTATTTTTGAAATTGCCATTAAATTCTACTTGACATACAAAAAATTTAGAAAATTCTATAAAAAGATTAAATATTCATAAAACTGTAGAAAATGTCCTTAATTCGGGCTCGTTTTCATTTCTAGAGTTCAAAAAGTCCATATCAAATCTATATCATATCCCATATAGCCTCATTTTTATTTCAGAGTCCAAACAATCAATATCAAATAAATATCATACAATATTCAGCTTCGGTTTCATTTTTTAAAATAAAAAATCCGTATCAAATACTTATGTATAATTGAAGTAACAAAGGTCTGTCAAAATATTAAAAAATGGTGATGTGAAATAAAAATGTCATTTAACATGGTTGAGAACAATAACGATTCTAATGGACTGATCCACATCACACTCGACAAGTGCCTCGTCCCCAGAGGCGAGTAATCTATATAGACTTAAGAAAACGTATTGTTTTAGTTCTCTCCCCTGATAAAAAATCCCTGATGAATGGCTGTCGGAGTAACAATGCATAATTATAGGCGATGAAAAAATACATTAAAATGTTGGTTCCGTATAACTGAAATGATATAACACCCTCGACTCCGCCTGTATTTTTGAACTTCTGGAGAATACCCTATATACGTGTTGTATAATTTAAGAGGTTAAAGAAGAATGCTCACATGGGGCCATGGGTTCTGGTCGCGTTTGGCAGGTTACTTGAGAGAAATCTCTGCATGTCTTCAAACTTTCGTCATATAGATCCGGGTACTTGCATTCCGTCATGTATCCATCATTTGGGGAGGAACAGTTGTAATACACGGCGCAGTTGTCAGGATTGATAACCACGTCAGTCACGTGCACCGTACAATATTCCTGTATATCAACTAAAAATAGAATAAACACTGTGTCTGATAACACCGATTCTGCCATATATAATATCACATAACATCAAAGAGTTCAGCACAAATTACAATGATTCTACTTTTTATCTACCCATTGACTTAAATGTTCTTTGACCTTTGACCATATAATAGGTGTCTTATAAAATCAAATATAAATGTAAACAATAAAAAAACACTATATAAAGATACAGTGTCCCCCCACATGATCACGTTCTTTTTCTTACCAGGGTCAACCTTTATACGACACTGGTGTTGTCTCGGATGGAAGTAGCCAGTTTGGCAAGTGCGCACGGCCATCGTACGGTTTCTGAAGCACTCGACGTATCTTTCACCCCATAGGTGGGAGGGGTGTGGTTGAGCTCCGTCCGGCAGTCCTATACAACTTGGAAGTCTTTCCGGACACGGGGCACAGTTAGGGTCATTCTGGGAACATCGGTTTTGTTCGTATTGACCTACAATATTGTAAAAACATATTGTTCTAATATCTAGAGACTATTTATAGATACAAAAGATGTTAATAAAAGAATATGGCGTACATAAAGATGTAAATAAAAGAATATGGCGTACATATATGCCTTATGATATCATTTGATAACTTATAGCAACATATCTTCATAATTATCTATGACGTCACCAAGACTTTTCAAAATACACAATGACCTCCTTTGAAAAGTGACAGTTTGAATATTCACATAAACGTTTTAACTGATTTCTCTTCCATACTGATTGAAATGAAAAGTGGGGAGCGGTGGTCTTGTGGTTAAGAAGTCTGGTTTTCAAGCCAGGGATCGTGGTTTCGAACCATACTCTGGTCACGATCACGTTTCCTCATATGACACCAGTTCTAGTAAGTTCCTGGAAGCGGACTCGAAAGGGATTAATATAAGTTGCAATAACTTTTTTCGCAACCGAGCTAAAATAATTATGTAGAAACTGAACGAAAATGTGTCAATAAACTTGTGAAGGAAAAAAAAACAATAATCTTTTACAAGAAATAGGATTAACTGTTATAAATTAAAATGTACCTACAGGGCGCTTGAGGTTCTGGTCGTGTGCTACAAAATGTTCTTCTGAAAGAGCCGCACGTCATTGTGAACGTTGAGAACAAGCTCGGGTATTTACATTCCCCTATGTATGCGCCTAAAGCAGACGACAGTTGCGAGCAGTTGTAATACTGGGCACAGTCGTCTGCTGCCGGGACTACTTTCGAAGGATTGTTTTTGCAAAAGTTCTTAACATCAACTGAAAAAAGATTGAAATATAATGTTTGAACTGAAAAATAAACATCGTAATCTTTTGACAATAAAACATTTGAAATGATCTGTAAAGTGTGATAGTATAAAAAGGAATCCTAAGTTCCTAACATAATTAACCCTTTCCCACATGAACATATTGTGAAAAATGGCCGTTTTCAGTGAAAAGCCTCCTGTTACAAGTTCAAACTGCTATGAAACTATGAAAAATGCTTCAATACTAATCAAACTTGGCACAAATGTTGACTGGACCATTGCCTTTGTAAGGACATGTTCAGTCTTAAATTTCCTGTAACCATGGCAACGAGGGGACATCTCAAAATTGCCAAAAATACCTATTTTGTCTTGATTTTTTCCATCAAAATTTATTTCGAAGTGCTGCAACTTCTCAAGGGATTGAGATAGAGTCAAAGGCTTTTCAGCGTTGGTTACACGTTACCTTATGATCGACCTGGGGTCATTTTCAGCCTCTCACAAGTCCAAAATTTTCTTGGCCCCCCTTAAAACCCCCCAAACAGAAGGGGGCACATCCCCCTTCTGGCAACCCCCTGATGTATCTTTTGGGGGGGGGGGGGGGCGGCGCCGAAAAAGTGCTCACTTTTTTTAGCAACATTTCTCAAACGAAAACAGGTGTTTGGGGCCCAAATTGGACATTTTTTCACTATTTCAGGCCTAAAAAAGGGGGGGGGTCGAAAGTGTGTTGTTTCGCGTATATATGAGGTAAAGGGTTAAAAGTTAAAATATTTGAAGCAAATTGAATGTACATATACTGGTATATTCACTTCAATTTTAAATACCTTTATCTAAAGACAATGTATTTAGAGACACTGATTACGGAGCATTGTGTCATAATACATTATTATAAAATTTCTATACTGCATGACACAATTAATTCAACAACCTTTTGAAGATTGTTTTATGAAAGAATAGTTGTCAAAAATACCCATTAAAAACAAAATAAAATGTTATACAATACCTCTTTGCACATCTTCTGTACACGTTTTTGTCACGGGATGAAAGTAGCCAGTTTGACAGTGTTTCACTGATACGGTTCTGTTCTTGTTGCACTCGACATAGTCTGACGTCCACTCTTTGCCAGGAGCGGCATTTATCCCATCCGGTAACCCAACACAGCTTGGTAGGCGTTCTTTGCAAGGGAGACAACTCGGATCCGACCCATTGCAAAGATTTTGAAGGTAGTCGCCTATGAACATGAGGAATTAATTTTAATAAATAAAATAAACCATTTTTCATCATTGTCAAGCAAGAAAAGGTGCGGAAAAACGACTTGGTGAAGTTTCAAGTTTTAAGTTTCATCTACATTGCAAGCAATTCATCAAATACTGTTTTTCTCGTGCATGATAAATAACAGTTACTTGTAAACATCGGGATAAATATTCAATAGCAATTTTTGAAGTCTGCCTATCTTTCGGGCTATATATAGTTTCATAGTATCAATCATAACAAAACTTTGCCGGCTTGAATGTTATTGCATAATATCGATTTTTACAAAGTTTATGTACTATTATATCACATGTATGTGTATATTTAATATATTTTTACGTACATGGTGGCATCGGTTCGTGTCTGGTCCCACACGGAACGGATTCAAACGATTCACACTGGTGAGTTACCGTTGAAAACAGGTCCGGGTAATGACACTCTTGCAAATAGGATCCAAGACTACAAAATACAAGACTAGTATTCTACATGGACAACTTTAAATCAAAATTTTATATAAAAATTCTGTAAATCATAAAAATTGTCTACATAAGGAAAATGAATAAAGGGAGAGATAAGGGAACAAAATAACATGAGTAAGGTTGCACATTTGAGCCGCGCCACGACAAAACCAACATAATGGGTTTGCGGCCAGCATGGATCCAGACCAGCCTGCGCATCCGAGCAAACCCATTATGTTGGTTTTGTCATGACGCGGCACATTTCGTGTATTATTTCAGACACTTGTGGTCCATGACGCGGGGTATTGCCGTAATGAGTAATATATCGGTAATATAACGCCCTTTTATAATTAAATCAGATGAAAGATTCACAATAGATAAAAATACGAACGAACGGACGAATGAAAGGACACACAGACGTACGAACAAATAATCATATAAACATTACCTTGACCTTGGATTAGAACAGTTATAATACTGAGCACAGTTGGTTTCATGTGCCTTTATAGCCTGTGGGTTTGCTTGACAGAAAGAATTTATATCCGCTGAAAAGATATAGTAATAATTTTGTTACCGTAGACATTTTGTATTAAATTAATACAGATTCAAAGTGAAAAGTTTAAAAAAACTTGTATTTAAAGGGAATATTCAGTCCTTGATTAATTTTCATAATAAGCTTAGAAAAGAAAATAGTTTTGTTCTTCCATTACTTCCTCGCAAAATAGTCGTGCATAATTTCAAGAAAGGATTATTAGGTAATATAATTTTGATAAGATTTATTTCAAAATGACAGGTTTAAATAATACAATAAAGCTCTAAGTAAATTATGAACATGTAAAATAATCAATATAAAACAAACAAACAAACAAACAATTCACAAACAAACAAACAACACAAACACGTGGTAGTTATTTTATGTTAACTGTTGATGTTTAAACTTTTTAAAAACTATCGCGGGTAAATACATGTAGAAGCACCAACCTGACTTTATCTTTGAAGCACAAGCTAGCCTGTTTGGATCGAACACAGCACCATTCGGACAATGTTTTACTTCCATGGTTCTGTTTCTATAGCATCGAACATACATCTCCTTCCATACATGACCTGCCGCCGGTTGGTCCCCATCCGGAAGTCCAATACAGCTAGGTAGCCGGTCAGGACACGGGTCACAGCTAGATCCTGGCGGACATAAATTTTGGTCGTATTCACCTATAAGACATTATTTATGTTAAAACCTTATGAATTGTTTTAGATATTTCACATCTCCGATTACCGACAAAATGTTTTGTTTTAACACAGTATCAAATACATTTGTTTAAACTTAATTAATACATCTCCTAAAATGAACGAAGTAAAAATATATAAAATAAGTTCTTTTTATACTATCCAAAAGGACAATACATAATAGAAAGAACTTAAATATATATTTGTTGTGTTACAGAGCTTTAAGTTCATTGTCAAATTACATTGAGATACTCTTTGTATTATATTTTTAATGTTTGTCTCACTGCCGTTCATTATAATAAACAAAAGGGTAATAATCAAACTGTGAGAACGAAAATATTACGCAAAACTACCATGTTCTTTTTATCATAAAATGTGTAACAATAAAATGGAAACGGAGAAAAAAAAAACAATACCCCCCCCCCCCAAAAAAAAAAACAACAACAAAAAACGAAGAAACTATCATGTACATACACGGCGCTTGAGGCTCGGACCGTTGACCGCAATGTACAGTCGTGAAGTCCTGGCATGTCATGGATATAGTCGAGAACAAGTCTGGATACCTGCACTCCTGTATAACATTCTGTCCCAACAACGACGCGGAACATTTATAATACTTGGCACAGTCTGATTGCACGGGTAACATGTCACCAGGATTAGCCTGACAATACTGCAAGGCATCCGCTGAAAAAGTAAAACTAGTGAATTAAATTAACAAACTAAATTTGTCTAAAATAATTCGTAAGACAATACTGTAAAAAGAGAAAATATGATTCCCTTAAGAAAGTCCAAAACGGCAAACTTGGAAATGTTGCAGGTTCGGTTTCATTGAGCCTGTTCATGGACGGTACTGTCAACTATCGTCCACGCCCCCTAGCACCGGCTTTAGCAGAATTTAACATGTAAAGTTACCGCTAGAAAGTATAACAAGTTAATTTAACTGACACACACTAATATGTCTAGAATAATTTTAATATATAATAACTAAACAAATCATTTACTAGTATATTGCATGACCTTACACAATAAGCTATCACTGATCAATGACATTTTATGGTCATGTACTACCTAAATTTTGTAGTGAAAGCGGATGCAAATTTAAGAATACATGTATCAAAAAGACCAATTTGATGTTAGCAAAGGACTATGTGTATTCTTTGCATTTTTCAGGCAACTCTAAAGGAAGCCTAGTCGTAATTGTGAAATGTTTTCCGTTACCAACGTTTAACCCGCAACCTGCTGGGGAATCTAAAGTTATTTTCCTTTGCAATTAATGTAGAGTTATCCTCAAAACCAATAATGGACTGTTCCAAAAATGTTCGCTGGACGAGTCAATTTAAGAAATTCAACAGGTTTACGGTTATATATGTTATGACGCCAAAATCGAACTTAGGCTTAAAACTTAAGTTGTGTACTGAGTCTACTGACCAAACCATTAACTTAAATTTAAATCTATTACTAATAAATTATCACTTAGAAGAACATTTGTGGATACAACATACGCTTGTCTATTGCTTCTGTACATATTTGTTTTATCGGATGGAAATATCCTTTCGAACATTTCTTCGTTGGTAGTTCTGTTCTGTCTTTATAACAGGTAACATATTGCGGTTTCCACAGTCTTGTCGGGTAGGCGTGGTCTCCGTCACTCAGACCTTTGCAGCTCGGCAATCTATCCTTGCAGGCAACGCATGCGCGGTCATTTGAACTGCATAGGTTCTGTTTGTATTCACCTTAAATATCATGCGAAAATTGCATAAATATTACATACAACGTAAGTGAAACAATATTTTGTCTCATAATATGTCATATATGCTTTAGATAAATAATAAAGTACACATATAAATGTTCCCCCAAACTAGCCTCTAACGGAAAATTATGTAGTTATCTTTTTAAAAGTGTTGAAGGGTCTTAACTTTAATAGACACTATTAGATTAAACAATATTTAACATGTATCAAAAAGCAGAATGAAGTTTGCACAAGGGACTAAACATTTAAACATTTAAGATCCCGTGCCGCCTAAAGTTACTTTTTAATTACTTTAAAGATGTAGTGCAGAGTGTAGCATTATGAAACATAGATACTAACATAAGCGTCTTATTCAAAAAGTATCATGTCGCGAGCTGGAAAAGAATGTTAAAAGTCACTAATGGAAACAATAAGAGAATTCGGAAACAAAACTTTTGCATTTTCTAAATAAATCATATCCCTTTTTTTAAATCTGAAGGTAACGAAATTAAATAACGTAGGAAAAACAGAGACCAAGACAGAAAGAAAGAAAGAAAGAAAGAAAAACGACAATATCTTACATGGTGCTTTTGGCTCGGTCCTCGTTCCACAAGTAACTGTTTCAAAGTCCTGACAGGTCATAGTTATCAATGACAACAGCTGCGGATAGTGACATTCAACGATAGGATCGGACATGGTACCGTGCATGAACGCCGTGCAGTTTATCACCTGCGCACAATTATCATCTACAGGGACTATCGCCTGTGGGTTTGCAGCGCAATATGGCTTGGAATCAGCTGATTTATAGAGAAAATTATCTTTATATTTATTAATATTTTTAGTAAATATTACAACATTATGGTATGAAAGAATACATACAGCTTGCGACAATCTGACTCAGTTCTTATGTTAATGTAACGTTATTTAGGAGTGGATCGACACATTTTGGTTCGCGTTATTATGCTTTTTGGGCTTCTTATAACGTCTATTGATTCGCGTAAAATTGTGTGCCTTTTTTACGGTTTAACGACTTTTGATTCACGTCATAACGCTTTTATTCGCGTTACAACACCTTAATTTGTGTTATAGCCCCATTCAGTTTGCGTTACTACGCGTAATTACGCCTTTCAATCCGCTTTATAACTCCTCTCCAATATCTTATTTTATTTTAGCTGATACTATTATGCTTCGTAACTTAACTTTTATATAAAATACCATAAATGTAAGTTCTATAAGTTGACCTTTTTCAAATAACCAAACGTAATGTATACTTTTATCTACAAACAAGTACAAAAATTGTATCTTACTTGTTTTAACATGTTCTGTACAAATCTCCATTGTTGGATGGAAATAGCCTTTCTGGCACTTTTTGGTAGCCACGGTTCTTTCTTTATGACAGACGATGTAATCCTGTCCCCATAATTTGGTCGGGAAGGCGTGGTCTCCGTCATGCTTGCCTACACATGATGGCAAACGCTCCGGACATGGCTGGCAATTTGTGTCGTTTGGCTGGCAAAGATTTTTTTCGTAGTCACCTAAACAACGCAAATGAGCCGTGTCACGACAAAACCAACATAATGGGTTTGCGACCAGCGGATCCAGACCAGCCTGCGCATCCGCGCAGTGTGATCAGGATCCATGCTGTTCGCTATCAGTTTCTCGACTTGTAAAAGGGTTGGTAAGCGAACAGCATGGATCCTGATCAGACTGTGCGGATGCACAGACTGGTCTGGATCCATGCTGGTCGCAAACCCATTATGTTGGTTTTGTCGTGACGCGGCTCAAATTAAGTATCATAAATTACAACTATTGTTATTTTTCTTAAAGATACAAAGGTACATGCATGTTAACTAAATACCAGGAAAGAAGTAACGTCGCAACAACTTAGTAGAGGTCATATGGCGACCAGCTTTACTGGTCGAAGAAGACATCAGGTGCCCTTTCAGTAACAGACCGGCACTTTAGTACAACCACAAAACTCCGTAAGGCGTGTTTCAAATCCAAAGCGGTGAAATCATTACTTTTTTCGCAACAGCACTGTTGAAATTAAATGCACATAGTATATTTCTTAATTCCAGCTTATTACATCATACAAGAGTTGACTTACAAGGAGCTTTTGGTTCCATTCTGGTTTGGCAAGGGACCATATTAAATGGTTGACACGTCATTGTTGTTGTTGAGAACAGGTCCGGATATTTACATTCTTCTTTGTAGTGTCCTAACTGAGACGTTGTGTCTGAGCAGTTGAAATATTGGGCACAGTTGTCAGGGTTCACCTTGATTTGTCCTGGATTGGCTTTACAAAAATTGTCCATTTTATCTGAACAATATTAAATTAAATAATTTGATACTATGTCAGACTTTAAAGCAATTTTGATTGATGTTAAAAAAGCATGAAACGTATTTCTGGCTTAAAAGTGTTTGTCAGTTTAATAAATATTTCATAAAAAAAATGTAATAAAAAATTTGTTTCTGTCTTTAAGTTACAGGAATTCGATTTTCACAAAATATCCTACTTACTAATAACTACTTTTAACAGTAGTCAAAAACATGCTCTATGAATAGCGCAAAACGATTAAATATCATTGATTCAAGTCTCTTTCTGCGGTTTTAAAGTACATTTTACAACATGTGTTATTCTTGAAGCATATTATTTTTTTGTCAGGGAACCGTTTATTTTATGTAAATAATAGATAGATAGATTTATTTCGGCATAAAGGTAAACACGTAACATGATAAACAAACACAATATAATACTATAGTAAAGTAGTCTATTGGGACAGATCTCGCAGCTACTGTTTCCAGGGTTACATATATTTTGGTTATACTCGCCTATGAACATTTAAAATCAGATGAAATCATATCATTACCAAAATTTCCAACTTTTTTTTTTAATTTAGACATTTTGTAATTAATAAAAATATAATATTGGGCGAATTTAACATTTATTCACATCCTTTTTGGTTTTTAATGTCAAATGATCTGATCGTTATTAAAGCTTACTATTACCATTGCAGATGATTTTAAATAGCTACTGAAAGTTGCGATTGCTCTTGCGTATTTCTAGAAAAAAAAGACAGAAATTATTAACAATCGCAACTTTTCGGCCCTTTCCGTCAGTTTTTGGATAAGGATATTCTGAGTAAAATCAGAGTCGTTTCCGAAATGAAAACTATTTACATACCTTTTGGCAACATCTGATACACATGCTTGGGTAGTCGGATCAAAAATGTTTCCTGATGGACATGCGTTATCGCCACTGTTCTGTTCTTGTAACACTGAATGTAATTTTTCGTCCACAACTTCGTCGGGAAAGGCTGGGCACCGTCGGATAGAGTGATACAGCTAGGTAGTCTGTTGGGACAGATCTCGCAGCTACTGTTTCCAGGGTTACATATATTTTGGTCATACTCGCCTATTAACATTTAAAATCGTATAAAAACACATTATTACCAAAATTTCTAACTTTTTTATTAATTTAGACATTTGGTAGTTAAAAAAGGATAATATTGGGCGAAGTAAACATAATTCACATCGTTTTGGTTTTTTCCCGTTCTTCCCGTTCTAACGAAACGTGTACAAAATTTAACGTTCTGGAAGTGTCTCTTCCGCTTTTACATTCATTATTAATGTGTTCTGTGTTCTGCTTTGTTCAACATTCCCCGAATTTACATTGATAATAAACTGTCGCATGGAAGAAATGGAAATGTAATGGCGAGCCACTAAAGTTACTTGGATACGTGATAAATAATTTTTGAAACTGCCTGGCTATTTTTATGTAATGTGCTATAGATTGAGATTTGTATATATTTGCAAAAATACTATGTGCAATAGATATTTAAACAAAAAAGAGTAGAAAAAATTGTACTTACATGGTGCCTGAGGTTCTGGTCTAAGGTCACATGTAACTGTCGTGAATGACTGACAAACCATAGAAATAGTCGAGAACAAATCTGGGTATGTACATTCAGAAATTGGGTCAGAAGAAGGCGTGGCTAGCACCGCGGAACAGTCAATGAAATGCGCGCAATTGTTGCTCATAGGTATAATGTCATGTGGATTGGCTTGACAGTATGGTTTGGCATCAACTGTTGGTAGATATTAAAACGAGTTTTATTTTTAATGAAATATTAATGTTTCTTGATATCGTTCATCTTGTAATAAACAAAAGATCATAGTACCCTACCCTTCAAATCATTAAAAAAAAATACACAAAGCAAAGAAATATAAACTCAGTTAAAGAAACGTATTCTTTTAAAAATCTGTATTCAATTAAATCATATTAGCATCAGCATACACGCTTACATATACACGATACCTTTATTGACATCATCTGCGCACTGCTTTTGTACCGGATGGAAATAACCGCTACGGCATTTATCCAATGGTAAGTTTGTTCTATTTTTATAGCAAGTGATGTAATCTGGCTTCCACATCCGACCTGGGAAAGAGTTCGGTCCATCAGAGACGGTGACACAGCTAGGAAGCCTGTCTGGACAGGGCACACAGGCTGGGTCGTTAGCCGGACACAAGTTTCGTTCATATTCACCTGAAAAATACAGTTATAACTTGTTATTCTTGTATTTGTAGGCCTGGAGAAAATTAAAAATTAGTTTCATGAACATGGAAATGCATCAGCGCAAACCCCTTTGACATCGCTAGCACAGGCTTGTTAGCAAAATAACTATACAGCCTTGACTACTTTAGCACAGAACGTTCCTAAACGAGTAACTGTTTTCAGTTTGCTAAATTTTAAAAGAACATTTATACTTTGCAACATATGTCACTGGAGGATTTACAAAGAACTTAGCTCATATTCTTTTTCTGATATTTTTAAACTTACATGTGGGGCATGGGTTCCTCCTTTGTTACACGTGACAGCGTTTCAATATTTCTCCAACATTCATTTATTGTAGATGAAAAGTCGGATAATTGCATTCCTGTGTTCTCGGTATTTGGCTAGCATTGCAAATTGATGTTATAATGTAAGCATCAGCGCAAACCCCTTTGACCTCGCTAGCACAGGCTTATACGCAAATAAACTCCACGCAATTGAACCACTTCCCCCATACAGTTGTTAGCGGTTGTAATCAAGGAAAGTACACTTATGTGTAACACATTTATCACTGGAGAAAGAAAAACATACTTATTCCTGATCTGCTATTTTAAGACTTACATGGGGCCATGGGTTCCTTCCTTTTGTTACACGTGACGGTTTCAAATTTCTCACATTTCATTGTATTTGTAGAGAACAAGTCGGGATAATTGCATTCCTGTGCCGGATCGGCAGCATTGCCATTGATGTATAATGTACAATCTATGAATTGGGCACACATGTCCGGTATTGGTACGACATCGTTATGGTTGGCATGGCAATAAGACTTGGCATCAGCTGTAAATAAATCATATTTACAGATCTATTTTATATTTGAAGTGTTACAGTTGTATATTTATTCATAAATTTAACTTCACTTATATACTCTTAGACCATAAGATTACATTGTGCTAAATGTATAATTTTAGGAAAGAAAAACAAGGCATAGTTAAGGCAGACCATGGGTAATGCATTACCTCCACTTTGAAGAGTATTCAAATAGGCTAGGATCACTTGCCAACGACATTGAATTGAGGGGCGTGGGTTCAAATCCCATAGGTGGCAACTTTTTCTTTCTTTCTTTTTTTCTTTTTAACATTATTTGTGTATCTCTTTGATCCCTTATGGAAGAAAAAAAGTGTTTGATTCAAATTATTTAATTTTTGTAGGTATTTATTTGCTAAATAATGCCTAAATTTATAACAAATATGATACCAGATATTTTCAAAGTTTAATAAATAAAAACTACATGGTAAAAGTATTTTATATTTCGCATGATCAACCAATATACCTTTAAGAAAATTTAGGCAAACTTTGAAAACAGCCCCTTATTATGGTAAATTTTAGGGATATTTTGAATAAGGCATTTTAGATAGGGAAATGGTAAAATTATTGTTTAAAGTGGGTGGGTAGGGTAACATTTTTATACATATTAAGAACATTTTGTTTAGAAACACACATTTTGCTTGTGTAATTTGTTACCTGTATGTTATTATTTGTTTCTTAAAAATAAGCAATAGAAAAACATTTTTATAATGATGATATTACAGATTATTTAAAGTTTCCTCATTTCTGAAATTAAGCCCTTCTAATGGCAAAGTCTTAGTTCAGAAATATATCCATAACTCATAAACCACACATAAATTTTATTTAAATTTTGCATACAGGTGACCTTGAAGACATATAACTGTCCTATGTTGTCAATTTTACCGTTCCTTATGGTACCCATTACCCATGGTCTACCTTAAATATATTTCTTTTTAAACTCATTCTAAATGATCTTTTTTATCTGACTGTAGTACCGTTTTACTATCATGACATGTCTACATTACAATGTTAACATGCAGTATGACAACCATTTGCTAATTGTAATTCTTATTGTAATAATGTGTAACAGTCGGTGTAAGGCAAGGGTGTCCTTTTCCACCAGAATCATTTTACCATTTGATGTTTAAATTTCTGAAGTTTCTAGTATTCTTCCCCGGAATGTTTGTTTAAATTTGAAATAACTCATAGATGTTGCTTGACTGTACAGTTTTGTCCCTACTTATAGAATATATGTATTGTTTAGTTATACTTACGCTTACTGACATCTTTTGTACACATTTCATTAACTGGATGAAAATACCCTTCGGTACATTTGGTCACATTAACTGTCCTATTTTTGTAACACGTGATATAGTCTGGTTTCCATGTTCTCGAAGGGAAGGGATGGTTCCCATCACTCATACCAACACAACTTGGCAACCGACTTGGACATCGTGCACAGTTTACATCGGAAGGTTTACACAAGTTCTGCATGTATTCGCCTGCAAATTTTCAGAGAAACATATTTGTACTTAAAGATTATTTATCCTTAATAAATATGATAGATAAAAAAGATAATTAACCGTATGTAATGTTTTTTGGTTCAGTTTTTATTTTATTTCATTCTACCTTTTTAATGTATCTGTCTTCAATTGATGCTCCGGATTTTTTCTATGGTTTCTTAGAAGTAAAAGATAATCAGTAGTAAGTGAAATAAAATCAAATGTTTATTGTAAAACTGTATTACAATGCCATTTGCGCACAGACACTCTAAATAAATAAAATATGATTGTTACTTACACGGTGCCTGGGGTTCACTTCTGTTTGTACACTGGACTGATTCAAACCGTTCACAGCGTTTTGTTGATTCTGAGAATAAATCCGGGTACTTGCACTCATCCAGATGATGACCGAGGGGTGCCGAGTTATCCGAACAGTTGTAGTATTGAGCACAATTTTTCGAGTTTACTTTGATCGCAGTTGGATAAGATAAACAATAAGAATCGATGTTTCCTGAAATTATAAATGGTGGCTGAAATGTACGTTGTGATCCTGTTTTTTTCTTGTTTTGTTTGTTTGTTGTTTTTTTTTTCGTTTTTTTTTTCTGTGAACATACATTGTGACTTTAAGATATCACCCTCCGACTAAAATAATTTGCTGCTTAAAAATTTCATTTTTTATAGATAAATTCTCGTAGCAATAATGACTCAAATATATTCTTTAGACCTGTAAATCAGTTTTAATCACTGAAAAATTGTGGCATTTTTCAATGTTTCAAGACTTGTTTGGTCCACAGAACAAAATAACATTGGTTTGGTTTTAAACCGAAGTAACATACCACTTTATTCAACTTATACAAAAATCATCATTTTGAAGAAAAAAACAAGAGCGATCAGTGATCACATGTGTCGCCTCATGATGGCCAAATTCATGTTGGGACAAACAAGATTTGTGACAGACGGACAGACAGACAAACAATGCACAACTAGACTTGGTACTGATAATTCCTGTAAAGTTTGAATAAAATTGCACCAGTAGTTTATGAGGAGTAGTCCGGACAAGCTTTTGTGTATCTGGCAACACACAGAAAAAACACCTTTTTTTTAAAAGGGCCATAACTCGGCCAAAAATCATTCAACCGGAAAACCCGTGCAATATGCGCAAGGACTTGAGCTACAGATCACTCCTGTAAAGTTTCATTGAAATTGCATTAGTGGTATAAGAGAAGTAGTCCGGACAAACTTTAAAAATAACAATTATTAAAGGGCCATAACTTTGACAAAAATCAATGAACCGGAAAATGCTGACAATATGCACAACTAGACTTGGTACTGATCATTCCTGTAAAGTTTGGATGAAATTGCACTAGTAGTTTATGAGGAGTAGTCCGGACAAGTTTTGTGACGGACGGACAGACGGACGGACAGACGATGGAGAAGTGATCCCTATATGTCGCCACTACTCCGTATAGGCGACACAAAAAGATATATAAGTGAAGAAATATATCTTACTTGGATTAATATTAGTTGTGCACGTTTTCGTATTCGGATCGAACACAGCTCCTGATGGGCATTGATCAACCACTGTTCTATTCTTATAGCAGTGTATAAAATGTTCCGTCCATTGTTTGTTTGGAAACGGTTGGTCGCCGTCTGCTTTACCGATACAGGAAGGTAATCTGCTGGCACATACAGTGCAGCCCGGAGTGTTGAGATTTACACACAGGTTCTGATCATACTGACCTAAAAACAACAACAGCATTTATTGCAAAACTGTCCTTATGTCAGAATAAAGAAATTTTAAATCCTGTTTAAAATACAAAATCTTACAGTAATATCGGTTTTCTCCCTTTCTGAAAATGCTCCTTTTGCACATTTAACAACAAGACCGTGTAATATCAGTATTCTCCCTTAGTAAGCGGTGCTCCATTTGTACAATTTGTAAAACACAAGTGTGTGATTCTTTTTATTCTATCTTTGTAACAGTGCAGTGTTTGTACATACAGCAATACTCGTACAGATGTAAATTTGGCTTTCTCCTCTAGTTATAATAGATTGTATACCATGCACACGGTACAAATGACAACACGAAATTGCATGGACCGCCTCCGTGGTCGAGGGGTTAATAGAGTCGATGACTTCTAATCCAGTCACCTCTCTGGCGTGGGTTCGATCCCCGGGAGATGCTTTGGTAGTTTAGCACAGAGGAAGGTAGTCTAGTACTGGTGTAACTCTCCAGGAACGATGGTTAGGAAACTACCCGCCTATATGACTGAAATACTGTTGGGAAAAGGCGTAAAATGAAACAAACAAACAGATTGCACGGAAATGACAAAATAACTGTTTTTAGCATGATAACAAAGCCGGACAGGAATAAGACAAAATGTCGCATTGCCAAAAACAGATACTAGTACTGAAGAACAAAAATTAACTTAAACATGAACAGTCACATACAAGGTGCCATTGGTTCTTGTCTCTTTTCACAGTTCACTGTGCTAAAGTTGCGGCACGTGAGCGTCAGCTTCGAAAATAAATCTGGATAATGACATTCTTTGACGGGATCTGAAGCTGTTCCCATGGTAACCGCTTTGCAGTCTATGTATTTGGCGCAATTATCTGCTATAGGAATGACGTCATTGGGATTGTACTGGCAGTATGACTTTGCATCCGCTGAAAAATGAAATTCAAACTAATTAAGAAGTTCAGAGTTAAATACAAAGGAAAGCGATATCAACAAATCTATACAAATGTGTGTAATAGTGCAAAAGAAAGATGTGTCTTTATAATAAGTTTTTCAGTTTTGTTAAATTTCTAAAACCCGTTATACAATAAAACTTCATAATTCTTCACAATCATTTCCTGGCAAAAGTTTGTTTAATTAAAAAAGTGTTGCCCATCTCACTATAAAGTATGTTAGAGGGAAATCTTTTTTTTTTTTTTTTTTTTTTTTTTTTTGTTTCGGGCCCCAACTGGTAACCCGTTTATTTTCCTCGTCAATTTCCAATTCAAATCATAATGTATATATCAATCAGGTCAAATATAATAATATACAAGCATCTCAACATTTATATCAAACAAATCACATTATGTCATGATTAAACAGTTAACACATATACATGTAATTAATAAGATTAATATCTATATCATTTATTTAGTTTATAAAACGAAGAAAAAAAAAAGCAAAATTAACATCTGAAAGAAATAATAGAGGGAAATCTTAGCTTTTCATATCTTACGCGGCATAACGTCTTCCATGCATTTTTCTTGAGTCGGATGAAAATATCCCTTTGTGCACTTTTTGGTCGGCAGCAAGGTTCTGTTTTTGTAACATTTGATAAAGTCGGGTTTCCACATTCTCGTCGGGAAGGCGTGATCACCGTCACTTTTACCAACACAGCTAGGGAGGTTATCCGGGCACGTACAAGTAGTGTTTCCTGGAGCACATTTGTTTTGGTCATACTCACCTACACAAAATACAAAAAAGTCATTTTACGTTTACAGACGTTACAAGCAGTTTTCTTTCCCGTTATTATTTAAGGCCAAATTGACTTAAGAACGATTTTACTAGGAGCCGATATGACTTCAAAACGTTCATTTTATCATGGTCTCGAAAAATATAAAGGCTATATTTAATCATTTTTTATTTTACTTACATGGAGCCTGAGGTTCCATTCGTTTATCACACGTGACAGTTGTAAAATGTTGACATGTCATTGAGAGAGTAGAAAATAAGTCCGGGTACACGCATTCCTTCACAGGGTCGGCAGAATTCCCGCCAATAACAACGGTACAGTCTATATAGTGCGCACAGTTATCCGGAAGTGGTATTATGTCATTCGGATTTGCTTGGCAGTAAGCCTTAGCATCAGCTTGAAAGAAAGAAATTTATAAACTCATTGATGATTTATTATTTAAAAAAACATGGTATAATAATATCATAGCTCACACATAAGGTTGCCTGGCGTTCGCATTACATCAGCTAATATAAACAAAACAACTATTTATGACATGCACGTCATTACTGAGAGATGCATCATGCAAATGCTTACGTGCAACCGTGTAATGCTTAAATGCGCAGAGTAAAATTAACCAAAAAATCGCTTTTAAAACAAACGTATACAGGCAGACAGGTACAGTGTAACTGTTTAAAAGCGCATGGCAAATGCGTAATTCTGCATGCATGTTGTCGATGTAGAAATGCATGTAAACGATCTTAGGTATTCGAGCGCAGTAAATCTAAAGGATTTGTCAGGAAAAAAAACGTATTTACATACGTTTTGTAACATCTTCCTTGCATTGTTTCTGTATTGGATGAAAGTATCCCTTTGTGCATTTCTTTGTTGGTATAATTGTTCTATCTGTTTTGCACGTGACGTAATCTGGTTTCCACATTTTGGCGGGAAATGCCTGGTTCCCGTCTGCTTTCCCAACACAAGATGGTAGTCTGTCCTTGCACGGGACACAGTTCGAGTCAGCTGGACTACAAAGGTTCTGTTTGTAATCGCCTACAAACGAGATAAAAATGTTTGAAAAGAAAGAATGGAAAAACTAAACTAAAACGTATATACATTCACACTGTTCGAAAAATTTTAGTTTAAGCTACAGTCTCACTTACATCCCGGCAGAGCCCCGGTAGACGTCCGGGGTGATCCGGGAACGACCGGGGTATGACCGGGAACAACCGGGGTACATCCGTAACTCTGCCGGCAACGTCCTGGATGAGCCGGGATGATCCGGGAGCATCCGGCATTCGACCCCGGATGGAATAAAATATTTAATATCACCGGGGTGGTCCGGGATGATCCGGGAAGGTATAGCTTTGCCGGCATCATCCTTAGCTCTGCCGGGAACGTCCGGGGTGATACCGGGAAAGCACCGTAGCTCTGCCGGCACAAACCGGGGATGATCCGGGGTATGATATAGCCGGTAGAGTTACGGTAGAGCTACGGTAGAGCCCGGTATATGCCGGCAGAGCCCCGGTAACTACAGGCAGAGCCCCGGAGGGATAAAGGTAGAGCTAGGGTTGATCCCGTAGAGCCCCGGTTGAGCCCCGGCAAAGCCCGGATCATTTCAAAAAAATAAGGACAATTGTGATGATTGAACTTGTTTGTATTAAAGCCTTCCCATTTCCCTTCTATCCAGTATGGCATAAGGATTTTTCAGAAAAATCATCAAAATTACTATTCTGAACAATAGATATTATATTAAATAAAAAATTATGTATCAAAGTTATCATTTTCGGGCGTTTTCAATCCACCGGGTTTCTACCGGGGCTCTGCCTGGATCGTTCCTGGGCTCTGCCGGGGCTCTGCCCAGGATCGACCGGGGCTTCTGCCTTGGTCAACCGGGGCTTCTTCCGGCATCATGCCGGGAACGACCGGGGAAGCACCGGCATGAACCGTAGCTTCACCTGGGCTCTGCCTGATGATCCGGAGCGCATCCTGGGCTGGTTAGTAGGGAACTAACCGTAGTGCTGCCGGGGTAAGTGTGACCGCAACAATAATTTCATCCCGGATCGTCCCGGATCATCCCGGTAACTTACCGGGATGGTCCTGGGCTCTGCCGGGAGTAAGTGAGACCGAGGCTTTAGATATGAAATGACCAATGTAAGTGAGTTAGTATTTTTTCTATAAATGTGTAAATGAAATTACAGTACAAGAATAAACATGAATACACCTGGCCCAATGGGCCACAAGTTTTAACACGTGGATAATATTGAAAGAATATATAGTTACAAAATAAAAATGTTTCATGGATAATTGGTTTTCTTATTAAAAAAAATTTCTTTACTGGTCGTATTTGAATAAGCTATTGAAAAAAATATCAAGAGATCGGCAGAGTCATTTTAAGACTTTGTAAACATTTAAGGTATGAAACAAACATCTTGTATTTAAACAATAAAATAATTTAAAAAAGAGGTAAACTTGACCTACATGGAGCTTTTAATTCAGTTCTGTTTTTACATTGCACTGTTGTGAAGTCCTGGCAAGACATAGTGGTTGTTGAGAAGAGATCCGGGTATTTGCATTCCTGTATGGGATCTGCAGTCGATCCTTGGGCTCGAACCGTACTGCAGTTTATGTACCTAGCACAGTTATCAGACATCGGCACAACTGCAGTAGGGTTGGCTTGACAATATGGCACTGCATCAGCTGTGGTGGAATATGAAATAAAGTTAGGTTAAAATATGAAATAAAATTAGGGTGAAATTATGAAATAACGCTATGTTGAAATATGAAATATAGTAAGGTTGAAATATGAAATAAAGTAACGTTGAAATATCAAATATAATTAGCTAGAAATATGAAATATAGTCAGCTTGAAATATGAATTAAAGTGAGCTTGAATTATGAAATGAAGGTTGAGGTATAACACGAATTTATAACAATTAGGATAGGTGAAATAAAGTTTATTATGATTTGATCTTTCTTGCAAACATATAAAAGGTAATATAAGCTTCATACACAGAAGAATCTTGCATAATTGAAATTTTCAAAACAGCTAGAGACCAACTTTCAAAGGATGTACTTATTAAAAACAAATTGTAATAAACGCGTAAATATTCTAAAATATATTATAAATGTTTAAACTCAAGAATTTTGATTGATGAATGAATTAAAAAGCATTTTGAATTGACATACTATATCAAACTAATATTTTGAATATCAAGCCATAATTTTGAACAAACAGAATAAATTTCTATGCATTTAATTCATTGTAGGTTTGTACTAGATGACTCTTATGAACTAATTTTCATTTAGAATTGAGTTAATCATCGTTAAAAACTGTCAGAGATCAGAGGTGTCTGTATAATGAGGTTATATCCTTAATGTGCTTGTCAACCTAATAATGCAATGCCTCTTCAAAAAAAATATTAATGAAAAATGTTAACCCTACGTTTCTTTACATCCTCCTCGCACTTGTTATGTACCGGATGGAAGTAGCCTTTCGTGCAACGCTTTATGGGTAGAATGGTTCTGTTCTTGTTACACGTGACGTAGTCGGGTTTCCATAATTTTGTCCGGAAAGCTTGATCACCGTCTGTCTGGCCAATACAACTTGGTAACCGTTCTTGGCATGGCTTACACGTTGTGTTACCAGTTGCGCAAAGGTTTTGTTTATATTCACCTAATAAATAATTTTAATGTATTCATATCTAAATAACAATGTTCGTTTTAGATCATTATATGTATGATGTATTACGAAAAATAGGAATTTCAAGAACAAAATTGGTTCTTCCGTTGTTTCTATACATACTGAAGACTGTGTTTTTCATATAGGGTTTTATGAATAAAATGAATTCATTTTATGCGGTCATCAAAGAGCAGTGTGTCTCTGTTAATATTTTCATACACACTCTTACAGAAAAACGTGAAATGTGATCTAGCTAGGGACTTCTTTTGCCGATTCCCTTGAAAATTCGCATATTTTCTAGTAGGTGGATTTAACCAAATACATGTTAAGTTTAAATATATTTTGAAATTGACATGTTTTATTATCATAAAACAATAGATCTTACATGGGGCTTGCGGTTCTTTCCTTTTATCGCAGTGAACTGTTGTAAAATCCTGACAAGACATGGTCTGCGTAGAAAACAAATCCGGGTACTTGCACTCTTGTATCGGGTCAGCGGAAGTTGCCATGGTCACAGTAACAGAACAGTTTATATATTGAGCGCAGTTGTCGGGTATCATGATGATATCTTTCGGATTGGCTTGGCAGTATTGGTGTGCATCCGCTGTTATATTTAGAGTTAAAACAAAAGGCATAAGTTTAAGATAATAAAAAATAGCATGACGTCAGCAAATACTGACATAGACGCAAATGTCTTTGAAAGCATGTGAATAATTAAACTATTTTTTACATATTTTCGTTATATATTTTCCTCTAGAAAAGGTAAGAGACCCTCCCCCTCCCAATCTTTATACATATAAATACATTGACACATACAAATGCTCGGACATGAACCGTTTGTTGTTTTGAGAAAAAAATCTTTCGCATTTTTTCGAAATCTTTACATCGACTAACGGTGATTATTAAAATACGTGTAACACATATATGTGCAAATGGTCCGTGCTTATTAAAGTGACAATATGCTCATTTTTCATTGTCAAGTTGTGTTAAATTGACTATATATTGCAAAGGATTGATTGTTATAATGGTTGTTGATCAACAATTGATATTGGAAAATGTTTCGGGTAAAAAAATCTGCCTATAATATATATTTTTTCTACATTCAAAGCTTCAGGTGAATCCCGACAGATATTTACATGCGAGGTAAATTGTGAAATTGAAAGGAACTATGACAAAATGTTAATTTATTTTGACTCACCAGTTTTCTAACTTCATGCTATAAGAGGAGTGCAATGCCACTTTAAAAAACGCTGATAAGGACTTGAAGTAGTTCAGAATTTGAAATTAAAACAATGGAATAAAGAAACATTTCTTATTTTAAATTGACAAATTTCCAAAAAGGAACTTCGGGGATAAAAGTTAATGAGCATTATTACGCTTAGCAACATCTTCTAAACACTTCTTCTGGATAGGATGAAAATACCCCTTCGTGCACCTCTTGGATGGCAGAATGGTTCTGTTTTTGTAACATTTGATATAGTCGGGTCTCCACATTCTCGTCGGAAAGGCTTGGTCACCGTCACTTTTACTAACACAGCTAGGAAGGTTGTCCGGACACGAACATGTTGTGTTTCCTGGTGCACATTTGTTTTGTTCATAATCGCCTAAAATCACAACAAAGACAATATTGATAAAACAGCCAAACTATACAGTTGTACAGGACAAATACTATGTAACAATGATCGCATTTTTGCTATTTTTTGAAGTACATGTACATGTATGTAAGATGGTCAATGGACAGTTTTATCATAAAGAAACTTAAGCCTGGTGTAAACCTAAAAAGAAACAAAACAAAAACGTTTGAACCTCTGCCCGAAATGTTGTGTTTTATAAAGTTGCAGCGAACTATTCTCTTTAATATTTCTAAATATAGAAGACTTTATGTGCGGCTCTAAAGGGTAGAATGTTAGGGGTCATGTCCAAACCATCTCCCCATTGGATCTGGCTGTTTTAGAATATGCAATTAATATAATATAACATCAAGGATTGGATATTATTTTATGTTTTTAGTTAAAATCATTCAAAAGATGACTAAATAATCCTGGATTTGTGCCTACATGTTTTGAATGTTTTATTTTTTTATGAGTTTATATATCTATGGGAACACCAGAATGCTTAATATTTATTTTGTTTTTCTTCAAAATACGTACAAGGTGCCTGAGGTTCCATTCTTTTGTCACACTGAACATTTTCGAAGTTTTCACATTTTTTCGTCTGCGTTGAGAAAAGTTGCGGATATTTACATTCTTTGGCGTAGCTTCCTAACGGTGAGTTCGGGGAGGAGCAATCGATGTATTTGGCACAATTCTGACTGTCAGGAAACATCATTGTAGGATTTGCCTGACACACTTTTTTCACCTCAGCTATAATATCAATTTAATAACATGTAAGCTTAAAATATAAATGAAAGTAAAGTCGCGAAAATTGATGACGTTTCAAATGTGTTGTCTTCTTTTTTTTACACAAATCACTTATAATAAGTATGTTAGCTTCAGTTATAAATGGTAGTAAAGTCACGAAAAGTAAATATGTTTTGACAAACACATCTATCGTCTGCATTTAATTCACACATTTCTTTACATGTTAGCTAAAATAAGATGTGGTAGTAAAATCGCGAAAAGTGATGATGTTTCAAATATTGTCTGCATTTTGTTTACATATCACTTTATTATGTTAGTTTAAAATAGAAATGACATTATAATAACAAACATAGGATTTTTATAGTTTCATCTGCATTTCATACACATATTACTTTTAATTTGTTAGCTTAAATTAGAAATAGAAGAAATAAAAAAATAAAACGAATATTAATGCCTACATAAAGTTCAATATAGCTTAATAAAAATTATATCTTTTAACATAAAATTCCTCAACACTAAATTATTTAAAAAAAAAGATTTCAATCTTTAAGCCATATATCGAAAAAAGATCAATGACCCTCCATTACTTTCGTTAAGCTTTTTATGCTAAAAAGGCATAAGCCATCAAATGCATTGATATTTTCTTTTCTGTGGTCTTATTTATGCTTTAGTTATTTACGATATCAATACAAACTATTAAGGTACATGAGAAGGTCATGTGAGAACATAACAAATTGTTTTTCAGCTTGTTTAAATATAGAATATTTCTATTTTTGACCATAAACACTGCAGCAGACGACACAACACGTGCTGGTTTCCATGATAGTTCATTAAATATTGCAGCAGGCGACACCATGTGGATTGGTTCCCACGACATATGGCCTAAGGTTTCGTTGAAGTTCACTAATAAGACATACATCTCGAGTACAAAACACCTTTCTTAAACCTTGTGAAAGAGCGTTTAACCTGTATTTAGGTCAACTCCGTTATTTTTATCATCTGAGTCTATTTTTGCCCTTTGCTATTTCATTCATAAAGACGTCATTGTTTGAAACTTACTGTTTAGGGACATGTAACAAATGTGTGAACTAAATGACATTCTCGTACTTGATTACATAACGTCTATTAGATTATCACTTGTATTTATTAAAACAATGAGTATTATGTCTAAATAGATTTGTATACACCGAAAGAATAGTACAATGTAACCTCCACAGAGCGGACATCGGTAGAGCAATTATTCTACTTTCAACGATAAAGTAAGTAACATTTGTAGAGCAGCACCTCTTAGCTGTCGTCTACTGAACAGAAGGTGTGTCGTGTATTAAAAAATCTTAGCAAGTATTAGGGTGAACAAGAGAAAAGTTACATTGGAAAACTGTTTGTTATATATACTTTCCTCAAGCACTGCTATAAACTTCCGATTGCAATAACCGTACTCCGGGATAAACATATGTTGGTTTTTCCTAGATAACCCGGGGGTACAAACAAACTTAAGCTTCGAGAAATAAACGCAACAGATTGACTAATCTATTGTGAACGGTAGTGCATCGTGAAACCATTACTGTAAAAGTTTGTACCGGAGGACAAGCTTGAAAAAAAAACCACTTTTGCCAAATTCCGTATAACAACCATTATCTAGCAATGAATTTATTTTCCGAGCACTATACGAAATAAATATTTTATATGCCTGGATAGAATATAAACACACTTTTGTGTTTGTTGTGATAAAGTTTCTTTAGTATGAAACTGATAAAAATAACAATTTTTTATTATTTGGACCAACATACTGCCAGCTCTCCGTCAAACGTCTTCCCCTCATCTACAATGAATTCAAGATTAAACTTACCTGGTTTTACCGAGTCTGTACATTTCTTTTGGACTGGATGAAAATATTGACCAATCGGACACTTGATTTGCGATATTGTCCTGTTCTGGAGACATTTTGCATACTTTGGTCCCCACGTTTTACCTTTCCATGGTTCAACACCATCGACTTGACCCCGACAATCCGCGTGCTCATCCGGGCAAATGCACGTAGTGTTGGTCGGAGGACATTTAAACTGGTCGTATTCACCTGTTAAAAAGAAAAGAAAATCAAAATAGCAATAATTTAATTATTTTTATGAACTTTACACGTTTTTAAGGTACTTTTGTATACATTTTATGTCAAGATGAAATTATTGGTAAAATGAATGTTACAAATACATTCTCGTATATTGGGAAATTATGTCAAAACAACTACCACAAAGATCTAAAAGAATACTTACAAGGTGCTTGCGGTTCCATTCTCGTCTTGCAGTCTATTGACGTGAAATTTTCACATTGCCCAGAATCGGCTGAGAACAGGTCCGGGTAAGTGCATTCATCCGTCAGAGCGTCTAATGTGTGCCCCGGTTTAGCACAGTTGTAGAACTTGGCGCAATTCGTGGGTATAGCCAGCTTATCCGTTTTGTGTTGACGGCAATAAAAACTCAACGTTCCTGTGAAACAATATAGATTTCTTTCTTTATGTATCACTGTCTAGATATATATCGTAGGATACCCAATACATACTTTTTACTTATCTTTACATATAATCATTCGTAAGCCGTAATGTAGTCAAAGCCGATGTCAATTTTCGAATAAACGGTATCAAAAACCAGGATCCAGAAATATTTGTCAATTAAATCGGCCAACATTTATAAATAAATACATAGGTTTTCCAAAAATGGTCATTTATCAATTTATAAATGTTTACTTTACAAGAAAAAAAACAACACATTAATGCTTCTGAATAGCACAATAACAACATTTGAACAAAATAATAACTTAATTAGCAGCCTACCCGGATTATGAGGCATACACCTATGTGCTTGAGGGTTGAAATATCCAAAGTCACATTTCCCTTGGCCCAAAGTCCGGTTCTTTTTACAGTCCTTATACTGTGGTGCAAACACCGACTCAGGTTGGCGGCCATCGTCGACACCGACACAACTATATAACCTCTCGGGACACGGTTTGCAGTTGGGTCGGATCCATTACACTTGTTCTGTATATACTCACCTTGTAAAGGAAACTTTAATTTTCTTGATATGTACTTGATTAGTTGTATTTAAATGTTGCAATATAATGTTGTAAACGCCAAAAAAAAATCAATAATTCATAATGTAATTACAATGGTAATAATAAAATCAAGCAATATAAAAAAAGAGAATACACCAAGTACATTAAACCATTGCAAGCAGTTCTATTTTAAAGCCCTTATGTTATTAAGAATATATATTTAATATATATGTTTTCCCAGTCATGTATAATAGATATAGAAGAAGCTTTTAAAAATGTTTTCTCTAAAAGAAAATCTCTCTGCAACAAAATGGTTTAAAACTTACATGGAGCCATAGGCTCTTTGCGTCTGTTACAATTAACTTTCTCAAAGTCGTCACATTTTAGGGTTACATTGTTAAACAGTTGTGGATACGGACATTCAAACAGATGAAGCTTTCCAAATGGTGACGTTTTACTACAGTCGAAGTACTGTGCACAGTTAAGTGGATTAGCTACCACAGCGTTCCTGTTAGCCGCACATATTGCAGCGATGTCAACTGTAAAATATGCAAAAAATAACAATTTCATGTATTAAATATTCACTTTTGGAATTTTAAAGTTTTTGGAATATTAAAAAAGTTAAATAAAATTTTTTACAGAAAAAAGGAAATAAGTTAAAAAATTTTCCCATTTCTTAAAATTATTTATTTTTAAAATAATTGTGACAATTTTTAAAATGACCATATATGTTATTTAATTTCTTTTTTAAAAAAAAAAAGGCCCTAAAAAAAAACAATTTTTTATGTTGGACTTGACAAACTTTAAGGTAAAATAGGCAACATTAGATAACTCTGCATTTTTGGGCAAAAACGGGGCCCGAGTAAACCACCGACCCAATTCTTTACTTTTTTTCCCTTATTCCCCAATGGTTGCCTCCATAACACGTTTTCGTCTGATGATCATTTCCGGTACAATTTTTCCCGCCAAATTTTGGCGGAGGTGAGTCACACTTCCGTGTCCGGGTGCGCACGCCGTCTCCACATGTTACAGAACACTGATTGCTCCATGGACTCCAGTTCCCCCATAAACCATCGACTTAAAATATAGTGATATGGAAGAAAGGAAAATATAAGTTACTCCCCTTAAAGACAATTCATATACGAAAATATTTACATAGAACGAAGCTGAATAGAGAACATGCATTTGGCAACATTTTAAAAATACAAAGCAGGGCTTACCCATACCCTCTTAGATTTGCCATATTTTTAATAATCTCATGATAAGAAAGATATTAAAGAAAAAAATATAAGAAACAGAAACATTATACCGTAAGTAACATGAATGAGTTGAATGCTTACAAATGGCAATATTAATCAAAGGGAAGTAAAAAGCCTTCAAAATAAGGCTATGACGTGCAAAAATTCACTATGATGTGTCTAGGCGACGAAACAACGTAACTTGTTTACTTAAAATCTCAGACGTTGACAAAACTTCTATTAACAAAGACAAAGTTTAATAAATAACATACTTGGAAATGTTTTCACGCAGTCTTCGTCTATTTTACCATCCCCGTCATCGTCTGAAAATATAATCAAAATAAGCTTAATTTGCATGCATGTGGATTAATATTTCAGAATATATTACCAAAGAAAAACAATTTGAACAAAAGAAAAACACTTTGAATTTTTGACAAATACTGACAGTAATTACTTTCCGAAATCGGCGTCAATACAATACCTGATTTCATAAACTTCATAAAACGTGATTTGTATAAAGATTATCAATCGGCTGTTTTCTCACTTATATTGGGAAGAGACCTAGCATCTTCATTTTGGGAAGAATTGTCGCTAGAATTGAAAATTTCGGACGGTGGTGTAAGATCAAATTTTTGGGAAACTGCATTTTTGTTTTGTTTTAAATCCATCACTGTTATTTTGATAATGTTAAAAGTTGGATATTTTTAATAATTTATCTAAAAGATAAGGTAAAACATGCACCATTGCCGTCTGGCAAAACCCTTTACTATTTTTTACACCGTTGTCAAAAACCCCCTTCCTGGGGGCATTTCTTGGGGGGACAGTTCTTCTAATAAAAAAAAAAAATTTTTTCAATCAAGACTTAAAATTAGTAATTAAAATTTGCGGGAATGGAAAAAAGACTTTAATCATGTTGGGCCCAGTTTTTTTTGGCAAAATAAACAATTCTAGAAAAAAAATCTGCCTTATTTTTTTTATTTAAAAGGACTAAATAAACCAATCATAAAACAGGGAAATTTTTTTTGATAATAGCAAATTTACTATATAATAAATAAAACGACCTTTTAAATGGCAACTTTCTTGCTTATTTTTATTTAAAAACAAACACATTGTTTAAAATTTAAAAAAAGTCTCTTTTGCAGACAAAAAATTTTTTAAACAAGTTAGGGTTTAAAAACTTTCTGAGTTTTAAAACCGTTTTCATGCCGCGGGAAAACCGTATTTCGTAAAAGGCGTGCCATACAGGTACCCTCCAAATGTTACAAGGGGCGAATACGAACGGTTGGGGCCGTGGAAAGGAAAGTAGAAAAGACCCGTTGTACCCGATACGTCCACGTTTTTTTGAGGGAAAGGTTTACCGTCCAACAAGATCCTTTTAATATCGATTCTTTTTTACATCATAAATTCGTTTTTTATACCGAAATGTGGGGCGTTTACCTATTAGGGGGGGAATATTCGGGCTTTGAAGGGGAATCTGACCCAAACTGCTCTACGGGGTATTATCATATCGAAGGTCAGCGGGGTCCGTAGGGGGGTTTCTGCTGGCTTTTAACAAACTGGGGCCAAAAATCACTGGGTTGACGAGTTTATATAATTTGTAGGGTCCGAAAGAGTTCCAAATGTTCAAACCCCCCTTTATTTTAAGGGGAAATTGGCGACTTTTCCCGGACGTTAAAAATGTGTTATCCCCACGTGGACCTTTAAAAACATCACCAACGTTCGTCCAGGGGGAGCGTAACAAAATTTTCGCCCCACCTGTCTACGAAAATTTTTCAAAAAATGTCCCCAAAATTTCCTTGCCAAACTTTTTTTAGGTTTCCACTGAATGTCCCAAAAGGTTTTTATTTCTAATGTGTACCTAAAAAAACAGAAAAAAATTTTTTACTAAAGGAAAAAAATAATTTTTGATTTGGGGTTATTTTCTTTTGCATTTTAAAGAGGTATATATAATGAAAAAATTTCCCCCAAAGTCTTTAAGTTAAAAACGTAAAAAAAACTTTTAACAATGACGGGTTTTTTCCAATTTCCCAAATTACCTTTTTCAAAAATTTTTTAATTCAAATGATTATTTATTAGAATATTTCCAACCTTTAGGTCACCAGAGCTCTGCAACTGGAGGGTATCATATTTCTGTAACTGAATGTTAATAACATCTCCGGCGTGATACGTTTTTCCCTTAAATGTCACATCTACATTTCCGCTTCCGGTTGGTAAAGTTACTTTCACATTTGTCGAATCATCTGTGCTTGCTATACCAAGCTCAGATTTAATACTCGCCGGACTATATGCCATCGCGTAGTAATCTGTACCGAGTGCGTCAACCGGTAAGCCAAGATATACGTCATTTGACAATGTCTCTTTGTTGGCCCCGTAACATGCTATTTCTGCATCAGCTTGGATACGAATTGCTTTCGATGAGACGGAACTTCCGGTCATTCGGAACGCGCTGTCAACTAATGTCTTATGCACTTGCCCGTCTGTCACCGTAAATGTCTCGTCAACATGTGGAGACGAAGACTTCGGTGACGTCACATGTACATGAACTGGTTTCTTCTCTTGAGTTGTACAATAAACTTCTAAAGGAAACATTTGTGGACCTAGTTTTTGGTTTTCCATGAACATCAAAACAAACTCAAGGCCTTTGTTGTCCGGAGGGGTGGTCGTTACGGCGGAGACTGTAAAATATATACATAGATCACTTAAATAGGGTACATATTTAGATTTGTTCTCTCTTAATTTAGCCTAATTATTATTGAAGCTTTCATTTTAATATGAGTAGCTCTATCTTGTTGGGGTCAATGTGATAACACCTGACCTCGAAGACATATAAACAGTAAAATATTACAATTTCGAATAAAATATAGAATAAATATAAATAGAAAAAATCTTGAATTTTTGTAAATGGTATAATTATGTTCTTAAACCTACTTTTTTGGATAAAACTTATAGAATTTGTTAAGTTATATAAACACATTTGTATGTGACAAAATAAACAGTGCGGAAGTACTCTAGTGTATTTATTAAGATACAACAATTTAACACAATCAAATATTTTATCTTTGTGACCTAAAATAACTCAATAAAATGTAGAATAAAGTACAAGAGTTCCCATTTTTGGCTTACAATCTCGATTTATATAGCTTTAAATACAGACAACATTTCTAAATACTACAGAGAATATTAAAACAAAAAAATTTCCTTTACGCAATTTAACACGACACTGTTAGCAGGGATCGAAAAAAAAAAGTTTTTGACATTTTCAAATAAAAGCTTAAGATTCAAAAAACCGATGTTTTTAATTAAAAGATGTTGGGTTCCGTTTTTTTTTCTTAATTTTTTTTCCTTATTTTTTAGATAACATTGAGTAAGTCACTTTACCTAGTCCGACAATACACACAAAACAAACAAATAGTTCCAGTGTCTTCATTGTTCCTGAAACGAAATAGCGGAAACAGCTTTGTAATAAGCTTTTTTAATATGATTGATTTTTGTCTAATTTAATTTAACCTTTGAAAGAAATCTACGAAACTTTGTAATATTGCACGTTTATGAAGTCGATTTTTATTGCTTTATCGTGACGTTTTAATAAATATTTTAAGCAAATACACGGCTATGTCAAACTTAAGAATTATTTTCAATCGTCGTCAAAGAAAAAAAATCGTTCACAAGACTTATGGTTGGTTATATGTTCGTGTATTTACGGTTGTCTCTAAGACTTATAAAACACAGTTCGGGTTACATGTATATAATCTAACAACCCTATATACCGGATCAATATAAACGGTCAAACTCTTTCTGATTACTAATTGTATAAACACAATCATTTACTTCATAGAAAGAATTATAAAACAATTCTATAAAGTTATATAAACAAAACAATTGGACCAATACGAGACGCGGCCTAGATTTTACGTTCTTTTGAAAGAAGCTCTTTTGAGGTCGAATAGCCTAAAACATAAAATTTGAAACTGAAAATGATAATTGCAGAAAAATACTCAAAAATTAAATTGACATCGATATTTAGGTCAATTCTTAGCCTTTTTCGATGAAGTTTTTAGTGCGCAATTTAGTTTTTGTTTATTTTTATTTTTCGTGGTGTTGTTGTCTAAATAATTCTGGAAAAAACAAGTGAGCAAATGATCTTACATATTGCAACTACGTTATTGTTATAAACCTACTTCAAATGGTATAAAATCTAAAAAAAAATCAATTTCCATTCCTCTGTATCAAAAGTCCTACGTGGAGTCTTTCTTTAATGAATAGAGCATAATTATATAAAATATTGCTTTTATGGCAACATTTAGTTTATAACAAAAAAAAACAAACATTAAAAAATATGCTTCGAGCCTAGATAGAAAATATTACCAAATGCTAATACCGGTACTAGTCCAGTGCAAAAAAAAGAAAGGTAGCGAAAATAGTTAAATTAAATCCATGTCTTTCATCTCTTTACATAAAATTTTATATAATGATGGTAAATATTTTGATATGAAAACTATAGCTACCATTTTTGTAGATAACCACACTTAGAGTGACAATTATTTGGCAAACTTGTCCCGCCTTATCATGTACATGTTGCAAACGACTTAAAATTCGTGCGATATCATCATAGCGGAAACAAGAAAATGGACATATGTTTACAAATGGAAACTGTTTCATTTTAGATGGACAAGAGCCTGTGATAAATTAACTATACAAGGTGCAAAACTGGATTACAAACACGCAATACCCTGAATATAAATTTACACATACTTCTTTCGACCTTTGAAGGAGTTTTTCGGAAGCTTATTTTTTTCAGTTCCTTTCAGGTTAAGTGTTTTGCGGTCTGTAAAACACCGAATCTTTTTTGTTCAGTCATTAGCTTAATTCACAAATAGATAGATAATTAAATCATCATTAGGTAAAAGGGACTTTATTTGTTGAAGATTGATCTTTGTTTGTTATCTAAATGAATCAAGCATCTATTTTAATTGTCCTTTATGTTACACTGCAATTTATCCTTAAAAAAAAAAAAAAGAAAAACGGACACATCTTATTAACTTGCCATCTTTGGACTGTCAAGCTTCATTGTTGGTTGTCTTTTATGAAAAATCTTTGAATGATTATATGGCAACACTCGGCAATCTTATTTATACTCGGGGTAAGGGGGCTACCCCCCCCCCCCCCCCCTGTACAAATCAGATAACCTCGTGTTTCGGTGCCTTTTCTATTACCAGACACATATTTGGTTATTCAAATGTTTCTTCGACAACTATTAAAAAGATGTGATAAATAAGAGTTCGTTGAAGTGTATAAATCTTGCATACCATGCATTCATTTATTTACTTTTTTATATTTTAAATCGACGCTGTTTTCAACCAGGTAGTGTGATGCTTCAGCTCCACAGGCCAACTACTAACAGCATCACATGTGTAGTATTCAAACGTCCCGGACGAAGATCAAATCCAAAAGAAAGGGTTCAGTAATATTTACGTATAATAATTAACTGATTGTTTTTGGAAGAAATATTGATATACATTGTACGTAATCTTTTCATGCATTATACATTATTATATAACAATTTTAAACGAAAATGCAAACGCTTTTTATTGCCAAAGATTACTGCATTTCAGACACTTTTAACTAAAAAGACCCTTAAAATTACATATTTATCTAGTACAAATGAACTTTAATTATATGCCCGTTTTGGGCCGTACTGTATGAACTAAGGTTCAAACGCGTACAGACGACACTCTTTAAAGTTAGATGAAACAAATGGAAAGTTTTAGTTTGCTGCAAATTTTTCTGTTGATGAAACCAAAATATGTAATGGTGGGCAACAAATCAAGAGCCAAATTGAAATCAAAAGTTACCCTTTGCATTAAATTTGCAATAAGTTTTTTCTTTCTTTTTTCCTGGTTAAAGTCTCACATGAATGAACAGGCAATCGCAACTTTTCGTCTTTTCCGTCAGTCTTCGGACGAATAATAGCCGAGGATGTTCCGATTGGTGAATCAGCTGTCATTGAGGACGAAACGCCTCCCGGCACACCCGAAAATTATTCCACACATAAATGGTTACCTAGACAAAATATCGCTGGAAGCTACATGCTTCTTGATAAAATTAGCTTAAACAATCTTTCAATATGATTGACCTCTGTAAATAGCCAAAATAGCTGCAATAGTTTAGTCGGGATGACCATCTTACGGGTAAACAATAATTGAAGATATCCAGCAGCTTTAATTTAATTTTATTTTATATTTTATTTTATTTTATTTTATTTTATTTTATTTCATTTTATTTCATTTATTTATTTATTTTTTTTTTATTTATTTATTTATTTATTCATTATTTTATCTATATACTTATTAATTTTATGTTATTTTAGTTCATCCTTTTATTCATTTCTCTGCTGTTTGACTTGATTAATAGATTGATTGATTGATAGATCGATTAATTGATTGATTTATCTTTTGATAATTTTATTGCACCACAGCTATGGTACTGTGAATATTAAGATTTTACATAAATTCACAATCAAATTATTCCAATAACATACATGCAGAAGAGCAACGAAATTTAGGTTTCAAAGATTTTTGTTTGCTGTTGAGACGGTGTTGTTGTATGGAGGTTAAAGTCATTGCGAAATAAATGAGAAAAAAAGATACTTGATGTCTACAGAGGGACGGTTTGTAGAGACTGTTTTGTAGTAAATTTATGTTAAGCCGGTTCAAATTTAAATATTTAACCGGAATGTTTGAGATCTTACACTTTTTATTGGCTCATATTTTTATTGGCTCATTGTTGTACTCTTTTTATTGGTTCAGTTGTACTTTTTATAAGCATAGATTTTGTACATTTTTATAAAGGTTATTGCCTCTTATAAACAGATTAAGTGAAAACAGTTTTCATTTTTCACCTATTTGTTTTGTGTATCCATTGCACTCATTTCCAGGATAATTAAGCCGCGTCACGACAAAACCAACATAATGGGTTTGCGACCAGCATGGATCCAGACCAGCCTGCGTTGAAACACTTAATACGTGATAACTCGAGATTATTAGGGAGATGATTAAATACAGACAAGTTCAAGTGGTAGGAAATAGATAAACAAATAACCATACACCCGAATAAATGAGCTTGATAATGTAGATAACATGGTTACATCTCGAAGACAACACTTCATGGTGACACGGCGTGTTCGTCGGCATGCCATAGCAAATGTTGTAAGATCCTTGCAAAATGGACCGCACGAAGCAAACATTGGTAATAGACCATTACCATTTGTCGTAGTCTTTTACAGAGTGGGGTTTTAATATGGTTTTATATCAGTGTTTTATTTGATGTTGAAACAACTGTTTTAACAGATAGAAATGCTGAAAATGAATAATAGAAAAGCTGATGATAAAGTTTAATCTTTAAACAAGCAATTAACATATTTAAAGGTACACGACTTCAGATTACATATTTAAAGGTACACGACTTCAGATGATTTAAATGTACATTCAGGGTCAGAAAAGAATTAAAACGTATTTAGAAAGGTCAAACCTGAGCTTTGTAATCTTGTTATATAGGTAAAATACTTATTACATGAAGACATTTAATTTTTAATTTAGCGCTGAATGTGAATGTGAAATAATATGTGATAAGGATAGCGAAATGTGGTATTTTGACTTTCACACAAAACACTAAATTCTAACACGACCCGCATTTTCCCCTATTAAACATAGAAGGACCGAAAGTATGTGTTATGTAATAGAAAGAGCATCGAAACACAAGGCTATCGGCGTAGCCCCCACCCATCAGATTGCCGAGTGTTTTGATTTTCTTTTCTATCATAGGCAAAAAATAAAAACACGTTCCCTGTTGTCACAAAAGCAACCTATGTACGAGCCAATGGGTAAAGCGTATTGGAAATTCGAAGAAAACAAAATTAACACATGTCACATCTATGAGGTGAATAATATTTATTTGTAAACAAAGGAAGAGGAATTAGAATGAGTAAATGGTGAACTTCTTATCAAAGCGTGCATTAGATAAAATCATTTAGTTCAAAGCACAGACTTAAACCAGGCTACATTATTATTTTCAGAAAATTTTAAGATAAACATTGATTATTTTTCATTATAAAAGCATGCACTTAAAACCTGATCTCGTCTATCACGATTGGTTCGTTTTCTTTTTTCTTTTATTACATTTAATTAATGTTACAAGAGGATCAGATAGCCGCTGAGTTTCCGGGGAAGCTTCTTCAGTTAAAAAATAAAAAGCTCATATGTAAAAAAGACCAACACGTGTCACGGTAGTGGGAAGGAGTCACGTGGAAACTGCTAATCAGAGACTGAAATGTTGTCATAAAATCAACAATAAAAACAACAACAAAACGAAATTTGTTTTACCACGTGGACTTTACCTTATTTCGTCCATGATTGACTATGTACATGACTAAGCACCATAAAGCATACTGTTGATTTATTAAGAAGGATTTTACTACTGTTACACGACTCACCATGGTATCTCTTTCGTTAAGCGTGGAAATGACTGTTTATGCAATCGTCTCTTCTCGGCTTTTCACAATGTTTACTTTATTGAGGGTTCACGTGGAAACCATAGGAGGTCTGGAACAGGACCGCAAACGTTGCACCCTCACAGTAATAGGTTATATGGCTACTTTCAGGGTTGGTGGCTGAGCAAGACCCTAGGTGCCCCTCAATGCATCGTTTTATCTTGAGCCGGCACCTAGTTAGAGCCACCAACCTTCCGCAAGCCAAATTCTCACATAAATAATTAAAAGCATAGAGTGAGGCTCGAACTTACATTGTGTCTACCTTAAGTGTCAAGCATATGACCAAATCGAGATAAAATTGAAAAAATGAACAAAAAGTTTATCAATGTAATTTTAAGCATATAGTTAAAACGTTACGCATATAGACAAAACGAGAAAGTTGGCAAAAGAAATCCTAAACAATAATTAAAATAATTGCATCTAAAGGCCATTACATTAATTATAACTCGACGATTTTCATATTATTGGCATAGTAAGCAATTTCAGCACTTAATTATCATAAAAATATCTGCATATTACGGAAGCCCATTGAGGCCGTTTTGAGATAGAAGATAGAAGTTAGATGTTAGATCTTAGAACATAGATCTTAGAACTTAGGTCTTAGCTCTTAGAACTTACAGGTTCCATATTGGCGGGAACACGCCATATTTACTGCAAGATAGACAAGAAGAGATAAAGTGAGATAAACTTTTTATTATATTTCTTTAATTTTATTTTTTAATTTAAAGAATTGCAGAGATATACATGTAGCTAGGACGTTAAAAGATTAAGTGATTATATATTATAAATAATTACCGAAACTAGAAATGTGTCATCATGCCACGGATGCCCCCGCATGCAGCCAAAATTTCAGATGGTGCATTAATTTTTTTTTTTCATTTTAAGTTCAAAGCCCTTAAAACTTTTCAATGTTAACACAAACCATTTCCATACAAGGCACTGAAATTATTCAGTCTTAACCTTTAGAAAAAGCATATTGCATATTTGTAGCCAAAATAATGGCTAAAAGAATGAGTGCTGAAACTGAAAGTTCAAAATTTTTCCAACATTCAGGAA